ATTTATAATTCCCAACTGGGTCTAGCCCTTCATGAACCAAGGCCAAGTCAGATATTGAGACTTTAAGACTTTTTTTCTGGCTTAAGTCTTTAATGAACTTCCACACTAGCTGGAAGTCAAGTGCAACGCGCATTTTTATAAGGTGTAATGGACAACTACCTTTTTAATATTACTTATAAATTACTCTTATCCTTAGCTAAAATCAAACTCAAAATGCTATAGAATTGAGAGCAAAAAGTGCTGAAAATAGAACAAGTGAACTTATATTTGAATCCATTTGATTTAAAAATGTTCTTGAATTAAGAACAAAATCAACTTGAAAATAGAACGAAGTGAACTTAATGTCGGATTTTTAGCTAACACCATTTCGTTCTGATATTGAGAACATTCAACTCGAAATGAGAACATTTGTGCTTACCCGGTTTTTAAGAACGAATGTTCTTGATTTGAGTGCAATGTTCTTGGTTTTTTTTCTCTGTGTGGTATTCAAATGGAAAAGCAAAGAACAGGCTGAGGTTATTAAATGTTTCTGTAAAAACCCATAAAATCGTGTAGTGTGAAAGATTTTAAGGGAATTATCTGCCGGATATAAAAAAAATATAGAAAATGAGAATAATACAGAAAATCAAATAAAAAGTTGAATTTTAAATTTTATAGTCAATATTAAATAAACAAACGGATATGAAAATCAATTAAAAAACCCCACAAAAACCACAAACTTGAAAATGTTTGTTTAAAGCTCCTTTCAATAAAAGAAACCGCTTGAATAAAACAAAACCCACACTTTCTATCACCCAAAGACCCGCAGATGACATCAGTTATTATTGCAAATAATATATTGTATGTTTTGTATTGCAAAAAAACAAAAAAACGCACAAAAAGCTTTCAACCAAATCAAACACAGAAAACGTGGAAGGCATTTTAAAAAACTGCAAATACACACAAAAAACAGAAGCCAAGCAATTGACAACAACAGCAACTGACATATCTATGTCAATTTCCATTTGCAGTAAACAGCCAAAGAAGTCAAAAAAAAGAAATAAATAAATTTTAATTAAATTAAAGACAAGCCCCAAACAAGAAACTCAACTAAAGTGGAAACCAAAATGTGCTTTTTTGCGCAGCAATCGAGAATAATTCAATTAAAGATTGACAGAAGCAAAAAGCTAAGCTCAAGTTATGGCTAGTTTATAGACCATATTTATAGGGCAGATAAATATGCCAGCTGAATGACAGAAATCGGGCGTTGCGACGAATTTCCAATCCGTTTTAGCCATGTCAGTCACGTCTGGCCGTCAGATTTGCGTGCCAGTTTTAACAAGTTTCCGATAATGCTAATAAATAAGTACGAAAAACTACTCTATTGTCGCCCTACCAACTGACAGTAATGGCCAGTCTTATAAATATATGGCCTAAACGACAGCCAGTTGGCGGCATTTGACCCACTTCCCTCGGCCCACTCGAAAATCACTTCCCTCTCTCTGAAATCCGCTGCTAATCCGCTGAATTTCCTTGACATTGAACCACATTTAGGTGGCACAAGCTGTTTACAAAACTCTCGTACATTCATAGAATGAATTCCAAAGTCAAAATCAAGTTAACCAGTTTTTTCTACTGGCATTTCATATAAAGGTGTTAATTGTGCTTCGCGAAAAACCTGTTTTTCAAAATCTTTTGCAAGTCACTTTTCTGTTAGGGATGAGTTCTGCCATTGACAAATTTGTACATTGATGAATTGCAGTTTTCCAATTAAATATCCATTTGAAGTGGGTACAAATTTATGGCCACAATTATCTGCCAGACAACAGACTTTGAAAAAATCCACAGAAAATCCGGCAAAATGCAAAAAAAGCTTGTAAAAGCTTTGAATTATAGCTCTCAACAGTGTTGCCGTGCGAAAAGTAATATACTTCTTTTTTCGATTTTTCGTAGTGTTAGTTAGAATTCTCTACTTTGTAGCTTTAATTTTTTTAGCTCTTTACCGATATTTAAAATATTTTTTTAGAGAATTGAATTTTTTTTTTTTTTTTTGCTTATACAATTAACTTTAATCGCCTTACCTACATGAAATCACTTAAAGCCTTTCAAATTATAATTTGATTTGCTGAAATAGTTTCGACGCCCAAGCGCCTAACAAATTGAATTGCTAATCGTTTGGCTTCACCTATCGATCGAATGTGTTCCAAATCCAATTGAAAATTACCTACCTCAATTAACGGCCCAATTCTCCTCACACTCCAAAATGAAAAGTTGGAAAAGCTAAAGAACACACACAAAATCGAATTCGATACAAACACAAAAGTATTTCACACTTTCTAAAAGGCAATCAGCAGTGCCAACAACAAACAAATCAACTTCAATTTGTTGCAACAACATTCGGAACTCACTGGTTTACAAAACAGAACCGAAGACAGAAACAAAAAAAGCCGAAGAAAAATGAAAACAGAGGGAAAATTGTGCAATCTGCAAAATGCGTTCGATGGGAGCAAACTTAAACTTAAAAAAAAAACCAAAAAAAACATTCAGCGCCAATGAACTGAAATGGTTTCATTAGATGATCGGAGGGGCGATAGGGGGACCCATGAGCTATAGGCTATGGGCGAATGACGACTGGAAGAAATAGAACTTAATTAGTGGAAAATACGACGGCCCTGTGTTGTTGATATGTGAAGTGTGTTTTCTTGGATGGCAGAGGGAGAAGGAATATAGCTCCATTGAAGAGAAAGAGAGAGAGGGGCAGGTGAAGATTCAGGGGCCACGGAAATGTCGCCAAGTGCGCAGTATCGAAAAAGTCCCTAGTACACTAGCACAACATTTATAGATCTTAGGATTCCTGATGAGTAATGGGAGCTATTTGAACTTGGTCTAAAGAGAACTTAGGTCTATAAATTTTTAAAAAATTTAGAACATTACTACATTATTTACAATACATTAGTAGCAAAAGAATCTCCTTAAGAGAATTTATACATTTTTAAATAAACAGAAACTTTTTTAGAATCTAATAACTTTTTGTGGAATACAATTAAAACAGGATTGATACAAGCTGAACTTACAGGAATTAATAACTTTTTAAATTTAAATTAAAATAGGATTGATACAAGCCAAACTTACAGAAATTTAGGTATAAAAATTAAAAAAAAAATAAAATTAATAATTACAAAATAAACACACCATCACCATCTAAATATAATAAAAATATATTTCGAACAGTGCATAGGAAACATAAAATTTTAAGTTCACTTTGAAAATATAGTTTTTCGGTCGTGTCGCCGCCTTGCCCCCAAAACGCCATCCGCACATCATCTAGATTCTAGAACTTTGACTATTTATAAGCACGCGCCCCTTTCGAGCACACAAGCACATTTCCTGAGGGCTTCTTTTGCTGCACCGTGAAAATCGCCAGAGCGAGATGTATGTGCAACAGCGACCATATGCAACTGCAACGCATTTTCTATTTTCGTAGGCGCTCTCGAAGCGTGACAATTATAAGAGATTATCCAAGACTCAAAGTCGCGACGCGTGGGCGACCACAAACGATGCCGCCTACACCCCAAAAAGCCACCTTTCCCACCCCCTTTCGAAAGGAAAGTTGTTGGTTCGATAAAAACAAGATATAAATATAAATAACTAGGGATGGGCCCACAGTCAAGTTCATGACTTGTACACATAATTCTCCTTCGCCTTTGGCACGTGCAAAAATCATCAACATTTGGTCTTCTGTCAAGGCAACTTGCATAAGAGAGTTCCAAGTCATGGTGACGTCAGCGGATGCTGAAATATATACCGAGATTTATAGCATCAACAAATGGGGATCGTTCCCGAACAGAGCGATACTCAAAAGTGCATTCGCATTTCAATTAAAAACAGAAACAGCGAACAGAGATGGAAAGAAGACACGAATATAGCAAAGTTGATGTAGGCGAAAAACGAATGCAGGATGCACTGCAAACGGATATTATATGGTCTCAAGATCATCCTAACATGTTTAAGCATAAGCTGTAATGACCGAAATGATACCTCTCAAAAGTAAGATTAAGATTTAAATATATTCCGTCTTTTACGTTTGAAGACTTAAGATTTCAAAAAGTGTTTAATCAGAACACATCTAGTCTTAATCATATATCTTCCAACCCATTATAAAATAAATAAAAAATGCAATTTATTTTTACAATTCTAGTCTTTAGACCTTTTTAAAAGGAGACGAGAACTCCTGGAATCTATTGTTTATTAAGATACGTTATTTTCACCGAGTGAAATGTAATCTAAATTACAAACTGATTCCCCCAGCTGTGATTCCCCTGATTTATATAAGTTCCACCGAAAGTGTCTCCAACTGTTTATTTATGTGTAGCGTCTGCAACACACACCGCATGTTGCTGAGGTCGCCAAATGTTGCTGCTTTACTGTTGCTGTTGCAGCACCTTTTTTGGCACACTTATGCAACAGCAACAGTGGCAGTAAATGGATGTTTTTCATGCCCCAAAAGTGGACATAATTGCACATGTGTGGGGGCAACACCCAGATTCCCCATTAGCCAGGAAATGGCCTCTCTTTTGAAGTCGGTTAATGTTAACTGATTGACTGACTGATGGTCGGGTGAGCGGGTGAGATTTCAATTGGGAACTGGCAACTGGGAAGTGGGAGGCGTTCTTTCACAGACTGAATAATGCCCAAGTAGTCGAGGGTTCAGCAACATTTGACGTCGCCAGCGGCGGCGGCTTTAAATAAATCAGCCGTAAAGACAACATGGCAATCGGGAGAAGGGGCAGGCCAGCCGGCAGACAACTGAAATCCGGCGAGAATCGTGGCCTTTGTGGAGTACAACACAAGCAACTGAAACACCCACACTCGGGCCAAAACTGGAGTGCAACTATTTTTAATGCCATGCAAAAAAGGCATTCACACGGGCAACATGTTTCTGCGGGAGCTTTGTGTTGCTGGCGGGTGTTGCTGTTGCTGCTGGCAGCTTGCTGCTGCTGCTGTTCAGTTGAGCACGAGAAGCCGGCGCGTGAAGTTCAAACGAAATTGGAAGTTCTGCTGTGAAATGGTTTTAGTTTTAGATATATACAAGTGATAGATAAATCCGAAATAAACCGCCTCACGATGAGCAAGAAAATGTGGCAAAAGATTTTCAAATCCAAGTCGCAGAAACCGCAGCCCTTGGCCAAAATCAACAAGCGACACAGTCGCATCGTTTACGAGGAGTACCAGCAATTAAACGATCTGCTGGCCGGTGGTGAAAATGGGCAGCTCAATTTCAGCAATGAAAAGGAAAATGAGCATGAAAATGGAAATGGCCCTGCCTGTGGAAATGGCAACGGCAACATAAACGTTTTCGAGCAGCCGCCGCTGCAAAGTTCTTTCAACTCGTTGGAGTTTAGTGAGGCGCATCAGCAGCAGCAGCAGCAACATCAGCCGAAGCAACAGCAGCAACAGCTGTCAACGTTTTCGCGCGTTCGCAACACATTTTCCATCAGACGCAACAGCAACAACAGCAAAAAGCTGGCCAATGCCAAGCCAAGTGAGTCGGTTGCAGATGCAGCATCTGCAGCAGCAGCAACAATTGCTAATGCAACAGCAACAGCAGCAACATTAACTAACAATAAGCCAGGCAATCAACTGCAACGCATCGTAATTGTTGTCAACAAGATCGATGTGGCCACTAACCATTTGCATGCCAATCCTACAGCGGCGACAGAAACAGAAACAGCAATTAAATCAAGTAATTTCCAAAGCTAATAAACAACTAATTTCTGCTAAATGAACTTTTTTTAGTGAAAGCTGTGGGGAAAATCGCAGCCTGCTGCCCACATTTGTTCCAATTGTTTAATCTCCCCTCCATTGGTGACCTCTTGGTTGACTCCTTAGGCTTATCAATTCCCAGCTAGAAAATGATGTCACCTTCGGTATTCCTCAATGAAACTGAAAGGAAAAGTTTAGTTTAATCAGTTGATTTTTGGTTACTTGGTTTGAACTTGTTGGTTAGAGATTATAGGTACTTGTAAATAAAAAATTGTAAATTGTAAATTGTAAAAAATTGTAAAAAAAATTCTTGATAAATTTCGAAATAAGTCGACAATGAATCATTAAAAATGATTAAGATTCTATGACAAATAATTAAATTCTGAAGGCCTTTTTTTCGAGCTGAGTATTATTTTGAGGGTTTTGGTGTTTTGTAGCTTATATAAAGATTAGAAAGATCTTTTTTTATTATTAAGATGATTAAAGAATTCTAAATTAAAATACAGGAACCCTCATATATATTAACTTATTTACGAGATACGAAGAAACTGTGTTAGAAATTCCTGTCTGGTTATTTTTTAGCAATTACAAACCAGTCTGGTTCCCAGCTTACCCGTTCCAAGGTGCTAGGTCCTCGGTTTAAGTTTCCATGGCCATTCTTTCTCGGGTGTCAATGGGTTGAGAGTTCAAAGCGTAGCCAAGAACCTGAAAAGAGCTTCGTCTGGGAACAGGGAAACTGTTTGTATTACACTTTTAGCATATTGCACACACGACCACATTTATGGGCCCACTGAAGACGCAGACTTAAGTGGCTTATGGAGATTGCCCAACAACCAGCCAGCCAGCCAGCCAGTTGTAAAGACAAGAAAAATATGGAAATGCCTGGGACTAGACACCAACTAACAAAATAGAAAGATTGGGCAAGCAGAACGACCATATTCGACTAGATTTAAAGTGGCATTCATCACTCGCCTCAATGGCTTTCAACTTTTGATCTAGTAAACTCTTGACCATTTGAAGAAATCCCTTGGCTAGAGAGCTAGAGATCTGCTAAAGATCCGATCGAAATGGGAGGTGGGGACCTGCTGTTTTTATTTTTAAATATCTCAAGTGGATGCACATAATGCATGTGCATATATCTCATATTCGGAGAGGAGCATCATTAGCACAAGACAGATAGTTGGATAGATAGTACAACTCACCCACTTCTCATGTATGTTTGTGAATAATATGCGTAATACCCAACTTTGCATTGATTTCAATGGAAATGAGACGCAGGGCTCTCAAGATGTTGCGGAAATTTTGCTGCTCTTGTCTGTGCGTGTCGCTGATTGATGTAATCGGTATCTGACTGCCAGTTCGCTGGTGCTGGCTCCGCCATTATAATTGGATTTCCTCCGTCTCTGTGATTAAGTAGTGGCCGCCTCCATTGATGCTTCTAATTAGTATTCGCAATGCCCACACAATGTAGCGGGAGATTGGTTTTGCAGCACAGTTAAAGAATCGTTCTACTTCCAGCACCGCAATTAGAGAATAGAACGAGGAAAAAGTACAGTCATCACGATAACGATAGGCAAGGTCCTGATTCGTCAGTGTTGGAAAGTGCAATAGTATGCAAATTAAGAAATTAAAGTAAATTAACGTAAAATATGAAGAATAAGAAAATAGATCAAGAAGATCACAAGTTATAGGATCGTGGGCAGAACCACCTGCCATCCGCGAGATACCAGATATTTGCTCTTCGAGATACAATTCCCGCCCACGTTCCAAAAGCAAAGAGTTTTGGCGGAGACCAGCTGCCCAAATTGGACATAACTACATTTCATCAGTCTGCGGCCAGCGGATAAATAACAATTTATAGGCTGATCACCAAAGACGAAGTGAAATAATAGCTATAAATTTGTGGGGCTGGGACTTCATTCCATTGTCTCTGCGTTTTTGGGGAATTTATTGGTGGGACAGACAATTTGTCGCCCAAAAAAATAAAAACAATCGGCCATGAATCTGCCAAGCAGAGTTTTTCACTTGGCTGCCAGCCATTTTTACTGGGAAAGTGACTGGGATTTTCCTATTGCCGAACTTTCCCTGCACTAGCCAAACCCTTTTGATCTAGATATGAGGCTTACCAAGTTCCCAGCTACACAAAAAAAATATATGCTATTAAATTATCATTATGATTTGAAAGTATAATTTTAGTAAATTTAAACAAATGTAGTTTAAATTATTTAAAATGTTCAACTTTTTTATAAAATACAAAATTTTATTGGACAGCTTGCTTTTTTATTGCTTTTACCCAAAACTTTTTTTTATATTTTATCTCTTTTCACCATCTTTAAATATTTTATTTATGTGTTCTCCTATTTACTGTATCTGTGTGATTTGACTTTAAGAACGACTCCCAGTTTGCTACCCCTGACCCTTCTGTTGTTGTTTCGTTAACGTTGGGAAATACTTTTATTTTTTACCCCTCACCTCATCTAACAAACATTGCCAAAGTGCTCGTAGCTAACTGAAACCCCTGTCGAAACTCGGTTCTCAATAAAATCCTCTCCATCTTTTTCGACACAGCAACGAGCTGCACCACGGATCCCGAGGCGGAAAACACGACGGGGGGCGCGGAGGATGACACCCTGCCCCCTCCGCCACTGACCTCCGGTTCGTCGCTTCCGGTGCCGGAATATGTCCCCGAGCAGGCCAAGCAGCTGACCCCCTGTCCCTGCTGCAGTCGCACCTTCGTCGTGGACGCCCTACGCAAGCACGTGGTCATCTGCGAGAAGTCCTCCAAGAAGCGCAAGATCTTCGACTCCTCACGACAACGTCGCGATGGAACCGCTCTCTCCACCTACGTGCTGCCCAAGAACTTTGGCCTTCCCAATGCGGAACGCACGGCCGGATTGCCCTCTCCTCCGACCACCAGTCGCGAGGCTATGACCACTTCTGTGACTGCTGCTCCAACAGAGGTGAGTTCATTTCTAAAAAAATTAAATATAAATTTACTATTAATCTATCAACATCTAATCATAATCTAATTGGATTTGCCTATGCATTGACTCTTAAATGTTAGTGTTAAGGTTTATATATATACAAAGATAAAAAAATAAATAAATATATATATTGTAGATCCACCATTGTAGGCAATAGATTTCTTATACACGTCTTACAAATTTGAAATTTTTTAAACAAATATATAGTGCATATAAAATTAACAAATAATGTATGGATTATTCCATTCTATGTTTCAAAAACTTGTTTTTGTTTTTTTTAAGGATTAATCATTTTTTTTTTTTGTTTAGCTCAATCAACTTTAATCTCTATAACTTAAATAGAGCTATAATCAAATTATATTCTATTCATCATTCTTCTTATTCATCTTAAAGATAAGAAACTTTATAGCATTTATTATTTTAGATAGCGAACGTAATCTTAGTCTCTAGATTTATCTCATTAGAGATTAACTAATCCAACAGAGTTAACTGCCAATCCCTTCCAGCCAGTAAACTCACCGCTGCCAGTTCGTCGAAAGTCGCAAACGGAAATGGTTCGCTCCACTGCCCGAGCCTCTTTGCGGAAGGCAGCCTCCACACTTTCCAACAGCTCGGCGCCAGAGGCTTCAGCTGGGACACCTGCTGCTCCGGCTGCTCCGCTCGTCCGCGAACGATCGCTGGCCAAGCGGATCAAGGCACCGGCCTGCGATCGCTGTCCCCACTGCGATCGCACCTTCAATCCCAAGGCCTTTGATCGCCACGTGGAGTGGTGCAAGGAGAAGGCCATCCAGAACAACATGAAGTCCACCAACAGCCAGGAGACGAGCAAGGCCAAGGAGCGTCTGGAGGCCAGGAAGCAGTACAGGCCACCCAATTTGAAGTAAGTAGAACTTTTAAAATATCGAAATTATCGATAATTTTCAAACATCAATGTTTAACGAATCGTCAATGTTTTTATGACGTATTATTATAAACATAATTATATATATTATTCTAAGTTGTATTTCTTTTCCTTGAAAACATCGATATTATCGATAAGAAATTGTAAAAATATCGAAAATATCGATTTCTTTCAAAGCTCTAGAAGCAAGCCTGGCTTCAGTTGACACATTCTTCTGATCTCTTTATTAATTCACACACTTTTATTGTTTCCTTTCCTCGTTCCTATTTTGTTTGGCCATGTTTGACAGGACGAAGAGATCTTTGGCCCGTGACAAATACTCTGGAAACCACGAGGAGCTCCTGGAGGCGGGAGAGATCGCGGCACCCAAGCCAAATATGATGTCCCTATCGATGACCTCATCCGTGCACAGTGATAAGTGAGTAAAAGGTTTATCTATATAGATCTTTGAGATCTCCTTAATAGATAGTTAGTCCTAACCCCCGATGCTCTTCTGGCGTTGCTTAGGTCGTCGTTGATTAATCCCTTGAAAAAGTAATCCGTATTTGATAGTCCTAGCCACCGTCGTGTAGTTCCCACACACTCTCTGTAGTTAGTCCTCCGATCAGCGATCGTCACTCATCCCCGAAAAATGATCCTGATCCTCAGCACTCAAGCTCAAGTCGCGAGACCACGAACCTCGGCGGGATCAGGAGGAGCAGGTCGTGGCAAAGCGAGCTCATCGGTCACCCAGAACCAGGTGAGCCTGTACCACGAGGATCCTCCATCTTCACCGCCGCCACCGCCCAGGGAACGTGCTGCACTGCGTCGCTCCAAGCGATCCAAGCCGGAATCCTGCAGCGAAATCGATGAGACTATGGAGCGTTTGAGGACTGGAGATGCTCGCCAGTTGGCCAAACTAGATTGCTTGGAGGCACCAGTTCTTCAACCGGCTAGACGTCGTAAAGGCGGATCCAAATTGGATAAAATCGACGGGGTTGATAAGGAGATCAGCCTGCCCCATCTACCCCAAGTATCCATGACATTCGACGAGCTCAATGGGTTGATCAAGCGCAAAGGTAGGGGGTGAACTTTTACTTTAGGATTGGATTTTACGGGATCTCCAACTCTTATAAGTGGCATGCAGTTCTGCAATTAACTTGGGGTTCGAAAACTTGTAAGATCTAAGAAGCCGGAACCATTTCATGATCGTTAATTAGTGCGCGCATTCGGGAGATCAGCGAAGCATTAACTTCAGGTGCAAGTGCATCTACTTGGGCTTTAAATTTTTTCAGAAGCTTTAGAATGAGAAGTCAAGGGTATCGAAGGAGAAATATAATTAATAGGTTGAAGGGCTTTTTAACTTAATTAGTTTTTTGTTCATAGAGTATTAAAGAGGCTGTATAAGATGTTAAATTGGATCCAAATATTACAAATCTAATTAATTTATCAGAGTTTAGAGTATAAATTTTGTATATGTAGTGGATTGGAGAGAAGAGCCTGAGTAAATGTTAAATTGTCTTTAGGATAGTAAAAAGATGATGTTCAATAGTTTCCAAAGTAAACGTTAGAATTCGTGTAAAAAATATTATCTATTCAAAGTAATCTCTAAGATATGGAAAAAGGTTTAAAGATCATAAAAACCTAATTAATCTAATCAAAGTAAATGGGTAAAAATAAAACATTTGCAGTACACACTTAGCAATAGAAATCTCCCAAAACTTTATGATAGCCCCTTAGTAAAACCAAGGCTAACCCAACTACCCAAACCTCCCATCCATCATGCTGCTCCTTTGAAGGCGGCACCCCCATTTGCAAAGTGGAAATGGATGAGCAGGAAATGGCCAGTCTGTCTAGCAAACACCAATCCTCCACATCCCTCGTGCAACAGGCACGTCGACGCATTCGCACCAAAGAGAATCCCAATCTTCAGCTGCGTGCTCTGCAATCATGCCCCTTGGTATCCAAGGACGTCCAGTTTGCCTCTTTGGATTCCAGTTTGGTGCCACTGCAGCAAAAGCAGCGCAAGGTTTACTCCGGATCCGAGGATGATTCGCCCAGGGCGGAGATCCAAATCAAACTGGAAGCCACCACCATGCGGACAGTTTGTCGACCCTCGAAGAGATCCCAAATAATGAGCAGCTCGGAACCACTGCGTGCTCTGCCCATGCCAGGATTAAAGCAGAATCTGGAGGCCATCAATCAGTCCATGGGTCAGACAGTGCTCCCTAGATTAAAGCTGGGCAATGAGAGGCAGGATTTCGAACCGGAGGAGCCAGATGATAACTATACCAGTGAACTGGAAGAGGAAGAAGGAGTCGAAGAGGAGGAGGAGCAGGAGGACCTCATGGTGCGAGCAGCTAAGCTCATAGAGCGGGCTAGGTCAAGTCCCATTCCCAAGGCAGAACCTGAAAAGGAGGAGGAGGACTACCAAAGCGAGGAGGAGGAGCCGGAGGAGGCTGTCCTGAAGCTGCCCCCTTTGATTAAACAAAATAGCAACGTCAGTCGCCGTTTGGTGGTCCTTGAGCAGGATGAGAATGGCACCATGTACATCAAGTCAGCGCCTGGAAACAAGCGACGTTCCTCGAATAGGTTTGTATCCCAGTTAGGCACCAAGTAATCCTAATCCTTAATCCTCCCCAGAGACGACAGCCAGACAGAGCAAGAATGGGTGGTTTTTTAACAGCTAACTATACAACTATTCCTAATCCTTTACAATCTTACTTTTAAACAGCGGCCTGGGAGACAAATACGATCCCTTCCTCTCGGCCAAGCGGCAGCTGGAGGAGCTCTGCTCGCCCAGCACGCCGCCGCCGGAGGAGGAGGAGGTGGTGACCACCATCAGAACACCAAAAACACCTACACCCAGTATAGCCATGACCACATCCTTGACCACAGCGGTTGGTAAGCCAGCGCAGATTACGCAGAAAACCACCGCCACGCCGGCCTCCAATTTCCGACGCACTTCCTCCTTGAGGGGACCCCGTCGCACGCCCATGCTGAACAGTCGCCCCCTGTTCGCCACCAACTATCGACCCACCATTCAGCGCGGTCTCTCCGACGAGGGACCCATCTCCACGAACTTCCTGAAGCCCGAGGAGTTCGACGAGATGCCTGTGCGGGCAGCCTGCGGCAATGATTTCCACAGTCCACGGGTGGTGCGTCGGGATACGAGTGCCTCCAACCGCAAGCAACTCCTCAAGTTGCCAGTGAATGATCCTCCTTCAACCGCTGCTGCCCCCGGACGCAGTGTGGCCAAGACGGACTCCCTGGCCGTGTTCTTGAAATACGAACACGAGCTGGAGCAGCTGAATGCCAAGGCAGCGGAGCTGGCAGCCGCTAGCCAGTTGACCAGCAAGGAGCAGAAGGACAAGAGCAACACGCTGAGCAAGCAGAACTCGGCCAAGAGCCTGAGTACTCCTGCCCAGCTGCCACTATTGCCGGTGGCATCACCAAAGGAGGTCAGCTATCCACCGGTGGTTACACCTTTGCGTCTGGAACCCATTGTTAGTAAGCCGGTGAACCAGCCTCCTCTTACACCCATCAAACTGGAAAGCATCTTTGGTCCGAAGAGGGAAACACCTTCAGTGGCCAGCGACTACATAGATCCCAAGCTGATCAATGCCTGCGATAATCTGCATGTGAACAGTAACATAGCCTCGGATGCCAGCTCCACTCCCCAGCAATTGTCGCAAAGTCGCAGCCGGAGCAGCTCCCAGTCGACCATCACCCACGAACGAAGGCAATCCGGCGAGGCCAGGAATCTGCTGAAGCGCAAGATGCGTCTGGGACGCAATCAGTTCCTCTACGATGCCTCTCCCGAGGATGCAGATGCCTCTTCGAACTGCTCAGCGGACGACGAGGCCAATCGCTCGTCCATGGAGTACGATGAGCAGTGCTGGCAGCAGCAACAGAAGCAGCTGCTGGCCAATCCCCTGCCAATGGTCATGCCCATGGTCCACCATACGATGCCCACCTTCGACGACTTTGACTTCGAGGAGTTCCTCTCCTCGTTCGAGAACGAGAACGAGGACGAGCAATTCCCGCTGTTCAAGGACTGTCGCGAGTTCCTCATGAATCGCTCGACGAGCAGGCAACGCTCGTTCCAGAAGGCAGCGACTTCAGCACTTCCCACACAAACGACGACGACAGCCACACAGAGTCATCTAAGTCAGCAGCAGGCCAAGATTAAAGACCATCACCATGCCGCCCACAGGTCGCCGCAGGAAGCCTCGAATGCCAGCAGCCAGGAGGAGAAGCGAGAAGCCCAGGATCTTCAACAGAAGCGGGAGATCTTCATCAGCATCGAGACGGAGGCCAATGCCCAGGGACGCTCGCCCATCTCCCCGGAGTCACTGCGCCACATGGTCGGCAATGCCCAGACGCCCATCGATGTGCTGCACATCGAGAACGGCAACGAGCCGGAGCACGCGAGGTTCAGCAAGATCAGCGACACGGAGGATGCCGGGGAAGAGTCTGGGAATGGGGTCAGCCAGCCCACCAGCCGACTGTTGGCCCCATCCTCGAGCAATAGCTCCGCTTTGGCGCCCAACGTGCAGCTGAACAATGCCAAGAACCGGATACAGCAGATGCACAGCGATTTCCGGCAGATGGGCGAGGAAATGGGCGCCTCCATGCGGCGCATGCTCATCGGAAATGCGGGAAGGGGCGAGGAAACAAATACAGGACCAGATCAGGTCAAGGCCAACGCCCCACTGACGCCTTCGCCATCGGCGGACTCCGATGAGCTGAGCAGCCTGGATGGCTATCCCATGTCCTCGTCGCACGGTTCACGTCGCGGAGCCAGCTCCAAGCTGAGCTCAGATTCGGCATATGGAAGGTAGGTTTACCTAGATATAGTAATTAGAGGCCTGCATAGGTTTGAATGCCAATCGATTGGGAATTTAATTACGAGTTCAGAAAGGTATGACATTCCATATTGGGACCATTATTTACGTTTTTATGGTCGAAATACTGAATTCTTGGGTGGAAAATCAGGATCTTGATTTTTGTTAAAAATATGAAATTAAAAAGGCTTACTGTTTTGAGCAGCTAACGACCAAATTATGAATATCCGTGCACTTTTTAAGCGATTTTAAAAAAATTAATTTATGATCAAATTTTCACATTTTTGAAATGCAATAATTTTCATGATTTTTTGCATAAAATGCATAAATGGATTCAATGAATCATTTTGAATTTTTTGTTTTATATAAATGAATTAATTAGAATTTAGAGTTTAATAGAATTGAATGAACTTGAAATTTGAGTTTAATAGAATTGAATGAACGAATGGCATGAATTCCGAAATAATTCAAACGACAATTTCTGCCTGAATTTTATTTACTATGCAGTTAACATTTGTTAAAAATTTTCCACTTTTTGTTCTCAAAAGAAAGCACAACAAAAATCTGGCAAATTCAAAAAATTCATAAAAATTATTCATTCAATTCGAATTGAATTAGAAAAACATTTAATTCATTTCACATAGAATTGAATTAAACAAATCAGAAATTTCATGGCATACTATGATAAAACAAAAATTGAATGATTCACGCAGGGCTTTAATAGTAATTTACAATATATAAATATATATATTTTTTATAACAATTTTAGCAGCAACTCACCTTATAGCTTGTCGCGTCAGCGCTCCACGGAACTGCAAACCGTCACTCCTCGTGGCGTCCAGGGACTTCTGCGTCCTCACACAGCCAGTGCCAAGTTGATGGACGCCTCCACGCAGGCGCAGATCGATCATGGAACACTCAAGGCTCGCCAGCGACTCTTTGCCCCGGAATTTTCAAACAACAACGAGGATGGTGATTTGGATGGAGCCGAGTCGAGCAGTGGATCTGATCACTCCTTTGCGGTGCAAAAGCAGCAGCAGCAGCAACAGAAGCAGACCAGCAATTACAACTATCAGCAGCAGCAGCAGGCGCAACAGCAGATGCAATCCCAATCCCAATCCCAGCCAGCTTACAACACTAACAACAACAACAACAACAACGTACCGATGACACCCACCACATCAGAGCATTCGCTAATGAGCAACTCGTCCACGAGCACAAGTACGAAGAGGTCGAAGTACTGCCATGAATGTGGCCACAAGTTTATCCTCGAAGCCGAGAACTACTGCATGGAATGCGGTTTGAAGCGGGTTGAACTCTAGATTAACACAGCACAGTAGCTTATCAGTAGCTCACACAGAAATCCTCGAGATTGGAACACTCAAAAACACTAAAACACGGGAAACCCCGAAAAGAGAAGACGATTCCTGGCTGGTTTGATCTTTTAAGGGGCTCTAAAATATATACCAAATGTAGTTGTTAAACGCAGGCAACACCGCTTATATATACAGAAGTAATAATAATAATAATAATATATATTTTAATACAAACCAAAACATGCAAAACAAACGGTTTTATATCGAGCAAACTTTAATTAATCGAACTAAACTTGGCATTTTTTCTTCGTAAACATATTTCTCATCTTCGATTGCTTAAAAAAAAAAACGAAATCGAAATTGGCGAACAAAAAACGCAACTCAACGTAAACAAATAAACACTTTAACAAAGTTGTTGATTAACAAAGACTGAACGAATTTAAACGATAGAGCGTTGGAAAAAAATTAATGGATTGTGTAACGTGACAAGAGCGAAACTATTTTTAAACATTTTTCAAAACCTAACGCAGCAACTCCATTGTATTTGTATTTTGTAATCGTTTTACTAATTATATAGACACTGCTTAAATATATATATATATAATACGATAATGCGCATTCACATCGATTTGGTTGAATATAAAACTTGGTTTAAAACGTCGAAGTTGACTTAACATTCATGAAAACTCATACGTTTGGATTTGATTGGTCCATTTCTTACGCAAATCTTATATCGAGTGTTTTTCTTCTTTCATTTTCAGGGCATTAAATGAAATATCTTGGTAACGCATAGTCTTAGACTGCATTAAGCGATAAATGTTATCAGAAGCTTATATTAAAAAAAATACAACATATTCTGTTTTACAGATGGGAAAAAAGCTTAGAAAACTAAGGGCTAAGTAGGTATTTCCCTTCCTTTCTTCTCTTCTAGAGGATAATCTCATACTTTGAACTTTTCGGAGTCTGTCTTAACTTAATTTTAGTCTAGGGTTTATAAATAAGTCTAAACTCACATTTCCTGCAGTTTTAGTTTAGTTATTTTGGGCGCAGCTGCGCAGGCTTTGAGAAAGTTCGAGTGAACAACGATCCTGTCCGATTTCTGTATGGATAACTGCGACAGTTTCTGGCTTAGAGCTTCAGTTTCCTTGTTCTCCATGGTCAGACTGATGTCCTTTGGCATCCTAGCGTACCAAGGAGTGAGCTCCTCGTCCTCACACTCGCTGCTCGACTCCTCATCGGATGTATCCTCATCGATGTCCGGCAGGAATTGCGGTCTCTGCTGCAAACCCTTCTTCTTGAAGAGATAGGTGCCTTGATTCTTGCACTCCTTTATAATGGCCTTGAAGTCCCGGTGATAGCGCAAAGTGACCGGGTTTCCCACGAGGATCAGCAGTGCCTTGGCTCGTGAGAGGAGAACATTCACCCGACGAGGATTGCGCATGAATCCCATGTTGGCAAAGGAACGCACCAGGCTGGCAATTATGATGGGCTTCTCGCGGCCCTGGTAAGTCTCCACGCTGCCCACCTCCACGTTGGGGTGTCCCTGGCTCTGGAGCAGCTGGGTAATCAGTTTACCCTGCGCTGTGTAAGGCGCAACTATGCCTATGTCCTCCTGCTTTACGATCTTTCCCCTTCCCAAGCCATCGCTCATCAGTCGCTTGACATACCAGCAGAGCACCTGAGCCTCCAGCTGGTTGTAGGAGCTAGTCGAGTGCTGCTCCCTTTTGGTCACTCCATGGGTGGCCTGAAAGATTATCGGGAAGAGGGGATTGGGAAGAAGGCTCCAGTTAGCAGCTAGATTGACATCCGCAGCCGGCGCCTGAGGTATCAGCTCGCCGTTGTAGTAGAGCTCGTTGAACAGGCGCACAATCTCCGGATGGGAGCGATAATTCCGACGCAGACGCGTCTGCAGAGAGCGATCGTAGTTGCCATTCTCGTCCAACTTGTAAATATCCGAACGGAGGAGTCGCTCCATGAGGGAGTGACTCAATCCCAGCGAGGCAGCCCGATTGCTCTTGATCACAGCGCCCAGCTGCTTGTGATCTCCGGACAGGATGACATGGCAATCGGCCGTCTTCTTGACGCCCATGATGCCGATCAGAGCCTCCGGTTCGGTGGCGGCGCCCGCCTCGTCGATGAAGATGTGGCTGAAGAAGTTGTGCTTGCCCAGATTGTCGGTGACCAAGCGTCCCACGGTGCAGAGCGTGGCCACGGTGATGCCGTACTCGAGTATATGCGAAACTCCAAGGTGCTCGTAGACATTCTTCGAGCAGTTGGAATTCTTTAGCAGCAATGCCGGCACGGACTTGAGTCCTTTGTGGTGAATCGAGCGGGAGAAGACGCGGATCAACTGGTGATTCGCCTCCGGCTGCTCCTGCCGTTCAAAGTGGTCCCGCAGACGGGCATTGCTGTGGATATACTCGCAGAGCTTCAAGGCGATCGTGTCGCAGGCCGAGTTCGAACCGGCGGTTACGAGGATGCGGCTTCGCGGTTGCTGAAGGCGCAGCTGTAGAATGGCCTCCACAATAGTTGTGGTCTTGCCAGTGCCTGTAAAGTAAAGTAGTGATATTAGTTATGGGGAAGGTACACCATAAATGGTAAACCTTATATATAAGGAGTTTATATTGGGATGCTAAAGCATTTTCTTTAAAAAATACCATTTAAATCAATGACAGTTTCACTTAAAACTAAATCATTTCTTGTTAAATTGAAATTTCATGATCTATTATTCAAATTATTCAAACGCGGCTTCTAGTTACTTTAGAAATTAATGTGATTTTTTTAGATTTTTTTTCTGGTTGAAATTTGGCCTCCACAATAGTTGTGGTCTTCCCAGTGCCTGGTTAGTAAAGTAGTGGTATTAGTTATAGTGAATATATAGAGTTTATATTGGGATTCTAAAGAATTTTCTTTAAAAAAAAACCATTTAAATCAATGACAGTATCATTCAAAACTAAATCATTTCCTTTTAAATTAGTTTTTTAATTGGAATTTCTTTATCTATTATTCTAATTTGTACCCCACAATTTATGTGATTTATTTAGATTTTTATGTCAATCCGTTCTGGGTGAAATTTGCTACTGACCGTTTTTTATAGGTCCTATTATAATAATTTAGATTGAAGCTTGATGTTTTTAATGTTGAGTTGCGTGAATAAAAAGTATTTTCAACAACGTAAAAAAACATAGGTGTCATAAAAAAATGTATAATGTAAATGTAAATGTATATATGATCTACGAGCCGGAAATAGAAAACTCTCTATCAAAATTATATTTTGTAAGCCCTTACTAAATATATACCCTTACAGCCGATAGTATGACCCAAAAATTTTGGAATTTAGCTATATCCTTAAAAAATATAACAACCAAGAGCCTAAAATTTTGGAATTTAGCAATATCTCTTGTATATGCTATACAATTATATTTTAAGCCTGTTCTACATTTCCTTCTCTTCTCTATTTACAATGTACATTGTACAATTTAATTTTGCAATTGTTCTGTATCTCAAAGTACAACATGTAAGCATATTTCTGCAGATTCAGCATTGTCACCATTGTCACCAGAGACATGACCGATGACTAATAACATTTGTAAATATGAATGCATTTCTGAGCTTTAAATATGCATTTGTAGGTGTAGAACAAGCTTACAATATCAATAATAAGCATAAATATTTAGGGTGTTCAATTGCGTTGCAAACTTTGTAAAGTGTAAAAGTGTAAATCAATTCCAACAACAATTTCTATACAAAATAGTTTTCAAAAGTAGGCCTTTAAAACTATTTTGTATAGAAATTGTAGTTGGAATTGATTTACACTTTTACACTTTACAAAGTTTGCAACGCAATTGAACACCCTAATTATATTGTTTCCCACCTGGTGGTCCGAACAGGATGTAGGGTCCCTGGGGACTTGGTCCCGCGACAATTCTCTGCACCGCCTGCAGCTGTTCCGAGTTGGAATAGATGGTAGTGTTCAGCAGGCTGAGCGAGGCGAGAGGTGCAGGCTGGGTTGGTGGCTTCGCCTCCATCCAGCTGGGCAGGATGGCGCAGTCGCGCATGTGGATCATATTTTTGTCCAGCATCTGGGTCAACCAGCCGGGAAAGGGGAAAAGGTAGCGGCGCAACAGCGGGCTCTCCTGGAGCAGCTTGAGTGCGCGGTACATATACCTCATTGGAGTGCGCCTGGAGCGGATGATCACACAGAAGCGCTGGCCGAGCAGCTCCTCCTCCTTGGGGCAGTTGCCACGGCCGAAGCGAATGTGCACGGAGGTGCGACTGACCTGCTCCACACTGGCCACATGGCGGCGCATAGGATCCTTCATCTCCAAAGCCTCGTGAGGATGTGGCAACAAAGCCAGCACCAGTTGTTTGGGCAGCGGAGAGGCGGCCAGGCTGGATTTGGGCACCAGGACCACATCATCCAAGTTTATGGCCACCACATCCTCCGCATTCACACCCGTGGTGCTCAGGGCAATCCTATAGCGCAGCTTGGAGACCCGCTGCACAGCCACATCCTGCTGAATCAGTTGGGCGTACAGCTGCATCGTGGACAGATCCTCAATGGTGAGCAGCGATTGCATCACGGCGCAAACGTTGTAGAACTCCAGGCGCTTAGTAAGCAAATACTCGGCGAACACTGCATTTGTGTCGCAGAGATCTGCATCGGTGAATTCGGTAATCAGGGCTTCTAACATTTCGGAACTTGGAGGATAATGCGGTAAATTGCGCATCAGTGCTAGAAGTCTAAAGGAGATTTCCATGAAATAGGGGCATAGAAAACTGTACCAAACAACTCACTTTTTTTCTTTCTCCAAAGGATCACATATCTTAACTTTCTGATCGTCAATATCCTGTGTTTTGGGACCCAAAATAAAAGTAGTTCCCTTCTTTTTAAGCCAATTCTCTGCATTCTTAGCTATATAAGAAAGTTGGCGATCCAGCTGAAAATCGCAATAATTAAGCACCTACTAACAATATGTAACTAGCTAAAACCACTCACCAACTCCAAATTCTCCGATCCGTGCATGGTTCTCTTGCTAAAAGTAAATCACACAGATTAAATCACATAAATTGAAACGAAAACGTAGAAAGCAGCGCAGCTTTTCCAAGAAAAAAACATTCGCGGAGTTTTAAAGTTCCGTTGTTTTCGGTGTAGAGATGGACAAATTGTGTTTAAGCTTGCGCGCTACACAGTGATCTTAAGCTATCGATTGTAATCGATAGTTGTTCTGCTAGCAGCACTGTTTTAAGTTCATCTCTAATTCCTAGATTTGTTTACAAAAGGGTTTTATTTTTATTTTACGGAAAATGGGAGATTCCGATTCGAACGAGGTCCTGATCGAGGAGATAGACAGCAACGATGTGCCGGAGAACGAGCTGGAGCAGTTCCAGGAGACGGAGCCGCTGCGCGTGGTGGACATCATCGATTGCGACGCGGAAGGCGGCGAGCGGCGGAGTTTCGAGGCGGACGAGGAGGAGGGAGCCCTAATCAAGCGCTATGTGCAGGGTGTCCAGTGCCTGGAGTTCCCAGACTTTTGCACCAAGCTGGAGGCCAGCGACGAGGACGAGGAGGAGGAGCCCCTGGAGGCGACAACCGCCTCCGGGAACGTGGAACTGCCCAGCACTTCGGCACAGGCCAAAGCTCCCCAAGAACAATCTTCTGGAAGTGGTCGTTCCGGCGGAGGAGGCGGTGGCTTCCGCAAGAGCCAGCTGAGCACCGCCCTCCAGGGACTCATGGGCGAGGCCAACCTGAGCTTCGTCTACGGGCGCTTTGAAACGGCTGAACGCATCTGCATGGAGATCATCCGACAGAATCCACTGGCCAGCGAACCCTTCTACACGCTGGCCGAGATCTACGAGAATCGCGACGAGGTCAAGTTCCTGAACTTTTCAACGCTAGCCGCGCATTTGAATCCCCAGGATCGGGACATGTGGATCAGGGTCTCCGATCTGCTCGTCCAGCAGGGAAATCTCGCTCGTGCCCGCTTGATTTACACCAAGGCCATTAAGATGCTGCCCAAGGTGTATCAATTGAGGCTGCGGAAGGCGCAGCTGCTGCAGAAAATGGGCGAAACGAATGCCTCGATGTTTACTTACTTAAAAATGCTGCCTTTAATGCCGCCGGATGAGTGGAAGATGTGTTTGAATACAGCCAAGAATGTGGCTCGCTACTTTCATGTGCTGGAGAAGCACACGCTCGCTTTGGAGGCCATGGAGGGGGCTTACACCGTTTGCGGTGGCCGCTTCACCCTCGAAGATATCAATATCTATTTGGAACTCCTCATCCTAAACAAGCAATATGCCAAAGTTTTGCGCTGCCTGCGCGAGCGCACCAACTTTGAGCTGGAGAACGACCAGGAGGAGAGCCTGGAGCTCATATATTTCTGTGAAATACCCGACGACTATGTGCCCGAGCTGAGGGCCAAACTCTGCGTCAGTCTCATCCACATGAGGGCTCATCATTTACTCGGTTATCTTATACAAAATGTCCAAGAGCACATTGCGCTAACCACTGATCGCGTGGAACTCTATATGGACATCACGGAGGCGCTGATGCAGGAGCACAAGTACGCCGAGGCCATTGCTTTGATGAGTCCCATCACCGATGGCGACACCGTCGAGTGCCCCGCTTTCGTGTGGCTGCGGCAAGCGGAGTGCCTGCGCCAGTTGAATCGCACCAATGAGGCGATACAGAGTTATGAGAGGGTCGTCCAGCTGGCTCCCTTTTGCTACGATGCGAGGTTTACTCTCTCTGCGCTGCTTAAACAGCAGGGGCGTCACGAGGAGGCCGTCCAGGCACTGGAGCAGCCTGGCGAGGCGGAGGGCCAGCCGCTGATTGCCCGCCTGCTGTACGAGCGCTGTATAATGCTGCAGCAGATCGGGCGCATCGAGGAGTTCCTGGACGTGGGCTATGCCCTACTCAGTCGCCACTCCATCAAGCTGTACAATCGCGAGGAGATGATGGCCGCTGCCAATGGAGGCAGTGCCTACAACTCAGAGAGCTTGAAGACCATCATTCAGATGCGCAGCAAGGCGGTGGATAGCTCAGCGGAGCAGGATTTACAGGATCCTGGGAAGAACGCCGCCACCGAGGCCTCCGATCTGACCGTCAAGGATGAGTTTAACCTTTTCCAGGAGCTCGTGCGCACGGCCTTCAAGCACGGCATGCACAGCGCCGCCGAGAAGATCTGCTTTGCCATGGTCACGACCAAGAGATTCACCTACTACCATCACGAGATCGAAAGGATTATGGTGCTGACCTGCTACTACAACGACGACTGTGCGATAGCCTTCTCCTATCTGCGCGAGCTGATCGCCAAGCAGCCCAGCCAGACGACGCTGTGGAACATGCTCTCGCTGATGATCCAAAAGGGCGACGAGGTGCGCTACTATCGCTACATGCGGCGTCTGATGCAACGCCATCCGGTGGACACCAAACCGATGAGGATATTCCAGGGTCACTATCATTTGAACTGCGCTTCATTCAAGTATGCTTTGAATATTTACATGCCCATTCTGCGCGAGAATCCCGATGCCCTGGTGGCTCTCTGCATAGCTGTGGCCTTTAATCAACTTTCGCTGCAAAAGAAGGTGCTGCGCAAGTCGGCCTCGGTGGCCCAGGCGGTGGCCTTCGCCCAGCGCTACAAGGAGCTGCGATCGGCGGGTCAGGACTTCGTCGATTGCCCCGCCCAGCAGGAGATCTTCTACAACATCGGGAGGATCTACCACCAGGCGAATATCCTGCACCTGGCCGTCGAGTACTATGAAAAGGCTTTGGCCGTGCCCGTTCATCCGCTGATTGCCGAGCACGAATCCACATTGGGTCTGCAGCACGAGGTGGCCTTCAACCTGCACCTGATCTACCGGGCGCATGGGAACAAGTGGAAGGCGCGACAGTACCTGATGCGTTACTGTGTGGTCTAATCTTAGTGGTGTATGTAAGGAATATGTAACTACCCTGAGTACTAGGTTTAAATGGTGTAAATAGCTTTGTATTCATAAGCACGTTCCATAAAAATTGAAACCTGTTTTCGTATAACTAAAGATTCTTCTTTGTAATATTGTATTGGGTTATATTCAAACGAATAGTAACTAATTTAGAAGAAAGTTCTAGAAATCGAACCACATCACTTTCTTTGGATTGCCGTAGATTTTAAATTCTCTATCACTTTTACCTTTCTTTTGGCAAACTAGATCCCATTTCTATTGTTTAAAATGTAAACTTTAAATTAAGTAAGCACTTTAATTTGACTTTACAACTTGGTGTTTTGTAAACGACTGAAGTTTCTGTTCGTACTGAAATAAAACAACAGCTAGGAGTCGCAATTATACCGATAAGAAAACAATACAGGGGAATACCAAGAATACCCTGTCTTATCAATTGTAAAATTAAAATTTAGTCATGCCTCTGGTAAAACTGACCAATACTTTGACTTCTGTTAAGGGACTTTAGTAGGTCGTATTTCCAGTAACTTGTTTTGTAGATAGATTCTTATCATAATCCCATTTGATGATAATTTGATGACTAAAATTGAGCTTAGTTATCTTAAAGAATTGCTTTTAATTTTAAGTTAACCACAGAGGATTTTAAAACCATATTTTATACTACAAGAAATGTTAGTATTTTGTATTAAAACGTTATTATTGAAAATACCTTATTTAAGGTCTCAGAAGGAGTTACATTTAGAACAAGTGATCAAGAAGAAGTAGATAGATTATTAATATAGTCCCATTTAATGACAATTTAAAGGCTAAAATTAAGATAGGTTACCTTAATGAATTGGTTCTTACTCGAATACTTTAAGTTTACCATCTTTTCAACGAATAGAATATACCCTTTTATTCTACAAGAAATGATAGTATGTTGTATTAAAACTTTATTATTGAAAATATCTTTTTTTAAGCTCTCAGAAGGAGTACATTTACAAGAAGGAGTATTAAGAATTCGATTCTAATCTAGCACGCCGGCATGGAGCAGGGACGCGACTTGGTGAGGCGCTTGGAGCAAGGCTGTCCGCCATTCTGGGGCTCGCTGACCACGTAGCGATGGCTCTCGGAGACTCCAACGCCACAAGGAACACTACACGATGACCAGGTGGACCATTCGGACAAGACACATCCCTTGGGTTGCTCAGCTCTCGAAGATCTGACGGCACTGCAGGTGCTCAGGCAGTCGTTTTCCGTGAGGAAGTTGTTCCGGTTTCCCCTACATCCTCCGTAGGTAAAAGCACCGCATCGCTGGCCATGCGGATCGTAGGCATAGCGCATATAGGTGCCCCTGCAGGGACCCACATCCGGTGGTTGGACGCAAATATCCTTGGCCTGCTCCGCATTTATGTGACAGTCGGTGGGATTAACGCACGGCTTCTGCTGGTGCAGCTCCAACCGTCGCGTGCAGTTCTCCTTGAGGGGTCCATTCTCTAGAAGCACCTGGCGGGTGCGAATGGTCACGCCCTTTCCGCAAGTCGAGGTGCAGGGACTCCAATCGCTCCACTGGGTGGTGGGACACTGCGGATCGGGCAGCTCCACCTCCTCGAACTTGCACTCCGGCCGCATGCACTTGTTCTTCTCCACCACCGTGATGTGGGGGCATCGCTTGCGTCCCAAGTGGTTGACAAAGGTGCGCGTGCGCATGGTGATCCCGATGCCACAGCTGGCGGAGCAGTCGGACCACACGCTCCACGGGGAAGTCTTGCAGAGACCGGCTCCCTCGCCATTGTCGCCCACCGAAGACTGCGAGTTGGCCAGGTTCTCGCCCTCATCTTCATCGCGATCTCTGGACTGCTGGGATGATGAGCCACTGGGACACTCGGCCAGGGAGGCCACGCACATTTCCTTGGACACCAGTTGGCGGGCGCACTTGCTCTGATCCGCGGCAGCGGGGTACAAATACTGGCGGCTGCGCATGCGGATGCCCTTGCCGCAGCTCACGGAACAGGGACTCCAGGCGGAGAAGTCGCTCACCCGGCATTCGGCTGGAAAAATTAATAATTAGATTAGATTACTTGGTTCTAGGACACCTAACCCACCTCTGGTGTCCTGCTCCTCGGCATCATCGGACACCTCCAGCTGGAGGGCCTGCAGGAATTCATCATCGCAGCTACGGGAGATAATCTTCTCGCGACGCAGGTACAACTTGGCCAAAGGAGTCATCTGGCGGCTGTGGGGATTGTAGAAGGGAGCCCTAGGATCCTCGGGATACATGGTGGTGATGCGGTACATCCTTTCCGGTGGTTGAGTCTCCGAATTAGGTGACTATCAAGGGGGATTGATGAAATTAAATCTTTGAAATAGGTGTACATCCAAAAAAAAAATCTATGTGAAACGTAGATCGGTTTTACATTATTTATGATAAATTCTTATTTAATATGCGGCCAGGTAGATTTGATCTGCTCGAAAAGAGTTTTTCTTGTAAAAACGATATGGGTTTTGCATGATCTGAAATTTACATGGTCATATCGATTTTACGGGAACGTGATTGTTGAGGTTGAGTCTCCGAATTGGGTGACTATCAAGGAAGATTTATGGAATTCGATCTTTGAAATAAGAGTAGGTACTCCCAACAAAAATCGATATGAAAAGTAGACCGATTTTACAATATTTAAGATCAATTCTTATTTGATATGCGGCCAGGTAAAGTTGATCTGGTCGAATAGAGTATTTCATGTAAAAACGATATGGGTATGTAATTTACATGGCCCTATCGATTTTATAATCGATATCATATAATCTTACCATATAGGAGATGCCACTATCAGTGCCCGCATCCCAGGGATAAAGATCAATGTCCAGCGACTCCTTCCAGCTGCAATCCTCGGTGCAGAGATCCAGTCCATTGATGCCCACCACCCAGTCGGGCGAAGGACCAAACATAGACGCTAGGGAAACCTTCGGGTGCTTGCGATCCACACGGAACTTGGCGGAGGTGTTCTGGTTGACATGGGGATACCACAAGCCGGCGGCCTTAATCAGGGTGCGCAACTTGGGTCCATTGCCGCGCAGCTCCGTTTCCAGAGCCGTGGGGGAACCCCATTCCGCCAGGGAACGGAATCCGGCGCTGGCTATGTGGTTCTCGCCCCAGAAGGAGAAATTCGATTCGTGCGAGGCGCCAATGACATCTGAGAAGTGGGTTAACCAGATGGCGAAGGGATAGTCCTTGGGATGGGTTTCATTTGACCAGATGCCCTCGAAAGTGAACTGGAAATGGGATGGAAATCTTGAATTGTCAGTAATCTCCTATAGATTCCTTAAACTCACGCTATATTTGGCCTCATCACAGGCACAGCATTCCTTTTGGGCAGCAGCTGCATCCGGTTTTCGTTCACAAATCACCGTGGATAGATTACCATCGTCGGCGAACCAGGCACGGGGACCCTCGTAGACCATGGCGGACAGAGAAACACAGCCGGAACCCGCCTCCGGAGCCACCCACATCACCTGGACCTCCGTTTTGGGCAGATCATCCGCCTCGGAAACCGTATTCACGCAACGATCGTTGAATTGGGTCAGCGAGTCACTAAACAGCTGGAAGCGACCCACTCGTCTGGGACTGGCCGCCTGGGGACGTCGTGCTCCGGTGTGAGCCTCCGCGGCGATGGTGAAGTGGGTGAAATGCTGAATTTTCGTATGAGTTCGGGAGCCAAGTAGCAGCACTGCAAAAATATTTCAAAATCAAATTTAAATTCCGATAAAAAAAATATATATATCGATAAACAAATATCGCTGGCGCTTTGTGCAACTCTGAAATCAACACTATAGCTGTCTCGCTTTCGTCACACAACGCGCAATTTGTATTTGTTTTGTTTAAATTCCGTTTTTAATTGTTAATTCTTAGATTTAAACAATGGCTTCGTTTCTGGACATGCTGACGGGCAGTTCGAGCGTCGACCTGAAAAAGTGCGGCGACGTGGTGGTCTCGCCCAGTGATAATATGCTGGCGATTTACTGTCACTTCTGCCGGGACATTTTCACCCATTTGCCGGAGTTTTTGAGACACCTCCAGTGGGCGCATGTGGACCAGTTGCACTTCACCAAGGAGCACAACGTGTACAGCGTGGAGGAGCTGATGTCCGATGAGGAGGAATTTCAGTCCACGGGGGGCAACAGCAGCAGCGGCGGCGACTCCGGGGTGCAGGCAGAATCTGAGGAATCTGTGGCCTTCAAGGGTTTCCAGGATGACTCCAACGATAGCCACGAAAAACGTAAGTAACTAGGTGCCCTTCCTTCAAAAGTATCATTTAAATCCAATTACTTAACCCCCAGTTGCACTCAATCCGCCTGAAGAGAAGGAATCTAAGGTGGAACATCACGGTTTCAAAGGACCTCGCAACAAGACTGAAAATGCGGGGAAATTCCTGAAGATATGCGACCTGAAAAGCCATTCCATAGCCAGGAAGTCGAGGAAACAAATGAGTTCGGTAAAGAGCCGCATCCTACAAGCCATTAAAGGCGATTTGCTGGATCCGTTTCAAATGAAGCCTTCGAAACCCAGCAGCAATCTCCCCATAAGCGAACCTCTGCAAGAAGAGAACATACCCACGCATACCTATCAAACTCCTCCTAAACCAGCACCGAAACCATCAAATTTAAGTGTAAGGAAGTCTACATTAACCCAGGCACATGTCACTTTGGCATTGAAGAAAACAGCTGAGAATCTTCAAGCTAACACCTCCTCAACTGTGGAGAAACAAGTAGTCCACATCGCCAAACCGGCTAACCAAGGTGAAGTGGTGAAAAAAAGAAAATCATCTCCCTTACAAATAAAGCAGGTGGAGGTCCTGCCAACTCTTAAAACACTTCCCAAGACATTATTTAAGGCTCAACATGCCATTAAAAATAGTGTAGTTACTTCTAAACCAGAACCAAAAAGAGTTATTAAAGAGATTGTTGAGCCCCAAGTGGGAAAACTAGACAAAAAACCAAGTTCTCCTGCCCTCACATTAAAAACACCTCTTAATACACTTCCAAAGACTTTGTTTAAGGTAAAAGACAGTGCAAACACATCGTCCAACCCACAACAAACTAACAAACAGTCGATAAAAATAGTTCCTTATGAGAATCACGATCAGCAACAGAGAGAAAGAAAGATTCTGAGGCTTAATCAGGAGCAAAGCATCAGTCTCAAACTAAATGCAATCAATACACAAAACAAAATAGAGATATCTAATGATAGTACTGAAAACAAAAATGCGAAACCTGAAAAATTGGAGGTGTTTGTCCAGCCTATAATAAAAAAGGGTCTCACCAGTCACAAAAATGCAACTTATAATAACTTGTATACACTTTTGAAAAAAATCGGTGTAAGTAATTAAATATTAACACGATTCCCATCTAATATCTTGATCCCTTTCAGTTGCCAGCAATATTAGACGAAAGCTACGAGGGCAGGATAAAGATGGACGAGTTGGAGAAATTGCGCGAGAAGGCTGCCAAGTTTAGTAAAATCTACAGCAAGTACGATTCCATTTGGAACAATAGAAGTGTGAAGTCGCCAGAACACACTTCTTTTATGGTTTCCGCTCTGACTACAGAAGTAAACTCGGCGATAATGTGCACGCTGACGAACACAGAAATGAAACGCATTATTAACTTGATTTCAGCTTGGCACAAAGATATGAAATATGAGATTTTCAAGAAGACAACTCTGCCGGCCTCCACTGAACATTATCTAAGTTTATTCCGATTTTTGCCAATTAATTTTGCATACTTTTGCGAAAGTTGCGACGAAGTATTTTCCTCTGAAGAAGTCTACAAGAAGCATTTGCTGAGTCACAATCCCATGCTGTACCGTTGCAAAGTATGCGCTAAATGCTTCAAGCACAAGGGATTTTACGATAAACATATGCGAATTCATTTAGAGGAAGAAAAGGAGAAGGTTCCTAGTTAAAGTTGTACTTTTTGTCAAACGCTACACTTTGATTTGTAGTTGTCAAAGAGAAATTCATTTTTCTGTTCAAGTTTAAAGCTAAATGTTGCTTTACTGTCATTTAAAAGTAAAGACTGTCAAGTTATCTTAATTATAAAATTATTAAATTAAATATTTTGTAACCATTCTATTCTATTTTTGAGTTATAAATAAATAACAACATTTCACATCTTCCATCATTAAAAAAACCAATTAAGTGATGAAGATTAGCCACATAATACATATAGCATTATCAAAATCTGAGTTGAGCTCAGAAGATGGACACCCATATGCTCTGAATTCCCTTATCGCCCCGATGGCTCTTGTTTTTAGTTCTCAAGTGACCCCGCTGATTACGAAACCAGCTGCTACCTTTCCGACTTACAATTATACGTCTTGCCCGGCACATATCCGTTGGGTCCATCGGCCACAATTAATTTGTATCCATTGTCGCCGCGTGTGCGTCGACCGTGGTTCAAGTGGGTGGGCGCCCGGGGACATGCGGTGACCGTACTAATTGTCAGCCAGACGACGACGATCAAGCGGATGAGCAGCGGCAGCGATTGCCCCATCTCCAGTGCTTTGTTTCCCGCCTTATCACTTGACTTGAAAATCTGGGCTCAACTGCAGCAGACGACCGTTCCAGGCGAGGCTCAAAAACAGACTAATCGAGCCGGAGAGGCGATAGAGCAATCTTCAAGTCGTACGGCGACCCGATGCCGGATGCTTCGGGAACTCTGATTACAAAACATCACTCACTGAGGTGGTCTTGACTTCCTCAATCAGCCTGCTCCTTGATTAATTTATCTCTCTATTTGGTATATATTTCGTGGTATAAATGTTGCCGTACAATTTACAAATAATATTACAATTATATATTTCCATATCATCGGTAACAGTGTTCACTATCGTAGTTTATAAATTTGTAGGTTGGCTCTGCGCTTTAGGAAACTCAACGCATTCGGTCGAGAACAAAGCAGATATACTAATAAATCAAACTAGGAGACTGATCACACGGTTGGCATTCGATCGGTAAATAGGGAATAGATGTGAGAACTATATAAAGCATAGGGTAATAAATCACAATTGCAAATTAGGTTAATACTAAAAGGTCAGAATAGGCGTCTCCCGATGATCCAAGAGGTCTGCAAAAAGAGTTTGATGAGTGAGGATTTGGAAAGTATATTCGAATGGTTTACCCTTGGCAATGCTCCACCAGGGCAGTGTCACATAGGTGAGGAATGCGTTGAGCGGCGTCGACTGCTGTCTTCTGTTCTCCTTCCAGAAGTGAAAGGACTGCGTGAAGCCTCGACTGGTCCACAGGGGATTATAGGCGCCATCGTCGAGCTCTAAAAGTATATAAGAGAAACAAGATCAGTAGTGTTTAAGCATAACTATATACAAAACTAAATACATGCATTTAAAGTATACAAGAAGCACACGTTAGAAAACTCTAGATATAACCTTTAATTGCCTTCTTGGGCACATCACACCAGTAGTAGATGTTGGTGCCATCGGGAGTCCGCCGCTTGGGCACCAAATGCAGCATCTTGCTGACATGCGCCTGCTTGGCTGTACGCGGAAGAGTGCTACTCGCCTCCTGGTTGCCATTGGCCACATCCAGCATGGGCGTGAGTTCCGTGGGCGAGATCACCTTGCTTACATCGTTCTCATTGTTCTCGTTCGGCTGCAGCGGATGATTCTCCGGCTCCACAGGCGTGCGAACACACTGCTCGAAGTTGCGTTTGGTTGGCGACTTGGGTGACTCCACCACGGGCAGCTCTTCCCTTCCACGGACACTGATCATCAGCTTGCTGTCGCTCTCGCTCAGGATGGCCATTTTGGCGGCTCCTTCAGATTCGCTACCATTCAAGGAGGTAGCATCGTCGGCCAGCTCGTATTCCTCGGTTTTGGAGGTGGTCTCCGTCTCCGTTTTTGGATTATTATTATTGACTGCCTTGCTTTTGGCTTCAGCTACCGATTTGCCCTTGTCCTTCGGCTTTTCTGCCTTGTCTCCATCCTTGTCCTTGCCGCCTTTTAGCCGCTTGGGCGACATCTTGGCCAGAAAGTTGGAGGACGAGCCGTTGAGCTTCTGATTCGAGGACTTCTTGTCGTTCTCCTTGTTTTTATCCTTCTCCACATCCTTGGCTTTACCCGTGCGCAGTCTTGGGGGAATGATCTTCTTGGTGGCCACCGGAAGGCTGGTCCTGCGATCGGCGGCGCTCAGGGAGGCGCTCCTCGTGATGCTGCCGCCCTGCTGCTTGCGTTTCCCCTCCGACGGCAGGCGGAAACTGCTCCTTTTGCCAACCACCAGCTCGCTCTCCACACTCAGGATGCTGGTGGGCTTCGGCTTGAGACGCGTGGGCCGCTTGTCGGGCATCTTGGCCAGACAGGCGGGCGACTCGTTGGACGGATCCTCGCAGCTGGGGCAGTAAACCTCGGACATTTCCGGTGTGTCGGTATTTTTGGCCATCGCCCAGCGCTTCTTGCACTTCTTGCCGCCAAAACAATTGCAGCCCGTTGTGGCTGAGCTCTTTCCAGATCCATTGGTTTCTCCGGAAACGGTTACCTCTACGGCAGCACTCAGTGGCGGCGGAGTAACAGCCGGAATGGCCACTGGAGCGGAACTACTCTCACTGGGAGACAACTTTTCTGGGTCACCAGTCGCTAGTTTGTTTGTCTCGCAGTTCGGATTTGGGTGCAGTTTTGCCGCGGAGGCCGAGAAAGCAGGACGTTGCTGATCTACAAGTAGATATAGATCGGTTTTGGCGTTTTAAAAGCATATACATCGACACTTAAGCAACTTAAGAGGTAAATTCGCAACAGAAAGAATAGGGAAACACAAAAAGCTAGGGGATGGGATGCCTACTAAATATACAATCAAGCCACCACCACGTAAAATATAATTTCTAAACGGGGATTTGGGAATAGGGGACTGGGACTATGGGATGTGATGAACGATTCCCTCCTTTAAAACCAACATTCTGTGTCAAAACAAAAGCCAAACGGAATATAATTTTGGTTGTCCTGAGTGTATTATTTGTCCTGCTTTCTCGGCAATGTCTGGGTGTTCTTCTTTATATATATACTCTAAGAGTCGTTTTTTTAGGGGCACATATAAAGTATATATATAAATTCGATAGTTGGAAGTTTGTAAAAGGAAAATCAATGGAACCACAACACATTACGAGAAGTAAATCAGGAATATGAACGGAAATGAAAGGAGCAAGCGGAAAGTAACTACGATAACAAACTACAAGCATTGTATAATTCTAAAGATATATCATGCAACTAAAGGATGCTCAAATGAAGAGGAAACTATAGTAAATAATTGGTGATTCAAACTGACCATCGCGCAGATCGCCGGCCTCGATCTCGGACACCTCGCTGGCCAGCGAGTCCAGTCCCTCGTTCTCCGATCGCGCCTTTGCTCCCACACTGGAACTCGTGCCGCTGCCCACCATGTCCTGGTTATTGGCACCCTTGGTGCGCCATCCATAGCGTGAGAAGTTATTTAGATTGGCACTCGGATCGCTGAGACGTCGCTGGTGGCGGTAAGTGCAGTAGTCGTCGTTCTCCTCCTCCCACTCGTCCCACATGTCGGTGGCGCAGAATCCCGGCTCGCTGGTGGGCGTTTCCACGCCGGAGCCCTTTGGCTTCGTGACCGCCATCTCGGCATGGCCCTTGCCCTGCGGTCCCTTCATGCGGACAAACTCACAGCGCGTCTGGACGCCGGCTCCGCTGCTGAAGAGGCCAAAGGACATGCGCTGCGCCACCTTGGAACTCAAACTAGATTGCTGGAAAAAACCCGATGATTAGAATATGTAAATTCTGGGTGGTATCTATACTTACCCTCGCATCATAGACCTTCTTCAAGGCATCATAGCGTATGGATCCCAGGAAAATCACCCCTTGGACAGCTCCATCTTTGTCATTGGCCACCAGTTCCACGCACACCATCTCCCCATCGCGCACCAGGATGTCGCTGAACACCTCATCGAAGTTGTCCACCATGAAGCAGATGTGCGGATACGTGATCTCCTCACCCTCGCCTTTCGTGTCCATTTTGCGACGACTGGGACTGGCGTAAACCCTTTGGGAATGACGCCGCAGCACCTGCAGCTCCTTCGGCGAAGTCCTGGTGCAAATGGCCAGTGTGAGTGTGTAGTCGAACTGGTGGATGACCATGTTCAGGTAAACCGTCTCCTCCCAGTCCACATCAGGATCGCCGATGGGCAGTTTACGCGAGTCCTTGCGGAATACCTCCACCTCAGTCTGTTTTGGGAATATTTTGTATTTAGATTAATGGTTAAAGGTGTTAAAAACAGGTGAGCGTACCTCAAATTTTGGCATGTGGCGCGAGGAGCTTTTCACGTGCTTCTTGCGCACAAAGAAGAGCAAATCATCCGAATCGATGCTGTTCTCCGTCTCTGTCTGGAAGAGGAAGTGCCGCACGAACAGGTCCGTCCAGTATGTTGTGCCCTGAAGGACCACGAAGCCGCCATCTGGAAGAGGGGATTCAATAATGGTTTTAATGGTTTGTTGGTAAATTTAATAAAAATGTTATATATTTAATTTAAGTTTTCGTAGTTCATCAACTTTTTTTTTAAAATCTTCTATGATATTCTGTATACGAAGTCAAAGGAAGAAATAAATTCAAATTGTTACAAAACTTTTAGTCCAAAATAAGATTTTCTGTTCTATAATTGAGACTTTTTAGTGACATTTTATAAAATGAAAATTTATGAAGGTACTAAATTCTAGAATATAAAGAAGGTATTTTCCCTTATATTTAAATTGGACTTAAATATCAGGAAGGTACATTGATATATATGGGATCTTAATATACAAAAATAGGATGGGTTATTTCCAAAATAATGCTATATCATAATGAGTTATTTAGTTACGAAATGGAATTTTTAAATAATAATGTTCTTAAACCTGAGATTCTTTTCCATTTGCCTCTTATTATGATTTAGAGGACCCATGTAACCTGCAGGATAATCTGGCTTAGTTGGATCTTTTATTATTATTTTATTATCAAAGGAGTTGGATGGGTAAAAGACTTGTCTTGAAGTTTAGGAATCACAAATTTTTGGTAAAAGATAAATTGAGATGTTTGGGATTTCAGAATATAATAATATATGTGTAAATAAATAGGAGGAGATATTTATCCCTGAAATTAATGATTTTAGAGCCTTTTTTCTTATAAGAATTGAGAGGACCCATGAGAACTGGGGGATGCTGATTTTGACCGACAGGTGAACAGCTGTTTGCTGTTTTTCCCATCCTGCCACTTGGCCCGATAAAAGTAAAAGCCGCTTATGTAAAGGAAAACAAAAAGGTTGGCCCAAAAAGTGGGGCGGTTTTCCACAAGCACACACACACACATCCTTGGGGGTTGCCCCGCGTGTGTGTGTGCGACAAATCGATAAAGTGCAAATGTAGACAAATTTTCCCTGCAATTCGTAGAGGAAAAATCGGGATACCCACCGTCCTTGAGCAGCTGGCGCATCTCCTTGGTGCGCTGGAAGTTGATGTCCTCCAGGAGCTGCTGCAGCGGAGTCTGGGAGCCCTTCAGCAGGGCGGCTGCGGCGCTGGCGAGGGCCATCCTAAAGGGGGATTTCCACGGTTCCGCGCTGCCGGATGACGAATGTCGATGCGGAATGGTGAGAGATGATGGAAGGTGATTTACTATTTCACAACGTCCACGGCATCACGGCTTTTGCGGGGGGTGGGGTTGCTGTTACTGACGATCTCTGTTTTTCAGCATTTGTTGTTGCTCCGCGATTTGTTTTTCTCTTATTTTTGCAGTTTGAAAATTTATTCCGCGGAGGAGAGCAGTTGCTATCTCGGCACGAGCAAATCGCAACTAAACTGAGCAGCAACTCTCGCGCACCCTTTTTCGCGTTCTCCTCTTGGGGGTTGTTTTCTCCCTTATCCGCGGAGTATCCCCCATCTGCACCTTCAGTTATCAGCTGTTCCCATAATTTCACTGCTTCATTGATTTATTTATATTTAATTGTCGAAAATTCCCTGTTAACTTAACTCTTTTGTCTAGCTTTTGAGCTTTTGTTGTTAAATACAACCAAAAGAAAAACGTAAATAAAAATATTTGAGTGTTGCAAAACCAGGAAATGAAACGATAGCACTAAACTTGCGGCTTTTCGACTAGAGCTTATCGCGGTTATCGAATTTGAATTTGAGCTTATAAACAATGTTTTCAATACATAAATAAATAAATGAAGCCAAAGAAGATTAGACATGTTTTTGGACCGGTTTTGAAAATATGCCAATTGGGGTTGCAACATTTGGTTGCTTCCTCCACATTTTTTATAATTATTTGAGAAAGCTACGGTATAGCTCATGAGCTGTTTCATGTCAAATATTTCCAAATCGAGCTATCTTTCGGACAAATTATACTGGTGAACAGCCAAAAATTTCCTCGAACTATTTCTAATTTCCATGATATTTGGGTGCTCCTGATAAGATTTGGAAAGGTTCATGTCAATAGCTTTTTACTCTGCGCGAACTGTTTCTATATACCCTCTGCAAGGGTATAAAAGTTTCTTCTAAAAACTATGGTGATTTTCTAATTAAACTTTACTGATTTCAAGAAAATATTTTTTTTCAATCAATTTTAATGTAACGGGTTTTTTATGACGGCTTAAAGATTCTAAAAAGAGCTGAAGTACATTTTTCTTTATTTATTGGGCAAATCGCCAATACGTAATCAGAATTTCGACAAATTTTGACCCCCATGTAATCAATTCACCATAAAAAAATATATTTTTCCACTAGAGTAATCATTAGGGTAATCAGAAAGAAAAAGTTCAAAAATATGGGTTTTAGGCGGTGCGCATTGGCTTTAAAGTTTATTACGCATAGTAGTATTATTATACTCGGACAAACAAAAAGTTTTTAATTTTTGGATTAATAATATTGGATTTTTAATTATTATGCATTATACAGCGGGTACTGAGTGGTTTCGTAACGAGGGCCTGCGTATTGAGGTCCATCGAGTTGTTCCTGACCGCCGTATCCTTGCTGACCACCAAATTCTTCTTGAGGTCTTGCCAAAACTGCGGCCACCAAGGCCACCAAGCCAAGCAAGACAATCTAAAGAGTAAATCAATTGAGGTTTTTGTTTCTTATTCCACAGCTAAGCTTATTCACCAATAGTTTCATGTTGATTAAAATTTTCGAACTGAAGTCAGCTCCAAAAACGGCCCCTTTTTATACCCAAGGCGTAATAATATTCATTATTAAATTTCGACTTTGAGCTACCTATTAAACGCATTTGTTTATTATATAGTCATTAACATCCAATGTAGATGTTTTTTTATTCTTCTTGAGTATTTAATACACTTATTTTCTTTTAATACTCGTAAATGAGGCCTTTTTAAAATGTATAACACTTGTTGTATAATAAGATATACGTGAAAAATAATATTATTTTAATTGATATTCCTATTAAAATACCCTGTACAAAAATACCCAATACGTTGATAGCGCAAAGCAGAGGTCAATGTTTAGCTGAAAAAGAAAACGAAATGTTAATCTCAGACAGAATAAGCACCAAACATACACGTGTTTTGGTTTTTGGAAATAAATTCTCATTGTAAGTTCTATTTAAAACTTTTCAGATAACAAGTTAACTGGAAAAAACCTTTTGCTGATTTAAAACTTAGTACCTTAAATTAGTTAAGTTAATTAACTTAATTATCAGGGAAAACTAGAAATGGTTCGTGGAAATTTCACAAAGTTCAGTTTTTTGTTCCTGTGTTCAATTAACTTTCTTCGATATGTTAGAAAATATAATTCTTTAAACCAGTCCAAGGAAAAGCTTTTTTTGTATTTTTTGAATATCTGATACATTTTTTCCTGTGTACGTTACATTTTTATTTATATAAAGCTTTGTAATATATTAAATTAAAATGTCCAAAATAGCTCTTGTTGAATTGAAATTGCAATGCCTTGTACTGCGACGGCGCAAGTTTTTACTGATGTACCACATCTTCAATAGATTCTTGAAGATTCTTTATATCATCCTGCAGCTCCTTGAGCTCTCTGAGCATGGTGCGCGATAGCTGACCCTCTGGAGTGGCCAAGGGCTCAAATAGAAGCATTCGCAGGGATTCCCGTAGCATGATTTCCACTTGTTCCAATTCCGCCTAGAAAGAAAAGTAATTAGTGGTTTATATTTAAGGATAATTTTTATTTTATCCCACCAGCAGATCCCTGGAACTCTGCTCCTGCTCGCTGAACAGCTTTCTGGCCAATTCGGCCTGCGTGTTGGCCAGTTCATAGAGAGCGATAGATTTTAACCTGGATATTCCGGGGGCTATGACCTTCAGTACCAATAGGATCTCCTGACACAAACGAATCTTCCGCTCGTAGACCTTTTTATTGGGCCGATGGGATATGTTCTGAAGAATCTGACGCAGGATGGAGGCAATGTTTTGTTTTATGTCCAGCATTAAGAAGTGGTTCTGATGAAGCAGTCGGGTTAACTTAGCCAACAGAAGCTCCAACCTGTAGATATCATCCCTCGCATGGAATATCTCCTCTTTTGCTCGCTCCAGCATATTCGATACGAACTCAGGTTTTAAAGTGTGTTCCGGATTAAGGAGGCACTGCCAGATTCCCGTCTCCGGCTGGCGGATTATATAGCCGCCGGAGCAGGAACACTGGCTGCAGATGAAGCTGCTCATGTGGGTGCCCAGCTCGGTGGGATCCTGGCAACGTGGACAGGAGCAGTCGAAGCATTTGCCCTCCTTGAGGATTTGCCGTCGCTCCTCGCTGCCCAGAAGGATGTTGGTGTAGCAATTGTAGAGGATCTCGCCGGCGGCTATAAACCGATTGGTGAACACCTTAATCCTCCGGTCGTCATCAATGGCGGTCTGCAGATTGGGCATGCAGCTGTGTGGGAACAGGGCCGCCCTGCGATACAATCCTCTCATGGAGCCACCCGGCTCCGGAGCCCTGATCTCAAAGGCATTGACGTCCAGGATGCCCAGTAGACCCTGCACAAGATCCTCATCTGCTCCACTTTTCAGTTTCGCCAGCACTCCGCCAGTTTCAAGAGGAACAAAAGCATGTTCGTTGTAGTTTTTCCAGATTTCCGTGCCCTTCCTGGCCCCCAGTTGGGTTTCCATTTGGGTCATCTCCTCGTACAGAGGCTGCGTTTCCTGGTGCTCCCTCAATAGCAAACATTTTAGGGCCGCCTGGACTTCGGTATGCTCCTTGCCCTGCAGAACTGCCACCTGCGCCTCCGAGGGACGCATTTCGATCAGCTTCTGGCAATTGCGAGCGTCGTGATCTTCGCAGTCCTCACACAAGGCCAAAAGGCGGCACTTTCTAAAGAGCTTACATAAGAATCAGAGATGAGGATGTGTCACTTATATTAGGCCCACCCACCTGCAAAAGCTCTCGGTGAGCCTGAAGCACTTGGAGCAGCGTCGATCGCCCATTTGGGGCAACACCACAATGGGTTGCTCCAGCAGGAGGGTCTCGCCAGCACGAAGATTACACCGGGCGACCACGAACCTTTAAGGATTAAATATACAATGGGTTTAAGAAGAGGTTTAGTATGTACTTCATTGTAAAACCCACTTGCCCAGCGTGTCATTCTGCTTGATTTCGCACTTCTTAGTAAAATCATCCGTTACTGCAGCCATTCTCGGTTCCCGTTCCCTTTGGCTACCTTTGGCATACTGACAACTACAACCGGCGACAAGCTGGCAACTTATTTTTAATTGAACGACAATTCTTTATTTATTTCTTGGTCAATGATTCCCCCACCCAGCGCCGCCCAAACGTTGAACCGTGTCGCCCAGAACGAACACACATTGTAAAAGTGGCAACAGCTGAAGAAGGAAAAACATCTCATCCATTCGACTAATCTAATTTAGTTTACATCTAAAATTCAACGCAGCTACGATGCGCTTAGAGGATCCATTTTATCGTCCGTACTTCTTCAGATCGGAATCAATGCGCTCCAGCTCCATGGAAATCCGGTCCGAAAGATAGCCCTCCGCTGAGTTTTCCGGCTCGAAGCGTAGAAGGTCCATTGCCTCCTTGGCCACCAGACTAGCGGTCCTCAAATGGGCCTATAAAATAAATCCATTAAGTATTTTCCCAGTTCAAAATCAAGAGGGGGCGTGGCGCTCGGCTGAAATAAACTTTCGCTGCGTAGAAAGCCCAAGAATATGTGTGGAAAATCTCAACCTTCAAGCTTTTGTAGTTTCCGAGATCTCAGCGTTCATACGGACGGACAGACGGACGTTACTCTACGAGTAACAGGTATAAAAAATGTATTCCCTTTACTTACCACATATTCCTTCTTATCCAGATCACTTTCGGCAAACTGCAGCTCCACGAGCTCCACCAGCGCCAGCAGATACTCAAACAGACCGATGGCGTACAGCTTGGAGATGCCTGGGACGACAGCCCGGCAGACGGGCAGCAGATCGGAGCAGAGTTCCACGCGGCGGGCTAGGAGCTTCTTGCATGGCTGCTCCATCGAGTTCATCAGGGCCGCCGCTCGCAAAATACTGGCAATGTTCTGCTTGATGTCCAGCAGCATAAAGTGATTGGGATGAAGCAGTGGTCCAAATTGGGTCAGGAGATTTTCATAGACCGGCAGTTCACCCCGGGCCTCCACCAAAGCGGAACCCACTTCGGCCTGCAGCTCGTGGACCTCGGCAGCGGTTAGAAGAGCCTTACAATCCGGGCAACGCCAATCTCCCAGCCTTCCATTGGCATCTATCTCACATACAGCAAATCCCTCGCACTCCCTGCACTTCATGCTGCTCATGTGAGTGCCCATTTCAGTGGGATCCAGACAGCGCGAGCAGGTGCACTCCAATCGACGAGTCATCCGCAATTGATGCTGCCGCTGGCTGGTGCCCATCAAGGGATTCGTGTACGAGTTGTATATAATATCACCCGGCTGCAGTGGAACTGCCGCATACAGCTTCATGTTGAACTGCTCATCCAGGGCCACCACCGTGTTGGGAACGCAGTGATGTGGTAAGCTGGCTCCACAAACAAAAACTCCCTTCAAGGTATCACCATCCCTGGCGGTCACCTCGAAGGAATTGCTGTCAATCCGAATGCAGTGGGCATGCAGCACATCCGAAGTCAACTGCTGAGTGGGTAGAACCGCCAGTAAGCCACTCTCCATCAGTGGACGCACCACCTGCTCCTCGTGCTCCTGCCACATGCCTTCACCATCGCGATAATCACTCAGATTCACCGGCACATCCATGAGCATTTCGCAATCGGCTTTCGAGTCGGGATTCTCCAGCAGGAGGAGCAGCTTAAGGAGTCCACATATCCCATAGTTCTTCACCAGAATATCCTTGCAGATGTCTTTTCCTCCACCGCTGGCGAAGAACTCGCACTCAAACTCATCATGCTGGCTGCAGTCCATGCAAAGGGGAAACACCTGGCATTGTCGACACATCACATAGGATTCCTGAAGGCATTGGGCGCACTTCAGCTGGTGACATTCCCAGTGGGGAGCCACCAGCAAGGGCCGCTCTTCCAAAACAGTGTCGCCCGGTTCAATGTTTATGCCAGCCACCAGATGCCTAAAGAATAATTACTATTATTAATTACATTGATTTTAGAAGAGAAGTTTAGCTTAACTCACCTGCCCAACTTCTCGTTGTGAACCTGCTGAATATTTTCGCCAAATTCTTGCATCGATTACGTGTGTTGTTGCCTGGCGAGAAAACTATTCAGTCAGTGATTCGATTGGGCTTCTGGTTCTTTTACTCACCCAAAACGCACTGAGCAATTATAAATATACTCGGCGGTGTTGCTGGTCGAGAGGAGGAATTTCCCTCTTTTTCAGGAGCCCTGTCGTTTGGCTAAGTACTTTCGCTAATTGCGTGCGTAGCTCGAACGAGACGGTGATTTATTTATAGACTCAGTCGTTTGGAGGAGGTGATGCCGAACTAACATAGCCGATCGGTTTTTCACTTAATTTTTCGAAATTTCTATACACATAAATCTTCTCCGATATTCCTCTCAATAACTATATTGTTTATTGTTCTTTATAAATGTATCAAACATTGTGTATTTAGCTGATATTGGTTTTAAGTCGATAATATGCATATATATATGTATTTAATTAGTTTTACGAGGGGACATTGTTAGGCTTAATTTTAAAGTGTTATCGGTTCTTGTGGAATACATAATAATAATATTTTAGGAAAACAAATGAAGCTACATTAACAGTAGTAAAAGGCATGCTCTAAGAAAGGCTACTCGTAAAACATAGACGCCGCCAATTCAATTGGTCAAATGCGTTTTGGGGTGTTTGGGGAAAACAAGAACAAATATGTATTTTATACAAAAAAAAATTAAACAAGTTTTCTATTCCTCATCCTTGTTGCTCGTAACTCTCATGGCTTCCGCTGTCTGGACCGTGGGAATCGGCGTGGGCGTCGGCGTCAGCGAACTGTTGGAAATGGCGTCAATATCGTCGTCAAACTCTACATCCTCAGCATGCATCAGCTTCGAAAGATCAAACGGAGTTTCCTGTGGGGGAGAAATACCTTTAATATTCTAGATATTCCTTATAGTTCAACTGAGTCTTTACCTTTACTTCATTAACTCGCTGTCGATCATGCAGCGCACTTAAAAGCTCGCGAAGGTGTTGATTCTCTTTACGCAATCGCTCTCTTTCCATATCGCGTTCGTTAATTTTTGGCTGTTATAAGATAATAAATAGTTTTAGGACTTTTCTCATCTTCGATTTAATATAAGCCCACCAAAAGCATGGAAATCTGCTCGTTCAGTACTGTTACAATGCTGCTGAGGGCATGGCAGGGCACACTGGGCTCCAGCACGCTGGCATGCTGTATGCGATTCGGCCCACAGGTGCTGCCCGATCCTCCAGTTAACCTCTCCGTTTCAGTTGGTGATGTCTGCGTCGAGCTATCGACTGTGGATACCTTAGCTTCATCGATCTATCAGAGAACATTGATTAAAATATGATAATTTAAGGGGTTTTTTTAAAACAATTTAGTATTTACGGAATTATCGACGTCCTCTTTGTGTTTCCGCCTCAGATTTTTCTACACTTTCAGTAGTCTCCTCCTCGTTAGTCTCGCTTGGTAATCCATCTACTGTTGCCGAGGCCTCATTATCAGCGGTCGTCGAATCAGCCTTCTCCTTAGTATTGTCCGCTTCCACATTTTGCTTCTCTTGATTACTCGATTCACTTGTAGTAGGTAGCTTATCTGCCGGCTCTGTTTTGACTTCCTTCTGTTCCACCGCCTCTGTTTGTTCCTTCTCCTCACGCAGACCCTCAGGAACATCATCCGTGCTTTGGCGTTTGGTGGCCTCTATGACAACAGATTGTGAAGCTTGCGGCTCAGTTTTGAACGGAGCCAGTGGCGTGGTGGGCCTTTCATGCGGCTTGGACGACGGAATCGCTGGCAAGCGCAGCTCGTCGATCTCACAGTATCCGTCATCGTCTTCGTGTATGGCAACTTCGTCAAGATCAAGGGTTTGCAGTTTGGGCATCAGCCGCGTTGGCGGAATCTGCGCCTGAGCCTGGGCATGTTGCCTATTTGGCGGCGGCAGCGGTGGCGGCGATGAGGAGGAAAACGACGTGGATGGTGCCACCTTTTTGCGCAGCTTCTCCTTCTCGTGACAATGGCCGCAGACAACAGTGGACACCGCGGAGACCTCCTGCTCGGGCGTCACGTGCATGTACTCATTCAGCATTTTGGTCAGCGTTTGAATCTGATCGTAAGCGGCTAGGGCGATATCTGCACTGTCTTTCGGCGCCTCTGGCATCATGGCAATGTCCACAATCTGGTCGTAGTGCTCCACGGGCAAACGGAAGATATCACAAATGATTTTTTGCTTCTCCAGCAAATCACTCCTAATCGAGGCGTCCAGGCGGCGAAGCTTCTCGCCGGGCGTCAGCACAGGTTCCGCGGTGTGAGCGGGACTGATGCTGACCTGAATGGCCGTGGGATCCACCAGGGGACTCTGCATCAACAGGGTGCGCGTGTTGTTCGAGTTGTTGGAGCAAACAATGCTGGCACTGTCGCGTTTGGAGTTACCTCCCACCATGCCGTAAGTGGAGTTTCTTTCCTCTCCGCTGGATCCTGGCCTCGACGACTCCCTGGTCGACTGGGAGTGGCGCAAAGTGACGTCGCTAGCCTCTGTGCCATTCGCGGAATACTTGTGGTTGGGCTCGCCGGCGCTTCTTATGGACATCGTGCGATTAACTTCATTCTGGCTCGTACGCTGCTTCGGTGTGTTTACGTAATCCGCATCAGATTCATTTGCTCCCACATCCCGCTGAGGATTTCGCAGCTGCACTCCGGTTAGGGAGCTAGTGTTGCTGGTCGCTGGCGCCGGCGTAACCGTGGCTATTGGCAGCATTGGTGCCAATGGAGTTGTAGTCAACGTGGCTGTCGCCGCCATCGGCTGCGGACAATCGGTGGTCAGCTCCAGCGACTCCTTGGTGCTGGAATGCGGAATTGCGGTGAGAGCTGGGTCACTGATGCTTGTGTCATGGCTGTTTGAGGCGCTCTTCGAACGATTTTTCGACTGCCGAGCAGCAGCATCCGAGATGTGCTTAAACCAACTGAAGATAAACATTAAAAAATTAATAATTGAATCATTTTTGGCATTCGTTCACTCACGTCTTGCATTCCGAGCTGCTGGGCGCACGTAGCTCCAGCATTTGTGATGTCTTCATCTTGATGAGGAAAAAGGAATTCTTGTCGGCCGCCTCCTGCCGCACCAAAGTCTCCGCCTCTATGCTCATAATGGGACTGACTGGCTTATTGCTCAACGACTGCGGGATGTGCAGGTTCTTTAGGAAGTATTTATCATCCTAGGAGGAGAGAACAGCCAACAATTAATTAACTACTTAAATACTTTTTAAGGGTTTTAACTTGCCTGCTTGGTCAGCAAAACAATCATGTTTTCAAACAGCAAGCCATGCAGCTGAACGCTAGGATTCTTCTTGATCGTCAGATTGCCGTCATGGATGAGGTGATGTTGGGTCAGGTCCAATTTCTTAAACTCCTCCTTGTCATAGGAGGATCTGTCTAATTTACGCTGAATGTTTTGTAGTCTATACAAATAAAAAAGATAGGGTTAATAAATATAAAAGTATAGTAATCATTAGACATCGGGTTTTGGGTGAAATCGTTTAATAAATTTTATTTATTAAGTTATAAATAGGTTTAGGCAAAACTTAATTGAGGTTTTTGTAAAAAAAATGTTAGCCAATTAAATGTGGCTTTAAATCATATTTAAAAAAAATCGATTTCACCTAAAATCTGATGTCTACTAATCATATTTCCTTAATACTTACTTGTGAGCATCCTCGGCTGTCTTCACTGCCTGGTTGACCTCGACAAGAATCCTTTTCGAGGACTCCACGGCCCGTTGGATCGCCTCCGCTTCGGTGGTATTTTCCGGCAGCAAGCGCACCGTCACCTTGTACAGGTTCTCGAACAGCAGCGGATACTTGGTGAGTCGCTGCAACACGGTGGGCAACAGGTCCTTCAGTTCGAGGCGGCGACACGCCTTGTGCGACTCCGACTTCCTCAGCAACTTTTGCAGCGTCTCATCCTTGTTGCGCTTCTCCTTGAGGGCCTCCAGAGCGATTTGCTGGCGGGCACAGAACTGAGCCGCATACTCGCAGAGAACAACTCCCGACTGGCCGTCGAACATTTCGGCCAGCAGATCTCCAATGGTATTAACCACATGATTGTGTTCAATGCGTCGCTGCTTCAGGCTCTGCTCGAAGGCGCCGTGAATCTCACGGAGCGACAGCAAGGCGGGCGGGAAGAGCAGCAGCAAGTGATCTTGGGACAGCAAGCCACTCTCGTAGAGCGGCAGGAAGAACAGACGATCCAGCAGCTTGAGGGTGCGCACATGGTTGCGTTCAGTTTGATAGATTTCTATAAAGAAAATAAAATATAATTAATATATTGGATTTCCATTAAAGTAGTTAAGTAGTTTACTAACCATTGATAATCTCCTGACGCTTCTTTTCGGCGTCCGTCAAGGCTGCCAGCATCTCGGCGGCCACCATGGAACTCCAGTCGGCCTCGTTGACATCGTCCTCATCCTCGCTCTCCAGATTCCATTGCCTGGGCAGCGGGTGACCGGCATTCCAGAAACTCGAGTTGCTAGCGGCATTACTTGCAGCAACTCCGGCCAAACCGGCGGCCTGAAAGGAATCCTGCTGACAGTACTGCTGGGCATGCTGCTGGATGAGCAGGTGCGGATGCTGGCTTTGGTTCAGTCCCACCGGCGGCACCTGGACACCACCCGCTGCACCTCCCGTGGCAGCAAAGTGCTCCATTGAAGTGCTGGGACTCTCGCTGCCGCCAGCCGAAGAGAGACTAGAATTGGAACTGGCCACATAGTTGGCATTCGAAAGACCCAAGTCCAGTTGCTCATCACTGAATCGAAAGATAAGAATGGTAAACATAAGTCAATTGTATTTGTTGAGGCTTTACAATGGAAAATATTGTGTACATCAGAAAGGGGAAAAATGGATTTTAAACTTTAAATTGTTTAGTGAAAATTTTTGAGATAAACTCTATCGAGGATTGTCATTAAAATTCAATATAAATTACTATAATCCTCTATTGAACACAACATCTATAGATCATTATCGTTTAAGGTCCCCTATCTTTTAAGGTGGCATTATCTCTTAAGGGGACTGTATACTCATACAATTTGTGATACTGTATACTGTATAATCTGCCAGTTTAAAGTATAAAATCCATAAAAATCAAGTAATTTCGCTTTGATTAATGACTTAAGTTTGAATATTCTTCGGTTATAATACAAATCGAAATTCGGAATTTAATTACTTGAAGCTATTAAAATTAAGAGTCGTCTTGAAACTTTTACTGCGATTAAAGCGAATATTTCTTTCCATTATCGCAGTGCCGATTGATTAGTTTGTTAACTTTTAAGTCGATTTAATGCCGGACCGATGAGTCAATTCCAACGCGAGAAATGCCACTGAAAGGGCAACCAGGTAGGAAAATATGTAGGAACCAGTGGCTCAAACGGTTTGTCAACAGGAAGCGGAGAGAAGGCGATGGTAGCTGGAAGCCAGGAGGCGACCTGGCATTGACTAGCATGACCGGGAACGACTGACTGGATGGGACTGGTGTGGCTGTGGCCTACATTTGCGGTGCGAAAACGCGGGGCGGACAATATAATCGATGTCAATGCCGGCGTCTAATCAACTATCCCATCCACATCCCCAGCTAAACACATACGTATGCGGTAATAGTTACCGTAAACATTAGACGGGTGGCCAGTGGCAATGGGTAATGGGTAATGACTAGTCGAAGGCTGGATACCCTGCGGAGTTGATTCCATGAAAAGGTATTTGTGCAATGTCTGCTAATCATATCCCTGCCAACTTGAATATGGTTTAATTAAAAACTCAAACTAAAGCGAATCTTTTAGAATAAACACGCAATGGAAAGTCTATGGAAAGTTTGCGCCACAAAGACGCGACAACGGAAGGCAGACGTATAGACATATATTGATTGCATTGCGACGCAGTTCACATTAATTAGTAAAATTAATATCCGGTTACTTGGCGGTCGCAGAAAATACGCAGGAATATGCTTTAGTTGAGAGGATTTAGGGAGTGGCCCATTGGCCATGGGGAATGAAGGAATTTATTCGGTAAGCTGAGACGGCGATGGAGGACAAGCAGTAAAGACAGTAGGTCAGTCGGGGACTTCTTCTCCTGCTCTTCTCCTCATCAAACTTACTTGGGACGCGACGACAAACTTGGATCAGAGGTCTTGCGGCGACTGTTGCGGTTCCTCTTGTTGGACAAGCGCTCCTTGTAGGATTCCGAGCGATTTACCGACACCGGGGCGCTCTTGTGCTTCGGATGCTGACTGTAACTGAGGAAAAAAGGAGTGGAATAAGTAACCGAGAATAAGATAAACCCCTCATTAACTCACCGCTCCCTACGCGCTTCCTTATCCACCGCATCAAGAGCATTCAGCTCGGCAAACACACTCAGGCCGGCGGAAACGGAGCCACTGCTCGAGGGCGCCGTGGAAGCCACGCTCGTGGACAGATCCATGTTGCATCCGGCGCCACCACCGGGATTAATACTGTCGTTGGCGCAGCTGCCGTGAAACGAACTCTGCAGATCGGTGGTGTTCAGCGCCGAAGTGTTGCAGGATGTGTTGCCATTCGAGCGCATCGATATGTTTCCATCCGGCCGGCGATCCGAGGGTTGACGCACAATCGACGTTTGACCGCGATCTAAAAAAATATTTAGAAATCCAAAATGCATAAGTAAATTCAGCTATTAGTTTGTGGTCATTCTAATCGCACCTGGAGTCAACTCAGCATCCAAATCCTCGTCTTGCCGACTGCGTTTTTCATCTAGCAGGGTAAACAATAGATTAATTTAGTATACAATTTCCTTTACATGGCCAATTTTACTTACTTCCAACTACGTCGCTGGTGCGCGGTCGAATTTTGCCCATGAATTTACTGATTTTATCGTTGTGGGCGAGACGTTTTGCCTGGGGCAGGGGACCGGGACAACTCTCGTCAACTACCTTAGAGCATTGACGGTGTATATTTAATTTACAGTCTGTGTTGGAATAGAGCAAATCGATCGTTTTATATGGAATATATTTAAATGCAAATTCCAAAGAGAGATGCTCACCTGTACAATGATAACCTTGCGGACTCACACCCCAGATAATCGTCTGACAATGATTGCAGTGCGTCACTTCATAGTATTGACGCAATACCAATGGATGACCACGAACATTCATCTGCAGGGTGATAGATTTATATTTTAATTATGACGTAGTATAAGCTTAGCATTTTAAATATGTATAATTACCTTGCGATTTTTGCCCATTATGCGCGACTTGAAGCTCTTGTCTCTGCTCACAAAGTGATGGACCCGCTCGACAATGCTGCTCGGCGGCGGACGAGTGTTGAAAATTCGGTAGATGACCGTGGAAAGAGCCGAACACAAGGCCACTTTGCGGACATCCTCATGCGGTAAGCCATTCTCATCCTCACTAAATAAAGAAATATATAATGTAAGTAAAGGAAAAGCGTACTTAATATCCAAACTCACATCAGCGCTTGCAGATTGGGCATCAAATATTTGTCGATGATTTGCTCCTTTAGCTTGTCCGTCTTCGCCTCGGCCAGCTTGCTGTCGGTGGGTCCATAGATGGTGCCCAGACCGGCAGTGCGCTTCTGCTGGAACTCGCGCAGTTGCTCGCTGATCAGATCCTTGGCCCGCTTGCGACTGCGTAGGAAAACAGTGCGTAGGATCTCCACCTTGTCGAACTCCAACTGCAGGACATTGTCCACCTCGCGGGCCAGCGATTCATCCTGGCGATACCAAGACAGCGGAGCACGCGGCACAAGGAATGTCGAGTGGATCTCGTAGGCCCACTTGCGCATATCCTTCGAGGTGCCCTCCTTGTACAGCTCGGTGATCAGGTAGAAGAGTAATGGCGCGGGATCCGAGTTCGAGATCACGTAGTTCAGGAAGATGGCCAGGAAGGTCACGTTCTCGGCCTCCAACAAACGGGTCAGGTTGTTGAACGGTCCGTTCTCGTCGATGAAGGGCTCCTCCAAATCCGAATTCTCGTCCTCCATCGAGATGATCTCCTTCTGCGTATCGTTCGACTGGGCCGCATGCAAGTGGCCGGAATGTAGGGCTATTGGGATCGGAGAAGAGGCTCCCGCCATCGGCGTAAACTGATGCGACTCGATAAAGACTCCGCTTCCGGCTGCTCCGCGACAATTCTCGTTGGGATCTTCGAGAACGGTCATGTGCGAGCTGGATAAATATGGCGGAGGCGGTGTGCCGGGCGGCGATGATTCGCCATCCTTCTCAACAATCTCCCACGAACCCGAAGTGGTTTTCGTTAAACGATCTGTGAAGGATTTAATATTTTATTTAATATTTAAATTTTAAGTTATATAATTATATTTTTCTTACCCGGATGTCGCGGATGCATATTGTCCGGTGAAGAGCCAACGCGTCGATGCTTGTTTTTCACCATATTCGGTGTCTGTCCCAAAGCCTGCGAAGATAAATGCATTAATAAATAATGTTTCTATCTTTATAATAATTAAATCCCAAGTAAGACACAAAATAATAAGTAAATTGACCTGCAAATAGCTTTTCAAAGTCTACCCAAAAATAATACAAGTATTTTCCTGCGTGTTATTCTTGTTTAATCAATGTACTCAAAAGTGTTTTCGGTTGCTGTTAGTTGAGCTAGCGGGAAGCTAATTAAAATTAATATTATTAACGATGGCAAACTTATGATAGTTAGAGGCATGAAACACAGAAATGTTAGATAATGAAAAGGGTGTAAGAGTTAGAGAATTAGAGGATTAAAATTTCAGTAGTGTTTTGGTTTTTCTTGGCAGAAAGATAGAGAAATCGAGTGATTCGTTGGCTACTTACGCCTGTGGCCTGGCCACCGCTCAACTGATGATGTTGCTGCTGCTGCTGTTGATATTGCTGCAACTGTTGCACAATATTGGGCCGCTGTGATAGCGGAAAAGCAATATTCAGGTTGTCATTCTGCACGGCCGTAGTGGTGGAAACCAGAGGATAATTAAAGGCAGTGCCCACGGAATTGGGTTGAGCGAGATTCTGACAGCTGCCGCGGCTCATGTCCTCCGTCATCATGCCAGGTAAACGAGGCGGCAACGGTGGTGGACCTCCATCCACTTCGATGGACCCGCCGGCTGCTCCCGCCGCACTCGCCGATTCCATTTGCAGGAACATCTGGGTGGACATCTTGGGATCCGAAAGGGCTTTCGTTTTAATCTTGGAACGCTTCGACTTGGCATTGCTGGGACTGTTGTCCGTGCTGCTGGGCAACTGCTGTTGGGATCTGTTTAGCTGTGGACTGGTTGCGCGATCCAGATCGGAAACGGGAGCCACCAGATGCGAGCCACCCGGCGAGGCATTTCCATTCTTCAGGTCCAAATTTAATTGCCTGGGCGGGTTCCTTTGCGGCAGTGGTGGCGGCACATCCTCCTCGATTAAACTCCTTGAAATCAAGAACTTATTCTTGCCCTTCGACGACGACGATCCAGAGTCCTTGAAACGATGCTGCTGCTGGTGAGGATGGAAGAACTGCTGCTGCGAGGTTGGTGGCGTACTGGTGTGCTGATGCATCGACTGCGACATGGACTCCCCCTGGTGGCTCATCCTCTGCTGCTGCAGGAATTCCGTCGTCAGGCCAAATGGAGAGGAGACGTTTAGGTCCTTTTCGATCTTATTCTTACGCGTGCCCAGCGACAAGGACGAAAGGGAACGCGGCAGGAGGGACAGGAAGGCGGGTGAGGTGCTAGCTGCCTGTTGCTGTGGCGGATAATTGTTGTTGTGGTGGAGATTGTGGTGGTGGTGAAGATGATGGAATTGTTGCTGATTGCTGTGAGTGGCAGTGGCGGACGCGGACAAGTGTTGGATTTGGTTGGGCGTTAGTAATGCTGTGTTCTTATTGCCAGCGGCCGTCTGAAGTTTAACAGTCGGTGCATCCTGAGTGTTAAGGAATTCGGTTTCAGTTTCGTCATGGGTGTGCGTTAGAATGCCGCGAAATGGAAAAGAAAGATAGATAGATTATGTAGCATCATTCGTGTTTCAACTTTCTTCCTTTTGCAACTCTCTCGTTTTAAAAATAGCGCACAGCTCAAAATAGCAATTGTTAGGTTTTATATTTTTATTAGCTGGGTTAACAGAGCGGCTGGGCATCTGCTTGCGGCATTAGTTTCATGTTTTCTTGGGACTGGGGACAGGATTCCTGGGCTTTTGCTGACCTAGCTTACCTAGAGTTTGGACGGACATATAAACCCTACAGAACTACACCCCCCCACTCACCTCGGCTCCCACTTGATGCAGTTGCTCGCGCAGTTTACGTATGTTCGCCTCGGACAGCTTGTAGCTCGGATTGTTCTGATCGCTCTTCAAACGCTCCAGATTTAGTTTCTCCTGCTCCAGCATTTTCTGCAGCGTCTGGATCTTGTACGTCTCCATCTCCCTGCGTTTGATACTCTGTAAGAAATCGAAACAAGTTAATGAAATACATTTCTTGACTTTCAAGTACTCACATCTACTGGCTGCGGCCCAGTTATGGAAGCAGTGCGATCTCGTCCAGATAGAATCGGTGTCGAAGGCGTTACCACAGACACCGAGGAAGGTCGCGTCATTTTCTGACTTCGTTTCACCGCCAGTTCCACGGTGGTCGAGGCTTAAAATTAAAAGAAATCAAATAAGGCTTTGATTAGTTTGTCAAAAAATTAATAAAAGTTTCTGAAAAATTTTTTTAAAACCCGGACACAATGAACTAACCAAAATAATTTCCCCCCTTTAAATTCACAATGATCGTGCACAGATTCATTAAGCTTGTGCTATTTGCCAGCACATTTTACCTGGCCAAGGAACTGGGTGTCTGGGAGGATCCTGAAGAACCTCTTGAGACAGAGAGTTCTAACGAGCCAACACTGGAGAAGAAAAGCCCGGATTATCAAAACACTTTCTTCGATGACGAGGACAAACGGAAGCTCCAACGCAAGAAGGAGGATTTGGAGAAGAAGTTTTGCCCCAGGGGAAGCATCTGCGAGCCTCCACCGAAGCCCTTGAGCGAAACCATTGGCGATGCTCTCTATGACACCTGGCTGGCCTTGAAAAAGATTCCACCCTACTGGAGCAGAGCAGCCGAAAGCATGGGCGCCACCATTTGTAGGTTTTTTAAGGGGGATTAAAAAAAAATATTTATTAAAATAACTCTTTATAAGTACAATAATAAATTGATTTTTTAAAAAAAGGGGATTTAAAATTAAAGTATAAATATATCAAAATTACTCTCTATAACTAAAACGAGGAAAAAAGTTTAAATATTAATTTGTAAATAAAAACTTAGTAAACTTTCCATTTTACGCTGAAAAATCTTATTTACAATTTTAATACAAATTTATCAACCGATATGCAGTAAAAAATTTAGATTGTACGTAGTTTAAGAAAATGTCTCCAAAATTAATGGCTCGACTGAGTGTGATAGCCGGCATTGTCATGGCTGTGAAGCAACTGGGAGGTGTAAACAAACCGGTGGAACAGGTGGTTCATGCCGCCTCCGAGAATCACCCAAAGACTCTACCCCTTCTCTTGGAGGAAAGCGACTTCAGCTTCGCGGCTGCCAAAAGCTGCAGTTTGGCCCTCCAGCGGGGATTCTACTTCTCCCTTCGAATGCCCGACTGGGCCAAGGACTTTAAGGAGCAGACGGAGAAGATCCTAGCCCATCGTTTCGAGGCCTCAAGGATGAACACCAAAGGAAGCAGAGACTCGAAGCTGTCAAAGTACTATGGAGATCATAGTTCCGAACGTTATGGCGGTATATTTTCAGAGAGATCCACTGACAATTTCTTTGAAATTCCTTCTGATCAAAGCAAGAACAACCGCCCAGTGCGATCACCCAAAATCAAGGACGACCTAACATGCGGGAAGAAAGTGTCATCTTAAAAACCCTGACATCGACTGTCAAAAATTCAAGATCATTTCTAAAACATCACACGGAGATTGGGGTTTCGGGCGCTAGCTAAAAAATGGTTGTGGGCCTGATTTTGCGGGCGGGCGTTGTCTACGCAGTGGTGATGGCCACCAAGAACTACGGTGTGTGGGAGTCCCCAGATAAAACCCAGGAAGTTTATGACGATACAGTAGAGCGGATAGAACCCTATGCTGACAGAGCGCGACGCAAACTGAATATGTGCCCGCCAAGACCGCCGCCGGAGGGCGAGTGGTCCTTTTTTGGCATTTACTACTACAATAAGTTTGTGAAATCAGTCTTCGATGTTCTGAGCGTATTTCCCGCTGGATTGGCAGCATTTTTGGAGAAAGCCCCCGGCTATGTGACTGCCTTAATCGAAAGCATTAGAAAGTTCTTCAAGGAGACTCAGACCAAAAAAAGGAAATCAAGATATGCAAGGAGCGATTGGACGAGACGCCGCTTGTTAGACCACCAGGACAACTTGTGCCACCGCATTGCAAGGACAAGAACTGCCCAAAGGCTCCTCTGATTCCACCAGGATGCAATCGAAACCGGGATAGCTTCATCTACGAGCCGCGTTTGCCCAAGAAGCCACCGTGCGAGTGCTCAAAATGCAAGCAACGACAGGCGGAGAATTGGAAGGACAATAAACGCAAATGCCCGAGAGTCCCTGACAATGAAAGGAGGTGTAGATGTGGTGAGCAACCCCCATTAGAAGCCCGGTCAGAACCCATCAAGTCCTGCAAACAGTGTCGAAAGCCACCTAGAGACACCAGTGCCTAGAAATTCCCTTTACAAAATATATCTCCATTAACCAAATTTTTTGTAACACAACCTAGACAATAAAAACTTGGTTAGCCCAGATTATGCTCACCTTTTATAAGACCCACCACTGTGGGATGTTTTTCTAGTCGCACTTCATGGCCATTTACCTGAAAAGTAATAGTAAAGAATATAAAAAACCCTTTTGCGCTAGGTAAAGTTAGTATACTAACCCTTAGTATCATATCGCCAGCAACCAGGCCGGCAACTTCGGCCGCACCTCCGGGTTTAACGCTTTCCACAAACACAGGATTGTCACCGGAAACCTGGGGAATATACAAAAGTTCAAGGGAATATTTATTTCTGAGATTTTAAATCATTTAATACGTTAATTTCTGATATTTTAAACCACATAATAAGTTTTAAAGTTATTTAAACGGTTATAAAATCAATCATTTAACGAAAGTTAAGGGGAATATTTATTTCTGAGATTTTAAATCATATAATACGTTAATTTCTGCCACGTTCAAAGTTATTTACACGGTTATAAAATCAATCATTTGACTTTTTAAAGGCCAATAATGGTAGACATTAATGGACAAAGATTGAAGTATGCAACTAATTTGCAAGACACATTGTAGTGCCCATAAAAAACTAGTTAAAAATTTCTTAGTATAAATGCCTTAATGTACAATTATTACTTAAAGTAGGTACACATAGCTAAATAGATTTAAAACCTTCCCCACAACTACCCACCTTCATTCCGTATCCGTTGCCATCCTTGCGCACAGTCAGGGTTAAATACTGAAAATTTTTTGGTAATGCTAGGCTCGGCGTCGTCGGCGTGGTCGCTGGCGTCGTGGGTTCCTGGGAATGACCACCACCACCGCCCAGCTCCCGGGAGAGCGGTGTCAGATTGAGACTGCTGCGCTCCCCCGGCGGCGCCTGGAGAACGGGATTGGCGTTGTCCGAGTGACTCGGATTCGATTGCACGCCCCCATTGTTATTGTTGGCGGATGTGGGCGTGGCTGGGGCAGAAACACCACCACCAGCTGCAGTTGTGGTGTCACCATTCATCTGGCTCTGCTTGTAGCTCGCCGGCAACGGCGGCGTCTGCGGTGGCACGTTATTCTCCCGATCCCGATCCTTGTCCTTTTCCTTCTCCTTGTCTTTGTCCCGATCCCTGTGACCACTCAGGCTGCTGGCCAGGCTGCTCAAACTGCTCGCCAGCGAAGGGGATCGCGGTATCTTGGACTTGTTTGCCACCTGCTTTTGCTTCTGCTTGCTCTTCGAGTTCTTTACAGATTTCTGCTTGGGCGCTGGCAGCTCGGGAACCGAATCCACAACAATTGCTGGTGACTGTGGCGCAACCGCTGACGATGATGTTGCTCCAGATCCAGTTGCAGTTCCAGGTCCTGAGTGGCTGGCACCGTTTGTGCTTGGATTACTCGCTGTTGACTCCGGGGGCTGAATGCTTGACTCTTCTGGCAGCTCCTGAACTTCATCGTACTCATGTTCGTCAGTGTATAAATCTATTAACCTGAGGGGGGAAAGGAATAAATGTATGTTAATAAATGTGTCAGAAGAACTTGAACTATTTAAAATCAAGAGAGAAACTCGACTATCAGATACCCTTTACTAAGCTAAAGGTAGTGCGAGGGAGAGGGAGATATGGAAGCTGATATTCATTTGCTTATAACTTTTCAATGGATAGTGCGTAAGAAATATTTTTTACAAGTCGATAGGTATGGATACAAAAAACTAAATCGCATTTACACTTTTAGAAAATCTTTTAAGAGATCGGGTATACGAGTAACTGGTATAAAGAGATCCATCTTGATCTGTAGAGCAGCCAAGGCAAAATGATTTTAATATTAAAGGCCAAAAGCTGTAGGGTCTTACAATTATTGTAAAGACTAATCACAAAGTGACTAATAAATCATCTTTATCTTTATTCATTTTCACAGATTGGTCAGCAACAGTGTTTTTAATAATCTTGTAAAGCCTTTTATCGCTTTTTAAAGCGACCCACCGATTGGTCACCCATCATTGTACTAAAGATTAATTTATTTTCATTGTTTATTTAGTGTAATAAAAGGTTAATAACTAGTAGCCCTTCAACTATTGAATGGAATTCAGTCATCTATGAGAGGTAATCAATGCTAAATAATTTCATGACGGAACTGCTTCTGCTGCTCGCCAACGATTCCCATACTGCGGTATGCTGTTTTTCTTTTTTTCCCATTTTTTTAAAGAGCAGATAGCTAGATTAGTGGGCTAATCAAGAAGACCGCGCCGTGAATGCGACAAACATGTAACGAAAGTCACGGCCAAAGCCAAAGCTTCGTCGCTGATGGGTCTCTTTTAATTGAGCTAAAATTAAATCAGCCAGAAGAATAGATACAGTTTAATTGCTGTTTATTTGATCATTTTGCATGTGAATGGAATGGATAGTATGTACATTTCGGACCTTGTCTATATACCGGACTATAATAAAAGCTCATTTCCCGACTGCGGATTGGCTGGCTGATGCCTGGTGAATTCATCATTATGATGAGATATTTCCATAACAGCCGGACAAGACCTCCAAAAAGCAAATGTTTACATTAACTTTTTTGACTGATTGGCCCATGTCAATAACATGTCTCTCTGTTTGATCTACCAGAATTCTGCCTCTCTGCCTCTGTCTAAAATTAGCAGCTATATTTTGAGGAAATCTCGCTGCAGCCCGATGAAAAGGTTGAGTAAAACCAGTTGAAACCCACAAATCATACGACAAAAACCAAATGAGCAACACCTCTGCGAGCTGTTAATAGATTTAAATCATTTGGCATGCTTATTATACAATCCATGGCTTAAAGAAAACACCACCACAACGTGCTTAGAAAGTCATTGGTTTCGCCAATCTATTTGGGCTAAAACTTCCCCTGGTGGCAATAAAAGAAATAAATGGTAAAATGTGAAAACTGGCCGCTCCCTAAGTTTGGTGGCGAGTATATATGTATTAAGTCATCCATTTGGTAGTCGAAACCGCACAAAAACAACCCCAAGCTTGGGGGAACTATTGGTATAAACAATCAGCGGCAAACAACAGTGCGTTTCAGAACTGTGAGACGGCAAAAAACAAACAGAACAAAAAAAAGTTTCACCTCGCCAATTGGCATTTTTTTCAAACAGCGTTAGGTGACTAATCATGGGTCAAATGAATTAGTAATTTGTTACAAAAGTTGATCGGTGATCTAATGCAGAGTTATCTCATATGAGACTTGAGACTAATGACAAAAATTCTGGAACTTTTGCTAAAAAGACTATTTAAAATGTATTACAACCTTTTGGGTATTCCCTAGGCTGAATAATTTCAGTAAATAAATAAAGATAAACAGCTGACCAAAATTTTAGATATAGTTTACGCCCTATTTCCGCTACGATCTTACATAACTTGGTTGTTCTTAGAGATAATTGAATGAAACTAATGCCGTTTATAGGGTTCAAGTGCCCCTATTGATTTACGTTACAATGGTTCGGTTATCCCTCTTAGCTGTTGTTTTAGAGATAACTTAACATTTTAAGACCTTGCCTTTCTCGTTTTCAGATATTCGACTATTATGTTTGACTATGATTTCATTTAAATTATTTTATCCGTCACAACCAGTTGACACTGCCTTCGAAATTTGCATTATAAATGCATCTATACAGTATATTTATTTGTATAATCGTATATTTATTGTATATATTGTATAATCGACTGCGGCGTACGAATAAGAGGAAAAATAACAATTATTAAGTTGCTCGAGGACAATGCAAAGCGAAAGATAGCGATTTATCGTAATTCGAGCAATTAAAGTGAGTAATATGGGGTTAATAGGAGGGGGAAATCGTAGGAAAGCGTTGGTTGAACTCACCGTTTTTTGATTGATGGGTCATCCATAGGGTTCTCGGCGATGGCTTCTGCTGGCTGCTGTGCGGGTGCGAAAATGCAAATTCGAGTTCGAATTCAAAGGCATGCGTAAGCCACTCGAAATTGAAGGATTGCGATTCCAGGGGGTATTATTGTTCGCATGGATTTTATGCCAGTTTTCGCAGCTATTTTTAAATTGGCCACTAAAAACGGGCAGAAATTATTCCAGAAGTGATTTAATTGCGTTGATTTTCCGTTGCTTTAGTTCCTTTTTATGGCCTTTGTTGCACTTTTCGAATGGGTTTCATATATATATAAATTTAGCACTGCTACTTTTCACTTAAACCTGTGCGCACACAAAATTCGTTTGAAAACGTTTATGGCCATTAATGCATGTACATTAAAATATTTGTGTGTTTTTTCTTTGGGTGGGCGGTGAAGGGTTAAGGGGCAGGGGCAGGGGCGTGGGCAGAGAGAGGGTTAAAATGCAGCGATCTCCTTGCAATTTTATTGTTTTTATTCCACACACCGATAACCGAACAGCACCCACACACTCGCGCGCAAGCCATACATATTCCAATGGCTCTCTCTCTCTCTCGCGCTCTCTCTTTATCTCTCAGTTGTTGCTGGCTTTATTGTTGTTGTGCTTTTTGCTGACTAGTTTTCACGAAACATTTAATGGATGACGACTTGGTGGGGGGTGGGGGGAAAAACAAGTTTTTGCCCGAAAAATGAAATACTAATGGGTCAGAGCGGACTACTGGCAGGCAGGAAAACTCGAGCGATCCCTTCCAGGTTCGCCTATTTTCCACTGGAACAGCTGATTGTTCAATTAATCGCTTGTTCAATTAGCGTGACAAAAAAAACTCGCTCTCTCTCTTTCGATTCGCACTGATCTCACTGTTTGTTTACCCAAATAAATCAGAACTTGCAGTTTCACTCCTTTTTAATTAAACGCAAATATTTAATTGAATAAATATGTATACACACAAACTGGGCTGTGTGTGCTGGACGTGGTGTGTGTGTGTGTGGGGGTGCGAGTGCGATCATCGCCGCAAACGCAAGGCAAAACAATATGGCTGCCGCAAGCCACTTGTTAGAGAAAAACAAGCGATTCGGAGACTCGAAAAGCGTCCAGTTGTTTATCATGTACTCATTAATTCGATCGCCCCCGCTCCCCCAAGCCGCACATCCCTAAAATCGAATTAAAGCCATGTACTGCAGTTCAAGAGTTCAGCACTCAGCACTCACGTATATACACATTGGAAAACAAATACACACATGCCGTCATACATACGCGGCCCCTATAAGCGCGCTGCGTCGGTCTGCGTGCGATAGGTTAGAGATCATTTTTAGACAAATTTGCGTACAATATTTCCTGGCAATTGCTCGCGAATAAATGTTCTTCCCGTTGACGAACGTTGCACACACTCACTGCACAACTGCACTTTTGGATATATTTAACGCCAGTGTGTGGGTGCGCGGAATGTAAGTATGTAAAAAGTCTCTTTTTTTCTTTATTGCTTTTGTTGCAGTGAGCTCACGCGTAGCGAGCTGCGCATCATTCTTTCTCCACTGCCACTCCACTCCACTCCGCCACTTTCGCCACGCACTTACTTAAAACGCACTCGTATATATTTAATATTAATTTTCCACAAGCTGCGCAAATTGTTTTTATTTCATTTCCACTTTATCGCGCCTCAACACGCACACGACGGTTCTTTACTTTCAGCTCGAAAATCGAAAATAGGAATGAAACGACGAGAAAGAGCGCTTTACTTTCAGCTTGAAAATCGAAAATCGGAATGAAGTGAATTGCAACACCGAAAGAGAAACTGCAGGAATCACCCTGTGGGCCAGTGGCAGTGTGGGCCATGGTGGAACTATACAAGGTGGTCTCGTCAGCTCTTCTGAGGACGTCAAATATGTTTACCTCTCTGTCTCTCTTAGGCGATAGAATGAGATAGCTAGATAGAGACTGAGACAAATAACGTCCTCAAAAGAGGGCAGCTCTCGCGACGAGACCACCTTGTATAGTTTCCACCATGGTGTGGGCCCTCGATCTAGCGTGCCTGGCAGAAATCAAAACAAACGCACATCACAACCACCCACCCACACACAGGCATTCAGCACAAAGAGCAGACAACAAAAACCGCCTTTTTCCTTTTCGTTTGTCGTTTATTTGGTGGCGGTTACTCGGGTTGCCAAACAAAAGGCAGGGCAACGCACCCACCGCCCTCTGAGATATTGTACTTGGTCTACATGGGTTGTCTACATGTTACATATGTGCCATAATGTTAAAAACACGCTGTGTAAAAATCACGTCGGTGTAAACAACACAAAGTGTTAAGTTCAAAAAAAGTTATTGACATGTGTGTTATTTATGTTTCTAACATATGTAGACTACAACACACATGTCAATAACTTTTTTTGAACTTAACTCTTTGACATTTAACATGTTAATAACACAAGTTATTTACAGTGTGTGTTATTTTCCGAACCCTGGCCTGGATCCTAGGACAGCTCGGGTCCCAGGAGGTAGAATAGCAGTACCACCAGGTAGTAGAGCAGTAATCCTATAAATGCCATACTGTAGTTTGGACTGTCCTGGTTCGTGCGCCGCCAAGAGGCGCACCACTGGCGTCATGAGCTGGTCTCCTCCTGCACTTGGCTATTCCTCTCCGGCACCAGGTTGCCCACCACATCGGCACCTTCATTATCCTCATCCTGGACAGCAAGCGGGCTTTCGAGTATCCTGAGATCCTTCAAGTCTTCATACTGCAGTTCCTCGATCTCCTCCAGATCGCTGATTTCCAAGGGATCTGGCTCCGGTGGCGGATGCAGTCTACTCAACTCCAGCAACTGAAGATGGTAGTAGACGCCCTCATCGTCTATGGCATAAAAGTGCGAGAACTTGGCATCGGTGAAAAACTGACTGGCTCCATTGCCCACAAATTTGATGCAGGCCAGGAGCTCCGGGCGGATGGCATTGCCACGCTTATTCCGCCAGAGATCTAAATCCTCTCGGCTCTCTGAAATGAATTCGCGGGCCACGAATGTGAGATCAATATCGATGTCCGGCCCCGCAATGGGCGCCGCATCCACAGCATCCTCCTGCGTCACACTGTGCAGCTTGTGGCGACGACTGCGCCGCTGGTTGTGGTCCCGCTCCATCTGGTTATTGCGCATGTGCGTCACGTTCCAGAAGCACAGCTGCTCCGCGCAGCTAATCAGGAGCAGCTTGCTGGGCGAGAAGCGCAGCTGGCGGATGCACTGATCGTGTACCTCTCTAATGCTGTAGATCAGTTGCACCTGTCTGTTGTCCAGGGCAAAGAGCTCTATAATGCCATTCTCAAAGCCCAGAGCGAACATGCTGGCGTCTTCGGTGGCTGCCAAGTAGCTGATCCTGGCCTTCTGGATGATCTTCTCCTCGCAGATCAGTTCGTGCCTCAGTTGGCTGCCGCTGAATATTAAACGGAATACCTGCGGTTGGGATTTATAATTATTTAAACGTTTTCCGAGTTGTTTTTAATCAAAACCCACCTCAATGGTGTTGTTTCCGTAGGCCAGGAAGAGCAGACCGTTCTTCAAATCAAAGCCAACAAGGGATTCCTCAGACTCATCCGGTTTAACGAACACAGACGGGTTGGCTAAATCCAAATGCTATTAAAAAACATTAAAATTAGTGGATTTTTAACTCCAGTTTTGACTACAAAAAAACTTACACAAACTCCGTGCTCGGAAAACAAAATGATAAACTGTCCCCTGACTAGCGAAGCATACTTTGTGCCCACATCCAGCTGCAATGGCCACTGGTCATCTGTACTCCCCAGCTGAAATATCACAGTCTTCTGCGCACTATAAGACGAGGCCACCAGTAACTGCGGACTGATCTGCTTGAGGTAATCAATGGGCTCTGTGATAAACTGCTGCGGTATCACCGCATCCAGATTAACATCTATGGTCACTCCGTCCACGTAGCCAACAAAGATCTGATCGTCATTAAGCGCGGATATAGCAGTTATCCTTGGGTTACTGGCAGCATGAGTGGGTGTGATCGTGGACCAGGCGGAAATGCTAGATCTCCGGCGAGCACTTGGATCGGTGGCAGTTTCAATTTGATGGATGCGCTCCTTCGAGTCCACGGCCACCAGTTGTGTTCGCCCGCTGGTCATGTCCATCAGCGAACGCAGATAGACATTGGGCTCCAGGCAAGCCCGGGTCATCACGCTCTTCTCATCTGCACTGTGAACCCAGGCGATTCCACGATTTTGATGTGAATCCGAATTAATGACAGATCGCAGCGTATGAACATGAACCAACTGCTTGCCCTTGGCGCCACATAAAACAATGTACTTGTAGACAGGATCGAAGAGCTCGTAGATATCCACACACTCGATATGTTCGCTGACATTGCTGCGCAGCACGGGATCCGAGATGCGGAGATCATAAACAATCAGTCCCTCGGAGGTTCCAAGCAGGAGGTAATGTCCGTCCGCGGAACGCTTGCCGCAGGTGATGAAACTGCCCTCTGGCAGCTGCACTGCCTCCGATTGCAGACTAACCGAGGGACCTGGGATGAAATTCAACCGCCAAACGGTGTATTTGAAAATCAGCAAAACGGTGGCGTTCTGATTCCTTTCGTCGAAAGCCTCTAAAGCCAAAGGCGTGTCGTCTTGGACATCGAAACCTGGAAGATCAGGTCTTTCGCCTGATCCATTGTGCAAATCCCACACAGACAGCGCGCAACTGGAGTTGCAGACCACGTAGTATCGCTTCAAAACGTGAACGAAGCAACGGATTTCCGACTGCAGAGTCTTTAAGGTAGGCGTGTGCGAGGGATTGAACATCTGCTCTTGTTCGTTCCAGTTCAATATGCTTATATCACCATTGCTGAGGGCCACATGCAGTTGAATTTTGGTTTCCGGCAAGCCAGCGTCTTCATTCAAATAGAAAGCCATGATTTTCTGATCCGCATAGCTGCCTATAAAGCGTTTAATCACGCCATTGACTAGTTGCTGATAGGTGCGCGTTCTCGTGGGCTTTCGCAGATGGGCGGAGGCAGGAGGACGCACCCGCTGCTTGCTGCCACCACTGTGTCGCCTTCCTGGACAATCGGGCCACAGCAGCCAGAGCTTCAAACTCCCATTGCTGTGCAGGGTGATCAGGTGCTTCTGTTGGTTGAACACCGACATGCGCAGGATGTCACTGCTGTCATTCTCGTCCCTCAGAAGGTAGGTGTCCTCGCCCTCCAGCGAAACATCGGTGAGCAGGAGCTGCTTGCTACCCAGCGCCATCAGGCAAAAGTCGTTGTGAAGGTAAACGGCGTGGCGCACCTCATTGTTACCCAGGTTGATGATCTGCCGGTGCTGGTGGAAGCGACCACTGGAAAAGGGGAGAAAAAATTAGAAAGATTCTAAAATTTAGAAAATCATTTAATTAATATTAAATATCTAACCAGGGTATTAATTCAGTAAGTCACCAGGGCCGCCCAAAGTATATATATCAGCAACAGCGAGTGACTAGCCATGTCCGGTCGTTGTGTTCTACCAAACAGTCCCAGTTTTGACTATCGGGTGAAACTCCCAAAAGTCTTTCATCAGGAGAAGTCGGAGCCACGGATGGACAACTATATCACCCCAAGAACAATAAAAAAACTTTAAAAATAGCTGGTGTTTTAAATATACCCACTTGGGTGTATTTTAAATATATCGAATTCGAATAAATTATTAAAAAACACTATATCATAACCCAAACGTAAAATAAAAATATAAAAACATTCATTTAAATAAGAAATAAGCCGCAACAGCCTTTTTTTAAATCATTATAAAAATGTAAAAAATAATCAATTTCTTTTTTTCTTTAATAACAAAAAAAACTTTAAAATTTTTTTTAATTTTTAAAAAAAAAAATTTTATTGAAATTTTATTAAAAAATTAAAAACTTTCTTCTTCAAAATAAATTGTCGTTGAATTATTTCAATTCATGCCATTCATTATCAATTCTATTAAACTCAAAATTCAAATTCATCTATTATATTAAACTCAAAATTCTAATTAATTCATCATATAAAACAAAAAATTTAAAATAATTCATGAACCATTTAGAAGGCTCAATTCTAATGTAAAGCCCTTTTAAGTACTCACTGTTCGGTAAACCAAACTCGATCGCCAAAACGCTGCACTTGTCTATGGGCCTCCTCGAAAATCGCTTCATCCTCGGCCATCAAGGCAATCCTGAGGAGGTCCGTAAACTTCGAACGGATAAGATTCTCCTCGATCTTTGGCAGGAAATCCAGAATGGCATTCACTAAGCGCTCATACTTGGAGTCATTGTCTAAAAGAAAACACAGAAATTAAATAAAGTAAGTGAGATTCCATTGTTTTTAATCATTCTACGTACCGCAAATATATGGTTTGTAGAACTTCAGCTGCTGCAAAGTGTTTAAAATCGATCCGCTGGCATTCCAAGCCGTTGTATCGTGCCGAATCTTTTGTTCTAGAAAGCGGAAGTCTAGGAAAACCTTGCGAAACAGAATCACTCGCTCCGAGGGCTCAATGGTCTTCAGGTGATGCCCGATGTGGCTATAGAAATATTTGTCCAGCGAGGGCAATATCAAGTCATCGTGATCGAAAGCCTTTGTGATGCTACCAAACGAGAAGATTAATTAATTTCAGTAAAATATAATATATTAGAGGAAAATATGACTCAATAATAAGAATTTTCTAGAGACTTACTTATAGCGGTCAACGATCCTCCGATGCAGAGCAGGAACATCATCAACCTTTACTTTCAACTCCAAGTATATAGCGGGTATACTAATGGTTGACTCTTTGGGTTGCTTCTCCACCAGCGAATACTTGTGCAGCTTGTTAACCACAACCATTGCATCGTCGCCATCGGATTTGTCATCGAACCAAATCAGCGATAGGAGCTGCACAGCAGGAAGTTGATAAAGATAATTAATAAATATGCTGCATTTGAAAGTGGGACAAACGTACATTAATGGGTATGTGGGCGGAGGGTGGGAATACGGACAGCAGTCTGTCGAACATTTTTCTGTATTCAGTGGGCTCTACCACTTTTAAAGAGCTCTCAATGATGGTCGTCAGCTTATCGCAGTTTACTCTGAAAGGAAATAAATCATTAAGTAAATAAGCATACGTCGAACTCCATTCTATACTCACTGTTTCCAGTTGTCCCAAGTGGCCAGGCCATCGCGAATGCTCTCGGCAATGATGCTTAGTCTGCGTGGATTTGTGGTCAGCACTTCACGGGGCAAATCTTGCGGCCTGCAGTGGAGGTATTTGAGAAACAAAGACTTAACCTCATCCGACGTAAGCGTCATCGCGTGATGATCCAACGATATATGCGTTGTGGTAGCTGCCGAGAGAAAGTCAGTGACCTGCTTGAACCGAGTGGTCAGCAGAATCTTGCAGCTCAGATTGAAGGCATTCCAGGCCTTGGCATTTTGGACATTCAGCAGGACAAGCAGGCAATTCTCATAGGGTTTGCTCTTCAGTAGGCGTCGCAGCTCCGCCTGAATGCTGTGAATCCGTAGCTTGATGTTGCTGCCCTGATCGCTGCGACTCGTCCAATTGGGATCGATCTGGTGCAGGAGTTTCTGCAGCATCTCTAGCACGGTCTCTGGACTGTTGCAGTTCTTTAAGTTCAGCCAGAAGATTTTAAAGTCCATCTTGCGTTGCACTTTGTAGGATGAACACACATCGAGGGCTAGCCAATGTTTTCCCGAACCCAAGACGCCATCAACCAAGACATTTTTCGCTGGACGAAGTTCTAGCAGAGCCTGCGTCAGTTTCAGGTACTGTAAAAAGAGTTAGATTATATATTTTAGTTTCATAAATGAGAGATTAACCTACCGGTTGCAGCCGATTGACATTGTATTTGGCAAACACTTGGTTATCGTTGTAAAGGCGATCTCGCTGCTCGATGTAGGTTCTGGTTTCTCTGCTGGGATGCTGAAGCTCCTCCTTGATGGCAGCCATTAGGAATTCGTAGTTGGCCGGATCACTCGCATTGAGAACGTCTTCGACAAAGTCCTTGACTGTCCGCTCTTGTTTAGTGAGCAGAGTCCAAAACAGGCGAAGAGTGGCTGTCCTTGCATCCTTGGACTTGATGATGTGGTCGATCTCCTCCTTGGAAAATATTCTGTGCAGGACATCCTGGACATCCTTGCAGTCGAAATCCTCAACGAAAGCGTCCAGGAACACAAACAATATGTCCTTGTAATGGTATTGCTGGACCCTCGTTTCAAAGTCCATGTTGATTTTTTAAAAAGCTCTGGATAAGAAATAAAATTTAATTTAAAATTTGTTATAAACATAATTGGTTTCTGTGTCAACCCCGAATATAATACGTTATTATATATTCTATATTATTTATAAGTAGTATTTTATTGTTTTTAAACAATTTAAAGCTTATACTATAGAAAGCTTCTAGTCTACTGGAACCCAGTTCTAACTAAGTTAAAACTGACGGGCTTTATAAACATCCAAAATAGATATTTAAAATAAACTAAGAATTATTTCAAAAAATTGTACTAATAAGTCCCAAATAAGAACAAAATTTCGAAAAAATGTAAGCAAAATCAAATAGAAAACGTTTTTTGGCTGTTGTTATGACTCTAAATTGATAAGGAATAAAAGTCGAAAAATGAAAAGAATGAAGATAAATTAAAAAAAAATATACTATAATATAATTCATTCCAAAATGTTCTGAAATAATTTAGCTAATGGATGATTAAAAAATTTTGAATGACAATTTTATTTTTGGCCGCTTACTTTTTGCTAATGAAACGTACTGTTTGCGAGTATATATGGCGATTTTCTTGGCGCCAAGCGGTCTTGACCCACTTTATTTGAACGCACCACCGTCGGCGGACAAAAGTCAGGAGATCCCAGTAAAAGCGAGTGGTGAAATAAGATAAGGAGCAGCTACCCCCACCCCCTTTAAAGAGTTTCCAACTAGAGATCGGTAATTTCACAACTATCCGCCAAGGAGAAAAACTCGATCAGCTCCAAATAACTCGGAGTACGTGAGTGGTGCACTACTCACTCCACTCGAAAAAGTCGAAAAAGGCAATTCTGGTTGCAGTGCCAATGTCGTAGAACCAAAATCGGTTCGGACATTCGGATCCGATCGGACCACCACTATTTGCCCGCTGAATTAACTTCACAGTTAGATAAGCGGGCGCAGACAGAGACAGAAGATGAGTCACTGAGTCGCAGGGGGGTGTAGATGTGCAGATAAGTATGTAGGAGTAAGTAGTATGCAAAAGTATAAACAACAGATAAATGTGAATGAACTTGGCCGCTGTCTGTATGTGTTTGCGATATGTGCGATTTTGTTTGACTCACACACGTCACAGTGCCTTGGATATCGCCTTTGAAAGCGGGGAAACACAAAAGAATTAATGGGGAGGTACACGACTAACTAAGAGAATTAAACAATTGCGAATTGTAGAACGCCAACTAGCGCGCACAGGTGTGCGTTGTTCACCTGTGCGTATGTGCATGTGCATATGCACCGCACGCATACTTACGCTCCGTTTATTTTTAACGAATCGTTGTCCTTATACTTTAGTTTATATATGTGTAAATATTGCACTTTATCCTAATTAAATTGATGCTGCGGCTGCACTCGTTGCACTCTCTTCGTGCTCACATCGTTCTAGCACATACTGGCGGAATACTAGGCGTTTCAATAAATAAAGTAATAATTGCACACAATGCGCACATGCACTAAGCTAAGTTGGCGATTAAAAACAAAAAACAACAAATGATTCGAGCGGAGTGACCGTTCACGGCGCGCTCAACAATACCATCAGTGTTGGTGGCTTAGAAGTGATATAGCTTTTTCCCACCGAACTTTCACTACAAAAATATGAGCAATACACAAATATGAAACTCTTTCAATTTTTTTTTTAATTTTAAAATATATTAGCTTTGAGAACATGTTGTATACTTTTTTCGCTTTTTCAGTTATAAATGTACAGAAAAGTAAATCAAAGGACTTTTTCTAACAAATATCTACCCATCGGTTTTGGAAATATTTGTTAGTAGTGGGTGAAGTATATGTGGACTTAAGGGCTGATAAGAGGTGTTCACAATATCCAACGGATATAATTTTTCTTAAAAGTTCTTAATTTTAATTTCCCGTTATTACTGGGCTAGCTTGAAAAAGAAATCCCCCATGTTCCAATTACCACCGTTTCACAGACTTAAAAAAGCTAGATTTCTAGCCATAAGTAGATATCCGCTCAGCTCCCCCGACAGTGTGCCCGTTCTCACGGTATTTTTCCACTCACCGCCTGCGACCATACTATTCCCCAGACTTGTTATCAACATTAGGAATTTTTTGCCTTGTTTTATTTAAATTTCTGGGCTCGCCTTTCGAACCCCGGTGACCCCGCAGGACATGCCCGATGACACGCAGGATGCCAAGGCGCAGAAGTTGGCCGCGGCGAGGAGAAAGGTTCGCAACCGTCGGCCACACACAATTGTTTAGCTCTTGTGACGTGGACACATATCACCTCACATATTGGCCCACTAATATTGATTTTGTTTAACCACGCTTATGTGGACACAGCTGAAGGAGTACCAGCAGCGGGCGAGCAACAACAATGGCCACCCGGGAGCGGAGGAGCCGCTGGCCACCGCCACGCAGTCGCACTCGTCTACTGTGAGCATTGCGAGCAATCTTTCCGAGCGCTCAGACAGCGAGGTGAATGTAAATGGAGGAGGAGGAGGATCCATTGGTCAGCAGGAGCAGTTTGCCCATCCCACAGCTGCTTCCTACTTTGCCCACACCGAACCAGAACACAATGGCTCACCAGCTGGCGACGCCTCCAATCTGCAGGCCATTCAGGTGATCATTGCCGAGAAGGCTCAGCTCAATGCGGAGCTCACAAAGGTGCGATTGGCTTGTAGGGAACGCGAGCTGGAGCTGGAGGAGCTGCGCACCGTGAAGGATCAGCAGCAGTCGCGTCTGGAGCAACTGCAGCAGCACTACCAAGATCAGCAGTCCACCGGCGAGCAGCAGCGTCAGCAGTTCACGCAACTCCAGGCTGACCTACAGCAGTCACAGGCACAAATCAAGGATCAACAGTCGCATCTTAACGAACTGGAGGCCCAGCTGCAGCAGAGTAACCTTCGCCAGGAGGAACTGCAGCAGCAGCTCTCCCTAAAAACCAACGAACTGGAAATGGCCCAGCTGAAACTGCGTCAACTCTCCGACGAATCGAGCGTCAGCACGGACAACCGCGTGGAGTCGCTGGTGCAGACGCAATACATGTACGAGCAGCAGATTCGCGATCTCCAAGCCATGGTGGGTCAACTGTCGCACGACAAGGAGCAGGCCGCCGGTCAGTACCAAAACTATGTGCAACACCAGAGCGGCGAAATAGCCAAGCTTAATGAGAGAAACACAGAACTAGCAGAGGAACTTAATTCGCTTAAGGAGCGGGAACGACAGCTGGTGGAGCATGTGGGCGGTCTGGAGCGGGATATACAAAAGAACCTTAGCCTCCAAGCACAGTTTAAAGAGGCCAATCAGGAGCAGACTCCAAAAGAAGAGGCCAGTGATCAGGTAAATCAGTTAGAAAACTTAAAAATCACCTTTTAATCACCTTTTTTCATACACAGACCGCTTTAAAGAATGAACTAGCTGCCCTGAAGGAACGCCTGGCTGACTTCGATTTCGAGCGCCACGAATTCCAGCTGAAAATCAAGTCGCAGGACGACCAGCTGCAAATTAAAGAGTCCGCTCTAGCCGAACTAGAGCAGCAGCTCGATCGCTTGCAGGCCGAGCAACCGGATCAGACCAAGCTGCTGGCCACCATGGAGTCGGACAAGGTAGCCGCCTCGCGTGCCCTCACCCAGAATGTTGAAATGAAGAGCCAACTGGACGAACTGCAGCAACGCTTTGTCCAACTAACGAACGACAAAGCGGAGCTGGTGATCCGCTTGGATGCCGAGGAGTTTGCCAATCGAGAGATACGCCAGAATTACACCAGCATGGAGCAGAAACTGCACGCCAACGAGGAGCGCTTCAAGTTTAAGGATGAGGAGATGATTCGACTTTCCCACGAGAACGTCGAGCTGCAGCGCCAACAGTTGATGATGCAGCAGCAGCTGGACCGCCTGCGACACTATGAGGTTGGTGGGGGTAAAAAATCGAGATTGTCTTCATGGTCTCAAAACGATATCTAATTTTTATAATTTTTTTTTTTAAATCCATTTGACAGAAGCGAATGGCGATGCTTTTTTTTTGTTTAATTCATTTATAATGGAACATTATACAATTTTTCTATGTAGTTTAAAAATGCCGATTTGCAGAAAACCGCGAATGAAATATTTTTTTTCAGATTGGACTATATTTTGCACTGGAACCATTATGGGTGTTATTTTTATCTGAAAGCTTGGCAAAAAAAATAATTTTTGGGTATTTTTATTTATTTTTTAACACACTTAATTTAAAATTATAAATTTTTATAAAATCTTTTCTAAATGGTGTGATATTGTCATAACAATTAGATATTGTTTTGAGACCATAAAGAAAATCTCGATACGTTTCACAAAGAAGCACTCATATATAAGCTTCTTAAACTATTTTATTATCATTCTAGGCCAAGGCATATCATAGCCAAGAGGGAAAAGAAAGTGGCGATGCACCGGGAAATGAAGCTGAGGAAGCTAAGGATCTTGATCATGATCACGATCACTCGCACGATCATCCACATGATCATTCGCATGCTCACTCTCATGAGCATTCCCACGATAATTGCCATGATCATGACCACGATCATTCCCACGATCATCCGCATGATCATGTCCACAATCACGACGACCATAGACCGACAGCTAAAACCCTGCCCACTGCTGAGGCCGTGGAGCGCCTGCAATCGCGCTTCACCACACTGATCAGCCAGGTGGCCGATCTGACCGAGGAGAAGCACAGCCTAGAGCACCTGGTGCTGCAGCTGCAGAGCGAAACGGAGACCATTGGCGAGTATATCGCCCTCTATCAAACACAGCGGCGCATGCTGAAGCAGCGTGAGTACGAGAAGGCCGCCCAAATGCGACTTTTGCACGCGGAACGGGAGCAGCTGCGCGAGAAGATCGAGGCGCTGAACAAGCTGGTCGTCAGTTTGGGCGTGGAGCTGCCTGCCGATACCGCCGGCGGCCAACCAACAGCGACGACAAATAGTGAGCAGGCACAAAGTTTACCCAACGAGGGCGAAAACTCGCAGCAGATCATCAACAAGATACAGGACATCATCAGCGAGATCAAAGAGAACACGGAGCAGCCGAGCCACAATCATGCGGGCGATCATCTCAATTGCTGCCTGGGCAAATTCGAGGTGGTCTAGAAGATTCCAAATGCCGAAAGCTTGCTCGCAAAAGTGCAATTATCGTCTGCTTACGTAAAAACATTCACCCCTTTTTGCTACTGTATTTTATTGTAATTGTATCCCCGAGTCTTTTGTATATGTTTCCAACGATGTGTCCGAATAAACCTAGTTTGCCTCTAAGACGAATCTACAACTTAGCCCCACTAAAAAACGTATTACAAATCAATCCAACTTGAACGTTGTCTTTTATTCACAAATAAAACATATTCTTAAGGGTAAAATTAAGAAGTACACATATAAAAAAGTCCTATTGGCATCTTTGGATGATGGTGAATCTTCCGTTTTACAAGCTGTTATAAATAAAATGTTTCAGCGAATATTAAATTAATATGTGAATATATGGTTTGAAATTACTAATAACAAAAAAAGGGGATGATCCATGATGGCTACTTCCTGGCCTTGCCTTTCGATTCGTTGCGCATCTTGTCCCTAAGATTACGCTCCACCAAACTTGTGGGCCTGCAGCTTCGACTTGGTCTTCCGCTGGAGCTGAAAAAAGAACTAGACATCTCCGTTTGTTCCGATTTCTTTCGTTTTTTCTCTGCTGCTGCTGAACTTTTGTGCCCATTTGGTATGGGAGTGCTGGTACTTCCGGCCACCTGGCCAATGCCATTGAAGAGGCTTCTCCGCGGCGTGGAGCCATTGACATCGGGAAAGATTCCAGACGAGTGACTGGGTCTGGTGACTGCCAGTCTGGCACACTGTATGCTGGACTCCTGCAGGGAATCCTCTTCAGGTTGGCGAATCGAGGAGTTCTTGGGTCTGCCGACAGCGCGTCTGGGGCGATGGCTACTCGGCTCCTCTTCTGCGCCGGGAATAGAAGAGTGACTGGGATGATGGGCACTTGAATCCTCTTCAGCGCTGCGAACAGGAGTCTTTTTGGGTCTACCGACAGGCCTTTTAGGGCGTTGAACACTCGGCTCCTGAACCGAATCCTCTTGAGCTCCGGGAATCGAGAAAGAGGAGTGTTTTCCCCGTCTGGGAAGCTGAATACTTGGCTCCTGTACCGAATCCTCTTCAGTCTGTCTGGATTTCACCGCATCCTTGCCTCTACTTAACGACACAGCCTCTGGAACATTGATGTCCACTTCGCGGAGAGCCCGTCCACCAAGAGTTTCGGTAGCTGGAGCATTCGTGGGACTGCTGTCGATGGTGGTGTCACAGTAGATGGCCTCGCAGGAGGATGACTCTACGTCCGTGGCCTCCGTCTCGCTGTCGTTCTCCTCGATGATGCTGAAGAGGTGATTGTTCTCCTGGTTTTGGTCAGTCTGTGCCTCCTGTTCCTTCTCCTCCTCGTTGTTGTTGCTCTCCCCCTGCCTATGGACAGGACTAGCTACTGAATCTTCCTCAGAGTCATCCTCATCGAAGAGCAATTCACCAAGTCTTCGAGGAGGAGGTGTGTGCTTCAGGGGCACCCTTTTTTCCGGCACCAAAGTGGCCTCCACTTCGGAGATTGTCTCTGCGCTGGAACGACGACTGGTTGAGGATGTACTGATAGTACTGGTGGATCTCCTGGGCGAGATGGTTCTAGTGGTGCGAGCCAGGGCGCAGGTCCTTCGAATGTCCCTGCAGATCTCCCTGGAGCTGCGACGCGTTGGATTTGGTCTGCTGACCACGGGCGTGGGTTCCTGGCTCCCGCTGGACTCCAGGGAGTCCGAGTTCACATTCAGACGCTGCATGAGGCTCCTCAAGATGTCAATGTTCTCCAGCCGCTGGCGATCCTTGTCCAGAATGTGCTCCTCCCGCAGATCCATGTTCTCGCGCTCCAGCGTGATCACCCGCTTCCTGTACTCGCCGATCTCCAGGCGCTGCTTCTGCACCTGCTCCATCAGCTCGGCGTTGAGCAGCTTGTACTGCATCTCCACTTTGGTCGCCATGCTCTCGGTTATTCGGTTATCCTATTCCATTCACGAAATTCACGAAAACCAGACAAACGACGCCAGGAGCTTGTTTTGAATTTTATTTCAGGGTGACCATGCTGGGAGAAATATACTGAAATTGCCCATTGAACGTGTGGCAACGCCGGCAGACTCAAATTTCTGGCTAAAAACCAGGGTGTGAACATTTTTTTTTAATTTTTGAATAATGGACCGTTTTGTTTTTAAATTATCCACACAAAAAGCTGTCTCGATACTTATTAATTATATATATGTGGACTGTAATAAATAACGAGATATAAATTAAATTATAACGACTTCTTATTGCACATTATCTTGCAAAGCCGTGCCAGTGGAAACAGGCTATACTGTCAAGAACTAAGTAAGCTTTAGTATTTTTCGCTACGTGCCATTTACGAAAGCAACGGCCACACTGAGCCAGCAGCACAATAAATTTTTTGTTTTCTCAACCGATTGTGAGGAAAATCCTGATTTCCGAAGCAGATAAACAATGCTGCAGCGCTAGGCGCCCAAAACGAGGAATATAGGTGCTTCGGAGAGTTTTGGATACACTTTACAGACCCCGGAAATCGCACAAAATCCAAATCCAATCCATCTGGCAGTGTGTGTGCGTATGCGAACGTGAGTGAGAGTGTGCCGTCGCAGTGTGCGTGTGTTTGTGTTTGTGTAAAAATGAAAATCAGTCAAATTTTGCTCGTCGTTTTACGTCTTTTAGGCATTTAGGCCAGACTTTTACACATTTCTACAATTGCTAGCAATAGTGGGAGGGATTTCCCGCCTGGGGCACAGAACACGGCAACACGGCAACACACCACATGCCACATACCACACACAACACCTGTGCACTCGAAAAACGATCGACGAAACTAGCGCGCGGATTAGAAACTTTGGATTCGGATACGGATTGAAAATACTCGAAAAAAGCGTTGGGAACCGTCTGCTATGCTGTTATATCTTCCGAAAGCAACGACAATCGAATCACCTGCTGAAAACTGAAGACGGCTAATAACCCAGAGATCCGAGAATTTCATTCGCAGAAGCAAAAGCCCCAGTTGAAAACCGAAACCCGCTTCAAGGTGAGTTTGTTTGTTTGTTTGTGAATTCAACCCGTTTGTTAAGTTTAAATTGAGTGCATTCAGTACTCATACTCCAAATCCTGAATAAGTATTGCGTACTTATCGCCGTTCTTATCAATCCTATTTCGCCTGGCGCCTGGAAATTTGGTAATTTATGGAATATTATTCAGAGACCCCTTTTGGTGCCTGTTCCATATAAGCAATTATCTTATCGCCCCAACCATTTTCGCCATGATATTTGCGCCTAATGATTGTGTGTTCGTAAAATTGCATTTGCCAAGATATGGTATATCTTACGACCTAGAAGTACACAGAGAACATTTTAGTTTCTAGTTAACACTAATATACGTAAGTTTTACCATTAGTAAAGTTCAAATTTTGGATAAACTTCCGAAAACTTTTTTTTTTTGAATCGCTTGATAAACCATGAAAAAAATGCTCTCAACAATTTTTGTTCACGATAAAAGCAAACCAAAAAAAAAAAAAAAAAGGCAAAATCATAAAATATAAGAAATGTGTACACATGTTAATATTTCTTATATGCTATATGGTATGGTATTTTTGATCGTGGATTACAAAAACGATTACAAAAAAAAAGAAAATAATTGTTTTTACAATTGCTAGAATTCAATTTGTAGTGATATTCGTTATTAAAACTATGAGTATAAAAATGTAAGATATTCTTTTTGATATTATAAATTTTAAAAGTGGTTGAGAACTAGGCTTTTTATGTTTTAGCAGCACTTTATGATTCAAAATTGTTGTATTTTAGTATATTGCTTGTTTCTTCGTCTGTAGAAAAACATGAAAAGCCTTTTTCCACAAATCTAACCGGCTAAAAGGGTGCAATAAACCCAGGTCGCTGTGATTTTTTTTCTTGTTCCATCAGCAAATGCACTTCGTTTTGGTTTGCTGTCGCTTTGTCTTAATCACATTAAGCAAAACGGCTGGCACGCGACGCATGACGAAAGCAAGTGCAGCAACGGCAAACCAAAGACCCCTGGAACATATGGAGCATATAGCCACCCATGCCACCCCATCACTGACCTACAAAGAGTGCATTGCTCGACGGCCAAACAAAACTAAATTCGCAGGCTAAGGGTTGATTCACTTTGCTTCTTGGGTTCCGCCAGATATGCGAGTGCAAGTGCGAATTGTGACGGGTGAACTTTGATGGTATGACATAATCTGTAGGCTTACTGAAGCTATTCGGATAGGAAAGTAATCCCGAAGCACGAAAGAACGCTACATCTGAAGGATGTTAGTCTTACATAATCTAATCTTGAATTTTGAGTAGTATTAACAGATATATATGGATGACATATCACTATAAAAAATTAAAATGAAATATAAAATAACCATTGCATACAAAATTTTTATAGAAAATCTTTTATTTTTTGGCTAAGCAAGTATTTATTTTCAAGTTCTAAATATAGATCTTAACTTTAAAAAGACTTCTTAAGTTGCAAGCGGTATTAAATTATTATAAATATCTCTATATCACTATACAAAATTGAAATGAAATATTAAATAACCATTGCATATCAAATTTTTATAGAAAATCTTTAATTTTTGCTGAAGCAAGTAATTATTTTCAATTTCTAAATATAGATTTAAACAATAAAAAACTTTTCTTAAGTTGCTAACGGTATTAAATTATTATAAATTTAAAATTCTTATAGGGGTTGAGAAAATGTAAAGATATTTTCACTGCACCCAAAATAACCCCCCATGTGTAAAATATTTGGTGTACTTTATGCAGCAACCCCAAGTGTAAAAGAGTTTTAAGCTCGTTTCCGTAATCGTATGCATTGCAGAAAAAGGCGCCCCAGTCGCCGGGGTCAATGTCATAGGCCTTTGTGGTAGGCCATGGCAGCACTCCATCTCATTCCATCCCATCCCATCCCGTCCAGGAGTCTGCCTGCCTGCCAGTCTATTGTCGAGGCCATTTTCCATCCCCCACTGAAAGTATATTTACAAGTACATACAGAAACATCGAGTGCTGCTGCAGTGACACACGCAAAGATTGGGGATCGAGGGGGGATTGGGTATGGGAATGGGTATGGCTATGGTTACTACTTGTCTATATGGCTGGGGGAACAGGCGGCACTTGTCGGCCTTGTGTGCGGCCATTTGTCAGTTGAATTCGTTGTCATGCATTTTTCGAGCACTGCATCACACGAGCTTTGATTTTGATTGGCACGTAGCGGAGAGTATCTGCCTTTATTTCTCTGATTTATGCTGCTGTGCTGCACTTCCTTGTGCAACCTGGAACTGAATCATAAAACTGCACCGCCTTCTGACTCTGACTCCAGTTTCCACAGCCCCATGCCGAGGGCTTTCGCTTCCTCGGTGACTCCGGTGACTCATAGTGTGTGTTTGATTTTTGTTTACATCACTTTTAGCCGTTGCACTGAGAAAATAATATCACTTTCTGTAGCAATCATCTCAAGTCTTGAGAAAATAATATAATCCGAATTTCAATTATTTGAAATAAATATATTATGTTTTTTTTTAAATATGATTCACTTTACGTCGAAACCAACATTTTTTTAGGCAGCGTATCGCTGGTATTTCCAATTGTCTTTATTTTTATAGCTCGCTATTCCTATCAGAAGCCAAAAAAATTAAGTATTTCATTCATATAATTTTAATTTATTGATAGCTAAGAAAATAAATTTTAAATGTGAAAGCTTGAATGAACATTTTGAGTTTTTAGGACGACCATTGAGATTTTAACTTGTAAGATAATCAACTTTTTTCTTTCCAAAAAAATTAAATTGTTTCAATTACTTAACTTATATTACCTTACCTTACCTTAATAATTTGAGTATTTCATTACGACATTTCTATTTTATATACATAGTTATTTTTATGGAACCAAATATAATGGAAAATAGAGTATTATGAATAGTTTTCCCCACGTGTAGTGTATGCAAAATACCGAGCCCAACACCGTTGTTGTCATTGAGTTCATCGCTGTTGTCTCCGGTGATGTTGTTGCCTCGTCTCGGGCTCTCATGATGTGTTTGCGTTAGTTATTTAAGCATTGTGCGACGGTGCTGAAAACCGCATTTTAATAAACCCCGCGAAACAACAGCCATAGCTGGAATAGCAACAGCAACAGCAAGTGCAACAATGCAATATTTATCTGGTGTTGTTTGTTGCTGACGGTAAGTGAATATGTGCCTTACATCACAACACACACTCTTAGTAACCGATGAGGTAGCCGATGGACTAAGGGGCGGTGCAAAAGCAGAAGCTTCAATTACAAAATGCAAATGCAAAATGATGCATGGTGAAACGCTTAGATCAGAAGTAATTCAAAACGCAGTGCTTAGGCTGATAAAAGGCAATTCAATGTGAAATATTCATTCATATATGGGATATACATAGATATATATAGTTGCAACCGAAGCGATACAAGGTTGCAGGAAGGTTGGGCTAATCTGCCAGAGTAAATATGAAGTGGAAAACTTGTTTAGAAATTAACAGATGTTCAGTTTATTTGCGAAAAAATTGTTTGAGAAATGTTTAAAAGTGATAAGGCGAAACATTTTTTTTCCAATTTAATCTTAGGGTTAAGTTTCAGTTAATTTCCGAATTTTCGATTTTGATCTTTAACCTACTTATAGATCTTAATTACTTATTGTATTCTTCGATGAATATTTCTATTTTATTATGACTAATATATTTGGAAACAAGTTTTTCGCTATTACTGATCAAAGGCTAAAGCTCAACTATTTATGAGTCATTTGAGTGAGCCTCAAGAATAAATTGAAAATGTCGCTTTGATAGAGAAATTTTCATTTGCATAATAAATTGTTTATTATGTTTATTAAATCTCTGACCTTTGCTGCACTTATATATTTGGCATAATGGAATCTGCCCCAAGAGCAAACAAGAGAGAACGCTATAGTCGGGTGCCCCGACTATCAGATACCCGTTACTCAGCTAAAGGGAGTGCGAAAGAGATGGAGAAAAACTTTGATCCGCCGTAACTTTTTAACGAATGGTCCGATTTAAAAAATTTCTTCTACATTTCGATAGGTATTGATAAACACAATAAAACTGCATTTTTACTTTTCCAAAATATTGAAATTTTTAAAATCGTATATATGCGATTGTGGGCGTTAGAGGGGGCGTGGCACCCTTTTGAAACAAACTTGCGCTGCGTAGGAACTCCTAGAATCTGCATGCAAAATGTCAATCTTCTAGCTTTTATAGTTTCCGAGATCTCAGCGTTCATACGGACAGACGGACAGACAGACAGACAGACAGACAGACAGACAGACAGACAGACAGACAGACAGACAGACGGACAGACGGACATGGCTAGATCGACTCGGCTAGTGATCCTGATCAAGAATATATATACTTTATGGGGTCGGAAACGCTTCCTTCTACCTGTTACATACTTTTGCACGAATACAATATACCCTTTTACTCTACGAGTAACGGGTATAAAAATAAAAACACTCTGTGTATCTCCTGAATTTGTTTTCACCTCAATACCATTCACCACAAAATGTTTTTACGTCAGCGAGTCTCTAGTATAAACGGTCATTCACAAAATAAAAATTATAAACAAATTCGCCGTGGATGGGCTATAAAAACATTGGCATAAGAAATGGTTGCAGAGCGTGTTGTCTTCGGAATTTGTTACTCCGTGTGATTTGCACTACGGTCACATATTATTATCGTACCGTGTGGCTTTTGGAATTTCAATGATTTGATGACCAGATTCCCCGGCTCCTCCTCCCTCTGAAAATCATTAAAAGCCGCAGCTGGCACGACTTGCAATTGAAATGTAAATGTTAATTGTTAGTCCAACGGTTTTGGTTTTGGCTTGGGCTTTGTGTAATTGGAACTTGGCCACAGCTAAACGACAAAAATAAATTAAAGAAATTGAAAGCGAAAGTCTTATGACTGGTGAGGCAAATTAATTTACGAGATTGTGTGCTCATGTAAACTGGTTTTTTCCTTAAGAATCATGAAGAACCGAGTGAGTCACGATGCCTTTTACATTTACATCTCAAGCGCAAAACTAATTCAAAGTAAGCGATCTATAAGCTGCATATTTTATAGGGAAAAATAAAAAATATTACCAATTCAACTACTTATTTTATAAGGAAAAATAATAATATTAATTGGTTATACCATTATAATCCAAAGCTTGCAAAATCTCTCTCTCCAGAACATCTAATCCCCAAACCAGTCTCAAAACCTGAAACATTTGTGCAAATTGCCAAGTAAACAAAACGATGAGCTAAACGAAAAGAAAGGCGAGACAAAGAAAACATAAATGAAATGAAGAAAAACCTCAGGAAAATTACCATAATTAAGAAAACTGGGGGGTTTACTGAACTAAACTGTCCCAGCAGAAAACCAACTGGGGGACACTTTGCGGTCTGCCTTATAAAACTTGCGCAATCTTTTGCGGTTACGGGGTGTTTTTTGGTCTTTGGATATCGGGTATATATATGTATTGTCTTACCAATGGGCGTGCTGAACATTTAACACCCAATATTTGACTTACATAATGGCCGGCGATTTTTGACAGTCGAGCAATTTGTCGTTAGCGTGCCGCGAATGAGAGTGAAATAGGAAATGGGCTGGGGATTTGATTTCCGCGCTTTGATTCAATTTGTTTCGATGTCGTCCCTTCGAATTTCCCATCCCTTTGGAACATAACACGCCCTTGTTTATAGAATGTGTGCATTTGGGGCAATTAACTTGATGACAGTTTATTGGGGCAATCCAAAAGCGTTTCTCCCGTTTCTTTGACCTCTTTGGGGATGGGAATGAAAGTGGCGGCACACCTCGAAAACGTTAATTGAATGTAACCCGAGGATAAGAGCAGGAGCTAAAAAAATGGGACCCCCAAAATTATAGGAACGCCAATTTGGAATCGTTTAAAGGCAGTGACTCATTTTCCATATCAGGAAAGAAAGACCAACGAATTCAATTAATCGATTTGCTGTCGTTGAACCTTTCATATCAATAGAGGTTTAAATATATACAAGAAAATATAATTGTTTTGAGATTGCGTGACACACTCATAAAACTGCCCAAAGTTGATAATCCAAATTCAAAGAATGGTAAAATGGTACAAGATCAAATGTACTCGGAAACTGAATCATTTCACATCCGGGATATCTCAAAAATTGCTAAACATTTTGTAAGAAGTCATTAATTTACAAGGAAAAAAAAAAGACATGGGTCTTTTAAAAATAATTTTTTTTTCTTTAACTTTAACTTTAATTTGTTTGCTTTTATAGTTATGAAACGCAGCGTAGTCTATCACCTCTCCATCAAATTTGTTTTCAAACATGTTTCTTCATTCCTTTGGTTCTTGAATAAATTCTTTTATTTTCGCGCTGTCTGCCCAACCGTAATTCTTGATAAGATATAGTAACTTTATAAATACCTGGGGTCTTATGCTTCAGATTTCCAACGAACTCGCTTGCTTATGAATCATCGTTTGAAGTAAATATTTGATTTGACTTCTAAGAGATTTGCAATGGTCAGACAGTTTGGGGGACCAGTCGAATGAACTCGATTGATAGGGTAAATATTTGAATGATCAGTCTTTAATCAAAAAACTTCTTCCATTGGGAAAAAATATTTAAAAAAATTGTTGATGGTCAAGAGATTTTGTATCTTTATAATGGGGATACGATCGTTTAATTTTAAATGTATTTTATTTTTTACACTTAAATAACATATTTTTTCAAGAGTTATTTTCTCATAGCGATAGATCCTTGAAAATATTATAATAAATCGTATGATATCGTTACTGAAATGATACTTTTCTTGATTTCCGTGCAGTGGGGACCAATTTCCCTTCACTAGCAGCTGTTCAATTAAGGGCCAATCCGTCGGGATGAATCAAGCTGAATTGAGTGAATCATCTGCCTTGGAGGCCAGAGAAGGGGAATTGCTGGTGGACAGCAATTAAGGAGCTGCCGGTTTGCACCAGACCTGTCCCACTGTGCTAGTTAAATGAGTCAAGACCGCCGGGTTTTTCACACGTTTACGGTTTAGCATTTCTTCAGCAGATCTGCAGATTCTTCTCATCATCATTGGGGCCTAGGGACTGGAGACTGTGGACTGAAGACTGGGGACTGCTGGTGATGACAAGTGTGGTCGTCTTCTGCAATTGTGGTTTCTCTTTGTCTGGGCTTCTGGGCTTTGTTTCGGTCGCTTATTTATTTCCATAGACCCACCGAGTGAGAGAGAGAGCTCCCTCCCAGCTGTGACGTCAGAAGGCAGTTAATTTTATTTTTATCAATGTGTTCACTCTGCTCCCCCCTCGCGATATCTCTCTTTCTCAGACTGGAGACTCTCCATGGGTCTCTCTGCTTTTTCTCTGCTTGAATTTTATCGCTGGGGCATCGCATGCGCAGCCGTTGGAGCTCCTCAGTTCGAATTTAACCTGCGAACTGAGCGCAACGCGCGTTTCACTCAGAAATATATATATACAATCCAAAAAAATATATATATATTTCGTGCTTGGCAAAATCACTTTTGTTTACGTGCGTGTGTTGAAAAGAAAAAAAGAAAAAATCAACTAATAATACAACAAACAAATCAGCGGGAAACGGTTATTATCAAAATGTAAATAAAAGCCCAAAAAATGTTGATAGTGTTTATCAGGAAATAAAACGATTTCCCTTCGGTTTTCGGTGTAGAATTCAATGGGCGATGGGCTGCCTTTTTAGATTGTTGGAACACTTGGGTCTGATCATCATTTGTGCGAATTTGTAGCCATAATCGTAGCCACGCCAGCTCATCCAGGTGATCCCGCGACCCGAGAGCTTGGGCTCAAATCTTCCACCCTCCAAATATTGGCCATTTAGGTTGCTAAAAAAAAAAAATAAAAATATAAAAATTATAAATCAAAGAAAGAATCTACTTTTCATACCTCCTCTCACACTGATCGTACCACCAGGCACCCACATAAATCCTGGCACATCCGTGGCCCAAAGTATCGTGGTCAAACGTGGAGAAAGGCATTCCCTTGTGATATCTCAAGGAATCGCCTGCATCTCCAGAGTATTTGCCCAAAACCGATAGCGAATAGGATTCGTTGGCATTGCCAATGGCAAAATCATCGTATCGAGCATCATGTACTACTCCATCGAAATCCTCCAAGTAGACATAAAGTTCATAGGGTTCGGCTGCGGTTAGAAAGTGTAGTTTCTCAAGACCCAGAAAGAATTCTCCACTGAGGTCCCCAAATCCCTGGCTATACTCCTCCCAACAGCGATAGAAATTTTCACTTCCATCTCGACGACGTTGAATAACAGTCCAACCAGATCCCGCCAGTCGAGTGTCACAAAAAACGGGAAAGGGCTCCAGACCAGGCACTTCAATCACATGGATGCCATCTGAGTTGATTCCAGCAGCTAGACAGGATGAGGGTTTAATCTCAGCTGGAATTGAAATTTTAATCGGATTTACCAGTTTTCTAGATCTAACGATTATCTCAAACTTACCCTCTTCAATCTCATTCTGTGTTGCCAATTCCATGTAGCTCTGTTTTAATTCTTCCAGCTGCGTTTTTAAACTGCAATTTATTTTTATTATTTTAAAAGCTTTAAATGGATTTTAAATGCCCACCTGGAAATCATTTTTTCAGCTTTGTTGTAGACATCTTCCAATTTATTGCTATGACCACTTGAAAAAAGGCAACCACAGCTTAACAACAAAACACAAATATTGTATAGATTCATGATCTTGTTCAGTGCCCTGTTCCCAACAATCTAGATTATAGATTCTGTTAAAAGTTTACCAGAAATAAATTTCTATACTATATATTGATAGTTCGTTTGACTTATCAATTGCATTGAAAAATCGTAGGTCAAGTCTGCCTGGAGCGATAGTCGATAGGCCCAGCAGGAAGTTGAGAAAACTAAACGATTTCATTGAGAATTACATTATATTTCGCATTCCTGATTCAGATTCTGATTAATGTGCTCAGCAAAAAAGGTGATAATTCAATGGCAACACCTTTTGCATATTAAGCAAGTACATAAACAAATTGTTTTCACATCGATCTCGAAGCCATTAAACCAAAGGGAGTGAACAACTAATAATAATAATGTTTTTTGGAGAGTCAGCGATGAATCACGGGTATATTTCGGCACTTGGGTCGTATTAGCATTTGAGTTATCCTGTATCCGTAGTTGTGGCCACGCCAAGATCGCCAGCACATTCCTCTGGCGAACAGTTTCTCCTCGTATTTACCACCCGGCATATATTGACCATTTAGGTTGCTAAAAATAATGAATGATTACAAAGTTTTATAAATTTATAAATAAATATCAAAACCAACCTATCCAGACAGGCATTGTACCACCATCCTCCCAAATAGTAAAATGCACAATTCCTGTTAAACTCCTTATCGTTATCCCGATCGTACGTGGAGAACTTCATTTTGCGGTGTGATCTTAGGGAATCCCCCGCAGTACCGGAATATTTTCCCAATGCATTCAACGCGAAGTCATCCTCCTCGTTACCAATAGCAAATTCATCAAATTTAGCATGTTTCACTGTGTCATCAAAGTCCTCCAAGTGGACATATAGTTCATGGGGTTCCAGAGCAGTCAGGGCACGAATCTTTTCGAGGCCAAGAAAATACTCGCCATTCAGATCTCCAAATCCATTCTTGTACTCTTCCCAATTGCGAAAGAAGCTGAGATTTCCACTGAATCTCCTCTGAATAACAATCCATCCGGGACCAGCTATTTGATTTTCACAGTACACTTGAAATGGACTCAAGCCTGGTACTTTGATTGTTTTTAAACCATTTTCATTAGCTCCAGAAATCAGACAGGATGTCGGGTAGACCTCATCGGGGGATTTAATTAATCCGCCCTTAGTTTCAATTTGCAAAAGTGCTTCCTTTATACTAAAGAAATTAATAGTTAAAACTCTGTTTATTTTTGTTCTATTTAACTTACATGGAAAGTACATTTTCTGACTGCTCATAAATAGCTTCCATTTTGTCAACCACATTTAGAGTCTGTTAAGAGATTTGTTAATTTTACTCAAGTCTTAATTTTCCTGTGAAACTCACCTGTACATCACAAAAAAACATCAAATAAATTGTAAAGAAAACCGACGAAACTGGCAAGTCAGAGAACTTCATTTTGACAGCGAATCGATTGGAATATAATGAGATTTGCAATTAGCTAAATATTTTATTGCACACAAAGGAGGACTTTGTTTACGTGCCGTTTCTTATCAATAGCCTTTCAAATTACTTGATTATGATTTCTTGATAATTATTTAGAGCTTTCAATTTCCATTCACTGAATTCTTGCTGCGAATTTAATGCGATTTTGAAAGGTTGCTCGAAAAAGAGCTGAAGAAATTTTAATTGAAAACAGCCATAAATGAGATAAAAACAAAAGCAATACAGACAAATTTGTAAGATCTCTTCGGATCACGTGGGTTTGCTTCGTTCTGTTTAAGTGGGCTGTCCCAGTTATTCTAAAACTGTGATGTTTTACGCGCTGTTTGAGCTTGAAATTTCTTATTTTGGTTTACACCTTACAACATAGGGGTATAATAAATATTAGTTTTATTGAAATTATTTGAGATAAATAAATCTATGCATTTTGAATGTGATTGTAATAGTGAAGTAAACATTTAAAGAAATAAAATAGTCTATTCTCGTTTAATGGAAATTTAATAAAATGTTAATTTTAATTTACTATTTACAAAAATTTTTTTATCATGCTTAATGGTATACACTTTTAATAAGCTAGAGAATTTCAGGCTTCGGTGGCTCCACATCTCTTTGGTCTCTTTATCGGGGCGTCAATCTGAAGACAACAGAAAACAAGACATAAATAATAAGTATAGAAATGGTATTATAAACACCCAGCATATGTGAGTGTGACGGTGTGTGGGTGGTGACAGCGGTCTTGGCTTTGGAAGTCGCTTGATCAACACAAAAGTGTTAGCCAGTCTTAAGCCGAAGCTTCGCAGAGGCGGACGCAGAATTTGTGAATATCTCAGAGCCCAAAGTTTCGAATCCATCCCAAACGCATCTCAGAAATGAGATTGAAACGAAGTTCCAAGCAAAAAGTACATTAGAAAGGGTTTTACAGTATATGCCATACCTTACATACTTTAATTATTTTTTACCACCTAAATAATGATTTTATCTTTCCCTTTTAGATGGCTATACCGCCACCACCGGGACCTCCGCCGCCTCCAGGACCTCCGCCGCCTCCGGCGATGGGCGGTCTCAAATTGGGCGGCAAGGGAGGAGGAGGACCGGACATGCGATCTGCCCTGCTCAGTTCGATCCAGAAGGGAACCAAGCTGAAGAAGACCACCACTGTGGACAAGAGTGGGCCGGCGCTTTCGGGCAAAGTGTGTGGAGCAGACGGAGGAGGAAGTGTGGGTGCTGGAGCCAAGCGAACCCTCAACAATAACACCAGCACGAGCAACCACAACAACAGCAGTAGCGGCGGTAGCAGCAATGGCCTTGGCAATGGAACCCCCAAATTGGGAGGCCTGTTCGAAGGCCTCTCACAAATGCCAAAGCTGAAGCCCGTGAACGGCATTCGCGGTACGTTTACTATACTTTGTATGCAGATATAAATCGTTGCTCAACTGATTTCCGTTTTCCGCCCACGCAGCAACACCATCCGCCGCCGCCGGTTCAACAACAGCAACATCGAAGTCCACAACGAACTCAGCGGTTCAGCAGCGGAGCAATAGCCCCCCAGCCGCGGCGACCAGCAACGGACCCATGGACTTCAACTCGGAGCTCACCAAGCACTTAACGTTGAAGCGCCAAAAACAGCAGCAGCAACAACAACCCCAGCCGCCGACCAACAACACACATATCAATGCAACAGAAGCCAATCTGAGAACAAATCGGGGACCACCACCGCAACCGCCAAAGGTAAGAACACGACCCATGGCGAGAAAGATATATGGGATGATCTATTAATAGAATTATGGGGGAAGTTAATTAGCAGGGTAAAGAGGATGATGGGGATCTTATTGGGAGAGCACACTATTAAGAAAGTAAAGGATTTTTCCCAGGAAATATTTAATGTATTAAGAGGTCAAAAAAAAAGCCTGATGTTCAAACTCATAGAATATTGTGACCATCTACGTCTAGGGAAATATTGATTATTTTTTCTAAGATTTAAGTTATAAGAATACGGTATTAAAAGGTAGAGAAAGGTTATAGGATAAGTAAATACAATCAACCAAGAGGAAAATTATAAATATAGTTAGTTATGACACTCCATTAAGGAAAGAATATTTAAAAAATTAGAAGTAGCTGTTGTAAAAGTATATTTTATAGAGTTTTATTTAGTCATCTCCGTAGAAGATCTTCTGAGGTGTCACACAAATTAATTTAATGGATATTTAAATCATGCTACTGGTTAACCTTTAAGAGACTTTTTCCAGGAATGCTGTTTAGACTTGTTGTTTAATTAGAAGCGGGAGTTGAAGAGGTGTCTGAACTTTTTATCAGCATCAGTTCATTTCTTGTGAATACAGATTGGTTTCAAAAGCAAATTTGTTGAACTACTTAAAGACAAATAGCGACTGTGATCGCTATAAGAAAAAAACAGTAGACCAGAAAGTGTCGCTCGCAATCCTATTGTCAACGCAACTAATCCAGCCATTGTTCTCCATTTCTGTACGACCGCAGGCAACCAACTCGAGTGATTCAATCTTGGAGCGCATGAACATCCCCCGCACAGCGCCTACCCCCTCCTTCGTCGCCAATTCGAGCGTCAAAGCGGCATCGCCCACGCTTTCGGACAGCGGCAGCAACAGCAGCGGGAGTGGAAATGGAAGCGTTAAGAGCAAGGCAGCCAACCTGAAGTAAGTGTCATCCTCCAGCCACGAGCAGCGCAAATGATGGGGGTCTGGTTAGCGGGTCTTTACTTTACAGTTTTGTTGGAATTTTGATTTGGTTAATTGGTTATTTAATTCAAATAATTTAAATGTTATTTATTGAATTTAGATATAACTTATTTCTAAACCTCCAAAGACTTTTAAAATCTAGAGAGTTCAAGTCTTTAGATATTAAAAAAGTGGTCATTTGATCCAAATAATTTAAATGCGATATATACTTGTTTCTAAACCCCAAAGACTTTAAAATCTAAGTTCAAGTCTTAGATATTTAAGCAAGGCAATAAATCTCAAAAATTCCAATTAAACTGCAGAAACCCCCGTAATCTAACATCTGCCTGCCGTTTGGAATGGTTATTTTTGGTTATTCATTTGTAAATTATTCGTTAAAATTCTCTCTTGATTTTCTTCTTTATTTTCGGATTACTTTGACGGGACTTTGTGGTTATCCTCGCACACCAAACACACACACACACCACCCCACCCCACCCACTGTATTCATACCTACCCACAGTATCTCGTTAGGCAATAGTTTTGTAAATAGTTCAAAAACAACCACGAGTGCCTCAACAACGTCCCTGAACTCCAGTCAAACGTCCTCGACGGGATCGATGCGCAGTCTGGCGCCCAATAAATCGACACTGTTCGGTGGTAGCGGTGGTTCTAGTTCCGGGTCAGGTTCTGGTGGTGGTTATGCAACAGTGCAGAAGTCTTCACCTCCTTCGACGGCCGACAGTACGCCCTCGGTAACGCCAACGCCGCCAGCACTGCAGCAGCAGATGAAGCCGACCATCGGCTTTGGCAAGCCCAATTTTGCTCCCAAGCCACCGGGCCTGAATCAACTGGCCCTGGCCAACGGACAGCAGCGTCCGGCGGTGACCAGGCACCACAGCATGAAGTCGCCCAGGTATACCGATACAGATTCAGCCTAAAGCTTCAGTAACCCCTAACCCAGCACCGCTGCGATCGCTCATCCGCTTTCATCAAACTCGTTTTGGGGTTTGCCTTACGCTAATGCTTTTCTTTTTGCCTCGCAAATTAACTACTAATAATGGACTTTAAAAGAATCTAACTAATCCTTCGTTCCCTTCACAGATCTCCGCCTGCTGTAGGTAGTGTCAATGGTCCTGTGTTCCCCACCCAGCAGCATTTGGGCACCATGCGTGGTCCACTGCAGTTCCACGGCAGCGAGTCCAACAGCCACAACACCAGCGCCGGCAGCATGCGATGCGCCCCCAACCCGCCAAAGTGTAAGAGTAGTTAAATGACTACACTCATAAATACAAATTTAAGAATTTCCTTAAAATCTAGAAAATTCTTTCTTGAATTTTCTTCATTTAGAAAAGTTTTCTATATTCAAAGCCAAATTTTCTAAAAGGAAAAGAATTTTTTTTCTATTTTCAAAGACGAGATTTCTAAAATTCAGAAATTAATTTTTATGAGTGTAAATAAAGAAAGCAATTTTAATTTTCTAAATATTTATTTGCGAAGGCAAATTTTCTAATAACAAGAACCTTTTTTTCTATTTTCAATGGGGAGATTTCTAAAATTTAGAAATTAATTTTTATGAGTGTAAATAAAGAAAGCAATTTTAATTTTCTATATATTTATTTACAGCCCGCCCATCGGTAAAACCGCCACCACCGCCCACGCCGGCTCGCAGCTTCTCCAACAGCAATCTGAACAACATTGGCGGATCGACGCCATTCAGTGCCGTGAACACGGCTCTCATCCAGAGCTCGTCCACCACCTCACAGGCTCCTTCGCCGCCAATTACACAGCCTCCATCCTCCTCCAGCAGCAGCAGCAGCGTGGCTGCTTTGCGCGACCAATTCCGCGGAGGCGCCGGAATGTCCAATGGGGCACCATCGCCACCGCTGCCGCCGACGCCTGCACCCACCCACTCCAATTCATCCTCGGCCACCGCCAGTCCCAAATCGCTGCTGCGCGACAATGTCAAGCCGATTATCCTCAATGGAGGACCTCTCAATCCGCCAGCGCCGCCACCGCACCGCACCTGCCCACCGCCGCCGCCTCCACAGCGACAGTCGAGCAATGTGAGTAGCCAACGGACACCGAACAACAGGTTGGCCCAAATGCCAGGGGTGAACTTTAATGGACTCTGTTACCTTGGGTGGTTACCTTGGGAGTTTATCATAGATGAGATGAAATGAGAGTCTGCGTTCAGGGGTTTTTTATCTTTTTTTTAAATTTAGAAGTACCTTTCATTCATTCAATTCTTCCAAATGAGATGCCATATAAAAAATAGAATAGATATTAGGGGAATGGGTATATAAACCCAAGTTTATTTGCTCCAGACCTATCCTAAACCTAGCATTCTGCTTTGCGCAGTGCAGCCACCATTCCACCCCATCTATTGCCATTTTATTTGGGGGCTTCTCCCTGCGCCTGCGCTTCACCTGGCCTGTGAGCACACTCCTGGCTGCGCACTGCCTGTTCATATCAGTCCAGTTCAAGCGAGTGTTCCGTTTATAACTCACCTATTTTCGTGTTGAGCGGGGTGGATTGATTTTCCAAAGCGAGACGTGACCAAAACACAAGGCTTTTGCACACAAATACCCATTGGCCCAGTGGCCCGCATTCATGAGCTCCTCCAGCAGGACCGAGTGAAGCGCTGGATGTGCAGGACGCTGTACTCGATTAAGAAGATAGTCCTCATAGAACGCAGAGAGAAGCACGGTGGCCAGCCAGTCAAGGTTATCAAAATGCTGATGCTTAACAGCAAGCGCAACGTAACTATTGGGATTTGATAGTGCCTCAAAAACCAGTGAAACCAATCTAAATGTTTTTCCTTGATTCTTGCAGGGTGGCTCCGCATCGGGAGCAGCGCCTGTTCCGCCGCAGCGTCACTCCTCCATCAGGCCCAGCGCCCCATCTACGCCACCCACGCACATGGCCAATGCCTCGCATCAGTTTGGCAGCAGCTCGGGATTGTCTTCGGGATCGGGAGGAGCTGCGGCCAGCGTGGGTCGCCTGGTCAACGATTTGGAGACCAAGTTCGGCAAGCGATTCCACAACGTCACCGAGTTCCCCAAGCCGCCGCCGTTTCTAAATATACAAAAAGTCTATCCTAGTCGCACGTTTAAGGCCTCCAACGGTATGTAGTCGAGAGTGTGAGGAGTGTGTGTTTTGTTCTGTGAGTGTTTTAAATTTAGTTCATAAACATTTAGAGGCATATGTAACTGCGATTATTGTTAAATACATATGCACACACACACACCACACATGGAATGCTGTTATATAATTAATTGTTCTTAAGGCACACGCTCTGGCATTTTAGTTTCGAACTTGAACGATCTATACAACGATTCTTATCTCTACATAATTATAATTTTAACAGTGTATTACTACGATTATAGAATATTACAATCCAACACACAGCACACGCATATGTTAGAACCCGCAGAGTTTAGGAAACTTTTTGATTATTGTTGTTTATTTAACTGTTAACGAGCATAAAGCCAAGCGGGAGAATGTTATTTTGTATATTGCATAATACTAAAGTTGAATAGCTTTATCCAAACATAATATATATATTTTATACATTTTAATGTTATACTTTGTTAAATTTCAAAGGGGAAAGGAGGCTTTCCCATTCGCGATATTACTACTAAGCACACACAATATTATTACGCCAAGTTATAGTTTAACTAATCTACTATATACTTTATTTGTACGTGTATGTATGTAAACAGAAGCCAATCCATATTGCATTGTACTCCCCTGCGCCCCCATAAACATTTGTTTTACATGTAGCGCATGCTTTTACTTGTATCCCGGCTATCATTTTATATATATTGTATCTACGAACATCTCTATATATTTACACATACTATATCCGATGAATATTTAATTTTTAGTATGCAACAGGCACATTACGAGTAATTGTTTGTTTTAGTTTTGAAGTTATCTTTTGAAGAAACAATAAACCAAAATTGATTTGGATAATATACGTGAACATATTTCGTTTGTTTCATTTTGTGTTTTAATTTTTCTCCAGTTTTATGGGCTGGTTTGGAGGAAGATGTCTTTGGTTATTGGTTTGATATCATTTGTCCGTTAAAAAATGTTAAAACGAAATTAAATCGTATACCTTTCTTTCTGTAAAATATTCTTGTTTAATTAAAAAGAAATTGTATCTTTAATTTTTATTTCAGCTCGATTTTTTATTATATCATTGTGATTTTTCCTCCACTTTTCTTCCGCATTTTGCACAAAAGATGCATTTTTCTTACCATTTGTTTTACGTTTTCGCTAAACTTCGCTTGTTAATACTCGATCATAGCAGTTCCTCTGTTCAATCTTCGCTATCCTATCTATCTATCCATGTTTGTACATATATCTCTCTCTCCCTGGTCCTTCGAATCTTCCGAAAAACAGCGCCTGGAAACAGCAGTGTGAACAACAACAACAGCACGGTGGCCAGTAACAATAATACGACCACGAATCCCAATCCTGGAGGATCAGCAGCAGGAGGAGGAGGAGTGGCACCACCAGTACCTCCCGTCTTAAAGCCAGCTTATGCTCCTTTGAAGAAGCACCGGGCACCGGCTCCACCGCCTCAAGCGGGCGTGGCAGCCGCCACGGTGTCAGTCATCCGGCAGTCGAGTTTCCTCTACGGCGGAGCAGCAGGTGGTTCCGGTGGCTCCACCAGTATACGACCACAATCCCAGCCGGCGGGTATTGGGCCCAGGAACTCCACCGTCTACTGATCCAAACTGTGTGGCTAAAGAATGAAGCTTGGTCTTTGATTTTTGTATATAAGTGTGCATGTGGAGTGTGTTTGTGGCTTCGTTGTCGATGTATCGAGTGTGGGAGTGTTGTTGTGCCACAGGCAATTGTTCAGAAAAGTCAATGGAAAGAGCACAGAATAAACCAAACACAATGGCACACTGAAATTCCCCAGAGAGCTTGAAGAATAGGCAAGAGCAATCTACAAAAATCCCCCAAAAATTCGTTGGCGTCTTCCCAGGCTGCAAATAAAAATAGTTAAAGCAGACAAACAAATTATATCCCACTCAAAAATTTGTATATAGAACTAGCAGCGAGTTAGTGAAATTATCAAGCAGCATATTATACCTTTTGTAAGCCGGGTGTAAATGATTGTACGTACTTTTAGGAGCGCGCCTCTTTGCATAAATATCTTACTAGACTGAAAATGTTAAAACCCAACAGCAACAATTAATTAATGTAATTATATACGATATTTAGAATCGATTACTGTACGACTTAATCCCCTAGAGCAATACACACAAAAAGAAAAAAAGAGAAAAATGTTAACAATGCAATACTGAAGCACAACCGAGAGCATTTCAACGAAACTCGCCACATTCCATTCCCGATTTCTTTAGTTCAATGTGCAATACTAGAGTTCGTGTGATAATCTCGAAAGTATTTAGGTATTTATCCATCATCTGTGGTTTTTGGTAAACGTTTGTTAAACTCCTTTTTGGGCGCTAACTATTGGAAGTGAACATATTACACATTAATATTATTATTCTTATTATTAAACTCGATCATTGTTGTTGGACTTGGTGTCATTAGAAGTATTATTCAGCAATTGTATAACATTTTATTCCGAATCAAAATCATTGCAGTTATAAATAAAATTACCAAGTCATTCGAAAATTGAGCAAGCTGTTGTTTTCATTGAGTCAACAAAGTTACAAAGCTGTGTGGTGTAAGCAATATATTTTGAGTAAGTGTAAATGCTCTCAAGCCATAACAATTTTAGACTTAAGCCTAGTTTAAATATAAAGTAAAGCCTTTTCTTGGTTACATGTAATAACAAATCGCACTTTTTAAACTTAAAGACTAAGGTATGGCTGATCCTAGGCGACCTCGTTCTTCTGCTTGAGACATTGCACTGCCTCCTGGAGGCCCTGATCCTCGCGTTTCCTTATGCGTTCGCATTTGGGACATGGTTGCTTGTCGTTCAGGCATTCTGCATGGAAAACTGCTCCACAGGTCAGGCACTAGAAAAAGATATGTTAAGAACAATGATTTATAGCATTTAATAAGTTAACCTACCCTGAAGGTTGTGCTGATGTGAAATGGATACAGCACCCTTGGACTCTGGCAGATCTCGCAGATGAATCCCTTCAGCTGACACAGTTTGCACTTTAGCACATGCCCCTCGCCCACTTTATAGGCTTTCTGCAGCTGCTGGCACAACACACCGCGTTGAATCAGCCCCAAATCCGCTATGGAGTACAGGTGAATGTGCTCGTAGAGGTACTCCCTGCCCGCAAACTGATTCTGCAGCAGTTCTATGCTGCTCGGAGCACAGGTGTACAAATAGGCTCTTATAAAGTTGAGTCTGATGCGCAGGGATTGCAGCTCAGCCATGGCATCGGAGGCAAAGTAAATCCGCGGGTTCAGTAACTGCATGTCCAGGAACGGATGCGATCGGAATTCAGCCAGAAAAGTGGCTGCCCGCTTGCTCACGCTGTACTTCCGGAAATCCCAATTGTAGATTATACGAGCGGGTATCAGTTGCAACTCTACATCCATGCAGTTGCTGCAGTAGTAGCTACCACTAAAGGCGCACACTCTAAGGGGATATATGGATTTTTAGATTGAATTTCGCAAGAGTGATCTTTACACTCACTGAAAGTTTGAGTATCCAATGCCCAGCGGATGCTGGCAGCTTTTGCAGAGGAATCCCTGGGCATTTAGACCCGGTTCGCGAGCTAGCTGACACAATTGGGCCACCATTTGCTGCAGCTCCACCATGTCAAACTCGGAGGTGAGCAGCTCAAACTCAGAGTGGGTCTAAAACAGATAAATTAAATATTATTTAAAACTTTTTGAACAATTTTTACTCACATCTAGTGACTGCAGATCACTCAGGTCCTCTGAAACCGGCGGATCGCTATCACGCTGCGGCTGCGCCACATTCAGATTGGACGCACTGGCCCTGAACTTCTCCCAGATCTCTGACCATCCAGCTCCACTCTCCCGGTTGCTCTCGTGCTTTCGCAGCAGGGCATTGTAGCTGCACCGGTCCGTGTTGGGTGAACGCAGACTGGCGGCACTACTGACGCTTACAGAACGCTGAAAAAACCTCGATCCCGTCAAATCCTCTGTGGGTGAGGTGGGTGTGGCTTTCAGGTCACCAGACCAGGAGGTCTGCATCAAATTGGACAAAGAGTTACTGCCCTGCGGCAGAAGGCAGGGTGCCTCAAGATCCAGTTCGGCGAAAGGAGTTGTCCACTTGACGATTGGATTTTTTGCGTATCCTCGGCTTGCTGCCAGAAGGAACATCCGGCTCGGCAGCTTCACTTGCTTCCGCTGCAGCCCCAGCTGTCTGCTCCTCGTCTATCACATCCATCTCATCGAACTTTTGTATCAGCAAATCAAGGTTCTCGCGCTGGCTGAGATCGGGCACTCCGAAGTTGCTGTTCCTGCTGAAGGGGCTATTCGAGATGGACTCCGAGAACAGCTCGTTGGTCTGCAGGGGCTGGGGCGTGGGTATGGCTATGATATCGGAGCCCAGTGAACTGGCCACATCCACGCCGCTGCTTATCTGCAAGGGAAGCACTCAAGTTAGTCAGCTAGAAGTGATATTAAAATGAATATAACATCTAATTCCCCATCATACCGGACAGGATTTGAGTGCGGGCGTCCAGAGATCAGAGAGCTGCAGTGAGTAGTCCGGCCACTGGTTAAGCAGACTGGAGTTGACCGGCAGATCGAACTGCACATAGGCTTCTAAGCTCTCCATGATCTTGGCGGCTGTCTCCATTCCATCGGAGTCTCTAATCAGGGCGTTGCGCTTGTAGTACTGCGACAGAGCCGATCCGTTTTTCCTCATGTTGTTCAGATAGGAGGAGAATACGGATTCATTGAGGGACTGGCGCACCCAGGCGCGGCACTGGCCAATCTCCGAGGTGATCTGGCTGAGGCCCTGGACCTGCTCGATGACCTGCTTGTGCATGAAGACCATGCAGGGCGACCAGAAACTGGGGTCCGGCCTGCGTTCCACATCGCCAGCGATGACATTGAAGGTGGCGGACAGGAAGGAGTCCTTGAGTCCGTGCAGGAATAGGGCCTCCAAAGTGGTGCACAGGGCACTGGTCTGCTCGCACAACCCCACGACCTCTTCGGGGAACAAGGAGTATTAACAATCTGTAGCCATTTCCGGGGGATCACCCACTCAACTCACCCAAACTCTTCTGTTTCACCTCGAACTCTATCTCGCGGGCATTTTCGTTCAGTGTATTGATGAGCGCCTCCTTCACGACATTTTCGCGTTTCGATGAAAAGTGATTCAGGCTGCGGAACAGGGAGCTCATTTGTGTGTCGATCCTGACCTTTTTGTTGTGTTTTCCTCCGAGGGGCCCTTGGAAATTAGCAAAAAAAACTCTGCCCCCCAAAAGTGTGACCGCAGACGGGGCCCCAAATAAACAAAGGAAAATATACTAGATAAAAGTTATGGTGTAGAAACGAACGGTGGAATTCAAAACATGGGGCGGAAAAATTTTAAATCGATCCATGTTCGGAAGTATGAAAAAAATGTATTCTCCACATTTTTGGCACGCTAGTTTACCTTAAAGATCGTCTTTTGATGGACAATTTAAGGTAATTTAAAAAAAATTATCTGCAGCTTTCGAGAAAATCACCCAACGGTGTTTAAATTTTAAACAGATATTAAAGTACCGCCAACTCCAGTACAAGAACCACGGCCAACTATGACATAACCAGCAGTATCCTACACTAAAAATAGTTATTTCGTGCCTCATGTTGCACGGTATCCCAAAAAATTGCTACAATAATGAAATAACTATAGTACAAGTTTAATTCAATTATTATCGTGGGTTTTCGAGATATTTTGTATATCGGGTGCTCCATGTTTCTATTTCTGCAGGTAGTGTAGACTCTAACCATATTAATCTCTAATCTATGGCTGCTGCAGCGGATAACGAGCGCGCGTTTTCAGTATTTAAATACTTTTATTCAGGATTTTTAGGCGTTAAAGTGTTTTTTGTTCTTGGCGTTTCGGGATTTTGGAAACAAAATTTGCATTGCTCGACCATTCAGAAAGTGATCATTGGCACATTAAGCTCTTACATTATTGGGTAAAATTCATCCGCGTAATGCGAAAGTTGTTACTTAGTAATTTTTAGCCTTTCTAAAGCTTCTTTTAGGCATTAAAAAACACCTAGTAGTAATAATTATTTACCGTCCCGTAATAATTGTGGGTGTTTATATTGTTGCATATTGTTCTATTATAATAAAATTATAATTAATATAATATTCATTTTTAAATTTTTATAATGTAATTTTGCCGCCTCAGAGCCATATTACTCCTCCCTAAGTAATGTAGGAGATGGGCTAACTCTCTGGGAGTTAGCCCACTCTCCTTACAAAGTTTAAATAATTTCAAAGAGAACTTCCTTTTCAGGAGCGCTTTAGACGTCATAGCTGGGCTGTCTAACAATTAATGAGATCTAACATGAAAAATAACAGACATCTATCGAAAATAACAGGGTGCTGTTAAAGTTATATAGAACATCGATACAAAGTGCAGAAACGATGTTTGATGTCGATATTTTCAAAAATAAAGGCTTTTTCCACACTATGCGGCTTGGAGTGGGCTCCCGGGTTCTGGCCCTCCGCCAGTGGTACCTCAACCGCCTGTGGTACGTATCGGGGATATAAGGTACACCCAAAGCCGCCCCTGTTCATATACGTGCGCGGCGGCTCCCGCTGTGGCTTCTTCCGTGGGCGCCGTCCCGTCCGACCATTCCAGGTCGTGAACGACGCCCTTCGCTGCGGATCCTCTCCTGGGCGCCGTCCCGTCCGACCATTTCAGGTCGCGGACGACGCCCCTCGCTGCGGCTTCCGCTCCTCTCCCTCTGCTAAAAAGTAAAAAAAATATCAATATTTTAAGGATACGAAGATTACTTACTTTGGCATTTCGTTTATGGGCCTCTCCAGGTAGGCGAAAGCGCCCACAATTAGTGTTGCGAAATGAAGAACATTTTCCCTGTCCGCCTCCCACAATGGAAACGCCTCATCGAAGGCCGCCACGAGCAGCTTGTTCTACACCTTCCCTATGCTCTCTAACAACAGACCTTGGATGGATCTGTCGCAGCGAAGGCCCTATCCAGGAAGGACTCTATCCTTTCTAACTGGACGGAATAGTCCGCCGCTCCGGCATCCAAGGCAATGAATCAATTTGTCCGTTCCGGAGTGCTTAACTTCGAGCACGGATAAAATTGATTCAGATGTGCATTCATAACAAGGTAGTCATTCTCTTTTAGAGGCAAGAGAGACCAACCGTCCGGTGTGACTTCAAACACCCTTACACGTGAAGAACCATCGTATTTAGTACACGACTTAGCTCTTGCCGTTTCCATGTCCATGGAGTACATCCCGCATTCATGCTCGGGAAGCTTTGTGATGGACCGCCTCGGGCAGCCATCACAAAAGTGTGTGAAAGGCATCGCACAACACCGATACCTGTGATATTTCAGTCTGTTGGGCGTACCGAAACAGTGTTCACACTGACGATAACCCATTTTCATCACGTAATAAAACGTGTCTTTATTGGGCGGACGCCGTGGAGCTTGTCCAGGGTAGCTCCACTTCGTCGTACCGTCTGCCATTTCCTTAACAAGAAAAGTGATCAAATTTTTCTTCCTTCCATTCTGTACTTCACTATTCTGTACCGCCCAATCAAAATTTCTGTTAAAAAGTTTGGAACAGTTATGATTCGGTGGTACCGGGATTTTTTCCATTCTCGGGAAATATTGTCTTCTGCCCGGCATACCAACGTATGAGCTTTAAATTGGAGAGGTTTTTTAAATATCTTAAAGCAATTGAGGCAATATTGCGTCTTGCCCCTGAGGTAATAATGGAATTCAAATGTTTTGACGGCGACATCGGTGCCACCGCTTCCGGAAGGCACCGAGTCGACCGGTGCGCTCCTGAGCTGGGTCCCTCAGGCTCTTCAAGGCGAATCGGTGACACATGTGCTCGTGGTCGTACAGGACCGGAATCCCCAGGTCCAGGAGGTAGGTCTAAGATTTACCTTAATGTTGTCGCCAACAATAATCCATCTAATTAGATATTTTTAAGGACTTTTTTACCACTTCCATCTATATCACTTGGAAGGGGACATCTCATATGTTAGTATAGGGCATCTGTAAAGTGCGCTAATTTTCGTATAGGTCTCTGGAAATCGCCAATTAGCTGGCCATGGACATCGTGGGTGTTCTCGACTGGGGGCAGTAGGGACCATTGACCACTTGCGCTTATTGAAAAAACTCTTTTTTGGTGTTGCGCCTGTACGTAATTTGGTGCGAGCTCATTCTGCAGACTTCGTAAAAAGGCCAGTGCACTCGTATTGGGGCAGAGGACCAACCGACCTTAAGGGGCAATACGGGCAGAAGTCCGTATAAACCGCTTTTCGGCACTGCCCAGTGTGGTAAGTGTGGTTCCAGACGTTTTTGGAAACAGTACTCGCACTGATTTTTTGTAAACTTGGCAGGGGCCGGCTTCCTTTGGTTGGCGTTCGTCTTCCTCCACTTCGGCGGCGAGTCGGGGGCCATAATGCCCGTGACGTGCTCCTCATCCTCTTCCCGAGGGCGCTTTTGGGAACTATAATGGTTCCCGTAGATGATGTTCGTTATGTTCTGAAAATAAATAAGTAAATTTAATTAGTAAATGTATAATTAATATTTATTTAACTGTTGTACAACTTACGCATTTTATGAACTGTTGTTGTTTGTCCTGGACATTTTTCTTGTCTTTCTGTCTTCTTGTCTTTTCTGCTCAAAATCTGAATTGCAAAGAACGCTTCCAGGAAACGGAAGCTGCGACATCACATTTTAGTGTAGCATTTTTGAATATATCGAAGAATGGTATTTTTGGTTTATTACGAACCAAAAATACCATTTTTGGTTGATGTCCATTCTAAAGTTGATTTGAATGCAATTTACTAAAAGCCAACTTAAATTCAGCAATAATTTAATGAAATGAAACGTAAAATATAAATAATTATTAAGCAGACATGTCCCACAAATACATCTCGAATCGCATTTTCGGCGAAGTGTACTTTTGGTGGCGCGAAAAAGTCTATGAAAATCGACTGCGGACTTTCCAATTCGGTTCAGCATGCAAATTGTGCCATGAGAACAGCACGCATGTAAGCCCGGAGGGACAGCATGTTTTTGCTTTCCTGTTTTATATCAACAATTTTTGTTCTGAACAATTGCGAGCATTTGTGCCTCTGTACTGGAACCGGCCCAGTTAGGGGACAGTCAGGGCAATAAAATGTATTTTTGACAGGATCGCACTCGGCCAAGTGCGCTCCCGAAAGGGACGTTAAAGTCCATGGGGAGTTGGATGTCCCCATGGACTTCAACGTCCATGTCGCCGTCTTCAACAGGGAAAAGATCTTCCGATCCGTTTAAAATCGGAGGTGGTGATAACGATAATGGTGATGGACAATGGTTAAGGGGGGCGGTGGCAGAGGATGCGGCGGGGGCGGCGGCAGAGGAAGGGGCGCCAAGGCCGGTGCGCTCCTGAGCTGGGTAATTACCGCCTTGTACGACGCCTTCTGGAACGCTGCGTCCTCATACACCCACCTGAGGCGCACGTCCCTCAGGCTCTTCAAGGCGAATCGGCGACACATGTGCTCGTGGTCGTACAGGACCGGAATCCCCAGGTCCAGGAGGTAGGTCTAGGATTTACCTTATTGTTTAGATATTTTTAAAGACATTTTTTTACCACTTCCATCTATACCACTTGGAAGTGGTTTGAAGGAAGTGGTCTGAAGGGCATATGTAAAGGCTCTATATTTATTATAGGTCTCTTCTTCAAGTGTGCGCGAATTTGGCAATTTTGTATATTTTAGAAATTTAACGATGTACAGAACCTGTAGATCGTTAATTTCTTCCACTGCAACTATATTACCTTCATCTCCAAGGAGCATATCAACATCGTTGATATAACCATCATTCTTCGAATTCTCGTTCGGAAAGAAAGAAGGAATAAGAAGTAGAAGTGTACACAAAAGCGCAGAGTAGGGCTGCATTTTCCTCGAAATCGATAAATATATCGAAATAACAACTGTAAAAGCTGAGCACGACACCGAACGGTCGTCCTCATGTCTAAGGAAGCAACTCTTCTTTAGGGAACTGTAGGCGGTAGTGGGGTCGGGCCCGGTGGAGAATGGCTGCCTCCTTCCCCTTGGTCCCAAGCTGTAATATAAACAGGATTAATATTATAAACTAGGGTATGACTTGTTTCAAGAGCATAACCACCAAACTTGGTAGTCTGTGCAGCACATTTTGACATCAGGACCTCCCCACAACCCCTTGGGCATCGAAAGGGAATCAGACGCCTTTTTTGCCCTTTGCGTCCTCGGCTATCTCTTCCTAGACGTCCTCGTCTCTTTCAATTTTTTTCTGAAGCATTTTTTTTAATTGCCCTTGCTGAGAGTTTGACCGGAGAAGGTGTGCCGGTGACACTTGTACTACCGAAGGAGATACTTTGGTGCCTTTGTTTGTGTTACCGGTTCCGTCCATAAGAGCTACCTCGATGTCTCCAAAATGGTGAGCCGGTGACATTTGAATGGAGCTGACTACCGATAAAGGAAAATATAAATATTTAGTAAAAATACCATTTGATTTTTATAATATTAATTTAATAAAATTAATTTTATGCGTTTTATGACTTATTTTAGCAAGACGATTTCAAAAGCAGTTCACATTTTATTGAATTTAAAAAATCCGCGTTCGCTATAACTTATCGATAGGCAATACTGGCCTTACATGGTCACTCTAGAAAGTACAGTGGTCAAAGTTGACGTAATTTTGAAATCAGTAACGGTCATCTCATAATTCAAAAATAAATTACATTTTTATATCTGCCAGCAAATCAAACTGAAGCCATTAATACCTGCAAAACTGCTCGCCAAGGCAATCAAAAAGGTCACATCTCTAAGACTTCAGTGGGCTATTCGCTAAGCTACTCAAACCAAACCCGTTCTGGTTATACTTGACTTTCTTTCCCAGATCAAATCAAAGCTTATGTGTGAATGCTCGATTATAAGAAGAAAAAACCCCACGCAATTTAGCAACAAACAACTCGCAGAGAAACCGTCAACGAGACGGCAGAATATTAATTGATTTCGCTTGGATCTTTCCTATCGCCCCTTGTTATTGTCTTGTTATTTTGCGTTTGGGTATTTTCGGGTTTTGTTTCAATGAACCGTCATATATATTCTGTACCCCGTGTGACTCATGTGTAGATCTCTTGGCCGCCAGGGAATTTTATTAATGAAAGACCATCCCGACCTGGGGAGAAGCTGAACAAAAAAACCCGATGCACGTAGCCAGTTGATATAATACTAAAATCAAAATTTGTGTTAAGGTCACGGTGACCAACAAAAGCGATTTTATGTATACAACCATGTTGCTGTTGTTGTCAACGCATTTTTTCAATATTTTTGCAATAAAAATTTTGTTGTTTTTACAGAAGATGCGCCGCTGTTGTCGTTGTGAACCAACTGGTTCAGCATTCAAAATGCAAACTGGTCTCGAGCCGCCAATTTGTTTGACTTTTCGGGTGTTTTCGGCTTGAAGTGGTTTTTGAAAAACACATTTTCCATGTGGGCTGCATTCAGCAAATTGCATTTTATTGAATTTTATTGATACGAAACTGGTTGCGAAATCGTTAATAACATAAACAATTTGGCAAACATTAATTGCAATACATGTTTCGTTTATTCTCGGCATTTTTTTTGGGATGAGCTTCGGATGTGCTAAATTAATACTTAGTCAAGATTCAAAAATAATATATTACAAAGCTGATTTTATTTGCCATTTTATTTAGTTACATTTGTGCCTCGGATAATATGTGTATAAATAATTCTTATAAGAACGAAACACTTTATTTAATATCGCACATCTTTAAATTCTTGATCTTTCAAAATGATATTTTAATTGTATTTTTGATTCACTTGATAAATCTTCCCTTTTTGATATTTTCAAATATTTGGCTCAATTGTTTTTTTCTTCCTTTAGTGATTTTTTATATCCACAGTTAAGGTTAGAATTGGCTTCAAAGTTTAAAAAATATCAGTTTTTCTGCTGTAAATTTTTACATGTTCGTATTTGCAAAAACTGACGACAAAAACACAAAATGAAGTTTGGGGTTTGAAATTTGCATGTTTACATAGGTGGGCTTCCCCCATCGAAACTTAAAGTCGGATTGCGCGTGGAGAAAAACCGTTGGAGTTTGTTGTGTGACATTAATGACGATAAACAATTAATAAGGCGCTTTGCTTTGGGTGAAGGGTCGCGAAGGGGCGACATTTCCCAACTGAGTCGACTCTATTAAAGTAAATAATATGTGGCGCGCATTGTTGCTGCTCTTAGCTGACTTTGCAGTTTCCAAGATGCCAGCGTGTTGCCATTGTATTGTTATGGCCAAATAAACCCAAAAGATACGAAACGAAACGAAGCTGGCTGAAAATGTATAAAAACGTTTGTTTTCGTAATACAATTTTGATTACTTCTTCGACGCCAGCCGCCCATTGATGGGCATTGTCTCAGCTCGGCCCCTTTTGTGCGTCCCTAAGCGATTTGATTTATGGGCGGAGGTGCCCGCTGATCGCTGCTCCAGTCCACAAAGATCCACAAAGGCACCCAGCTACCGTTGGCCATTTGCCGGGATCGCAGACCATTTGGCAATAGCTTTGTTGTAATTGTAACAATAATAATAGCCGTGATTCCCGACGAGAGCTGACCCCCCTCCATCCAAAAAAAAAAACCAACTGGGCAATCATTGACATCGCAGTGGTTCCAGGGGCTTTATTTTTGGGAGGATAGTCTTGAAATATCATGGTAGAAAGAGTATATCATCATATATCAAATCCTTTATGAGGAAACTAGTCAAAAACCAATTTTTTGATTCGAATTCACAGTTAATTTGGCAATTGATTTATTAATCTGCACTTAACTTGCACTTAACACTTAAAAATTGTAAGTTAAAAAAACGGTAGCTTAAAAAGAGTTAACAAATAAATAATTATTTTCTTATTTTCTACAATATATACAAGAGAAACCCCCTAATCCGCCAAAAACTACACCCATTGCTGGACCATCAAGAGGCTAGGAAACTGGCTCTTTGATCGTCAAAAGCCAAATGCCGGTACAAATGCTCAAATGCGGAACCAATAAGCTGACATAATTTTTTGTGATGGGCAAGAAATAAAAGTTTTGCTCAGGCCAAATGATAATTACATTCCAGAGACATCCAAAGATATGGTCACGGTTGGCTTTCGAATGCGATCATTAACGCATTTTAATTTGAAGACCTATGGTCTATGGAGATGGTTATTCAAGGACGTTAAAAGGAAATATAAGTAATTTAGAAATGTGGGGATTATTATATTACTCCTTATGTGCAAAATTAGAAAAGAATTTCTTATAAACGATCATAAATAATAATTAAGTATGAGATGGTCCAAGGACGTTTAAGGAAATATCAGTATTTTGGAAATGTGGGAATTTTTATATTACTTTTTATGTGCAAAATGAGAAAAGAATTTCTTATGACTATCATAAATATGAATATAATATGATCACGCGGAGAGATGATCTAATCACCGGTCGTGTTATTGGCCGGGCGGGATGAAATGCCAAAAGTTCATCGATCACTGACACCGCAGATCAACTCAACGCATCTTTATTAATCTGCCAAAAGTCTGATCGATCGGTTCTCTGACTCAGTCCCCCAGGCCAGTAAAAAACTCAATGCAATGAGACAAATAAACAGACAAGCCTGAAATATGTTTATGTCAACGTCTATCGATCGGCAAATATTAATGAATTGGGATTGAGTCGAGAACAAGAATTTGCCGGAGAAACAGGATCTTGCGAATGTGTGACATATGATACGCATAACTTATGCATTGTTAGCATAATACTTTTCCAAAATCAAGCCAAACCTGTCAAAATAAACAGACCGAACGGAGCACATTCGTTTTCAATATCGATTTGCATTTCGTGTGTGTTTAATTTATGCGAAAGTTGTGTCTATTTGGGAACCGCTTAGGCTATTGTCTTGTAAATCAATTGGAGAATATCACTAATGTTAGGCGGCTGTTAGCTGAATGTTAATATTAACCCCTTGTCAAAATAGGCTACATATTTGGATCATAACAAAAAAGTTTAAATTTATTTCAAAATTAAAAGTTATGGAAAAATTTGAGCAGATTAAAACGAATATCTTAAGGATTACTATTTAATTATAATTTATCGAGAAGTTTAAGTAATCATAAGATATTGAAATTAACATGTTGAAATGACAAATGAAATAGTTAGTATCGAAGATGCTATTATTTTGGCTTTCTAGTTTTGTAGAAAGAATATTTTTAGACTGCTTAGCAGATCAACCTGTAACATATTCAAATCCTGGATAAAATAACTCTGTTCTAGGACCTTCTGAATGCTCATATATATTTTCAAGATATATTTTTTTTGTATAACACCTAAGTTTTCTTTAGAGGGTTAAGCTGGATGCGATCAGGTTGCTTGGCTGACCTTGAACGTCATTGGCAATGCGTCAAACTGTGGCGACAAACCAGTATGCAAAAAAAAAGTTGATCACCAGGCGGCAATTAAAACAATTATTTTGCACCGTTTTCCGGTAAATAGAAAATAAGAATAGAAGAGAGCGAAAAAGTGGGGGCGCTTATTTTTGCATAGATAATACTTTCTCGCTATCGAGATCCACAATTTTCTTATAAGCCAAGTTACCTGGGGGACTCTGCCGCTGCCGCAGTCGCAGTCGGCGTCTCTGCCGGCTTCACCGTTTCAGCCAAGTCAAGCTCCGAGCTCCGAACTCTTGGCCAAGTTTATTGAAAGCGCAGAATCCGTAAGCTACGGACGTGTTTCGCTCGAGCGCATCGCGCATCTCCCGACTTCGACCTACGCTCTCTCGCTCGCACCCGCTCGCCCCGCCTAGCACCCTCTCGCTCGCGCGCAGCCGAAGTGATCGTGATATCGTGCCGCGAATTTGGATTTTATTGAGATTTCGATTGAGAAAAGGCGGTGAAAATATTACACATTTTAGTTGTCTGGCTGCCGATTTTGTCATCGCGATCATTGTTAGTCGGCAAGTCGGCACCTACGCGTATATAATTATTTTTCATACCCCTTTGGGCAATGCCCAATTCTAAATTGTTAATTGCGTGACAAATTCCGAAAGGCCTAAAAAATTATAATAAATAAATAAATACGAAATATCACTTCACCCACGAGATAATGCAGTTCGATCCGAAGCCACGATGCGGTGGCAGCGTGGTTAGCTATACCGTTATGCTGCTGCTGATCATCGGCGCCGATTTCGCCGTTGGAAGGCCTGGTATTAAATTAAACCAAAAGAAATATTTATACTTAGAAAGAAAAAAAACTTGGGCAATTGCATTTGCGATTGCGTTATCGGTATATCGCATATTCAATTTGCACCAGCATGCGAATCCGATCTTTCGATCAGTGATCTCTTTCGCTTTCTTTGTCTTTACCTCTTTCTATTTGCGGTTTACGTTTATTAAATGTTATGTGTGCTTATTGCGTATTTTCTGGAGGAAGCTACAAGTTTATGTGTGTTATAAAATATATTAATTTATTAAATGTTTGGCATAATTATTATGCCAGTTCTAGAACCTGTTTGCTGAGATATTATCATTTAGAAATATTCTAGAACTTAAAGATCACCAGCTCGCTCAACTTAAAGCTTCCTCTTTATCTTTATCTGTATCTTGATCTGTAACTAATTTTACGATTTTATCTCAATCCTACTAAGTGTTATCCTGAACCCAAGTCCCCCTTTCCCCTCCCTCTGTCTGTCAATATATGTTAGAAGTTCCGATTCTTCACTCCCACTATAAAGCATCTAAAAAACTCACCTCACCTCACCTGCATTTGCATTCCCAAAACTCACCAACTCACCGCGCACAAGGTTTGTTCTCACCCCGTAGTGAACTTCGATCGTGATCGTGATCATGACCCACATCGGTTGGGAGACAAGTGTTATCCCCCAGCTAACGACTAATGACAGTTGCACCAACAGGCGGAAAAATCAGTGGGTCTGAAAGTTAATTTGAAATGAAGTTAATTTGCATTCAAGTTGTAAACATAGAAAATGCAAAAGAAAAGCGGATAAGTAGAAGAATTGTAAGGAAATGTGATAATGGGTAATTAAATATTTTTTCAGTATGATTTAAATGACTTGAAAGATCTATCACAAAGTGATTCTTATGTTTCGGTCTTCAGGGAGGAAATTCCAGCAGGTACAATTATAAAATTTGTATAAGGACAAAGAGAGATGACCAAATGATTCAAAGCGTGACATGTATTTCTCTTAGTTCTATGTCAGATTTCAGCTTTGAGGTTCCTTAATTTTTAATTTTTGTATGTAAGAGTATACATCCTCCATTGTCAATCTAATCCATCTTTGTTACAAAGGATGGTCATTCCTAAAATTGAACAAAGGAAGAATCCCAAATGATTCGAATCACCTCTTATATCTTTCATATTATTTGATCAAATCATTCTGATCATTCCTTAAGTTTTCTTTGTAAAACTATACAGTTTTTTTTTATAATTATGTATATAGATAAAGCCCAGTTTCCTTGAGAGGTTTACTCTTCTCAGCGACGCATCTTCATTGACACTGCTTAATTTCGAGTGCATTCTTCTGACTTGTCCCGAAGGCTTGTGCGTGCAATTAGCCTTCGCTTCTGAAGAGCCCTATAACTGCCGCCTTAAGCTGTTTTTGTTTGACAAACAAACTGAAGAACTGGGCGCCGATCATTATGTTTTTTTTGGGTTTTGGTTGAAAGCGAAATCAGGTAGCCGCTGCAAAAACAAATAGCGAGGTTCCCAAAGGCAAAGCCGTAAGAAAAACGAAATTCGAGAAGAGCCGAGATGTTGTGAAGAGGCTCCAAAGAAAACGAAAACTGAAAACCGAAAACCCCAAACTGAAACTAAACCCAGAGACCCAGCAAGTGGGGGTTACGTAAGCTGCAGATAACGTGACTGGCAAGGCTTCGACCAAGTCGTTGTCGATCCGTCTTCCTCTTGGCGCTTTTTGGGGGAAGGAGGAGGGGTGGTTCAAGAAGAAGGGGCTAAACGACCTCTGGATGGGGTTCCCTAGGGGTGGGGGCTCCATGTAGTCTATAAATTTAGCGACGCTTTTGTCAAGACGATCTGTTAACTAAGTTGTTTACACCAACTAGAGACTAATGTTGTGGCGCTCTTTTTGGGTCATGGGGCTACAAACAAGAGGCCACGACAAAATAGAGGCAGATAAAAAGAAACAGAAGATCTTTTGAAGACTTCTCAAAGACTTTGGGCCAAAACCCATTGACCAACTAGTCAACTAGTTAATTGGCCAATGGCAATTAAAGCGATCATTTGAAGCACCAATGATGGAAATATCATTGGCATTTGCCTAATGGATTTCCTTCGCTCCAAATAGTCTCGGTTTCCATTTCATCAGCAATCAATGAAGCCATCGTAATGAATGGATAACCGTACGTGATAATTAGCGAATTCGCACGGATCTGAAATAGGGAATCGTGCCTCACTTTCGCGTGGCTTGATTTATGATTCAGCCGCAGATTATCGTAATTAAAACACAATGGGATATCAACCAGTTATGAGCAGCGGCAATTCGATTTCAACATGTGTAGGTATATATATTTTTGGGTATCTATAAAACTGATTTGCCAATCTATTGCGAATTCCTCAAAGGCAGCCGCCAAATGCGAATCGATATAGAACCAATTCTGAGCCATAAATATGTATTTATTTATGGGAGAGTTCGATTTCCGTTTGCATTCTCTTCCCCCTTGACATTTCCAAGCCAATCATAATAAAATCATATTTCTTTTGGCCATTTCAAGTGCAATAAACACGCTTTGTTCCCCCAGCCAAGTATAGTTTACAAGTTGCGATTGTGTGTTTTTAATTTGGCAATTTGGCACGGCTTTTGACACATTTCGTTAGTCGAATGTCATCCCACACACACCACCCGATAAGTCGATAAATCCAAGGCCTGCTAGAGATATGATATAAACGAAGATTAATAAAAATCCATTACAATCCAGCGAAGGTTGGCCAAGTCAAAGTGGAGAAGATGGTAAACAAACTGTAAAATTGGCAAGTGCAAAATGTGTTCAACAGAAATTCCCATTGTCTTTGGGTGGGTGTAGATGTCGTGAAGCCGTCAATCAATTAAAAATTAAATTCAATAAACATAAGCGATAGAGATGGATGGAGTTGTTGTCGATGGTTGTGAAGATGGCGTTGGAGACAAGCGAAATTAATTGGCCTGAACTTGAGCAGCGTTCGAGGCGGAAGTGCGGGGAATTTCAATTATTTTGGCATTATCCGAGGAAAAAAAGCAGCTCGCCAGCGTGACGCAAATCGTCTTCAACTATCTCCTGGGCATTCATATTTATGAGAGGCTGAGACTTTGGAGCTGCAGGCGAAAGTTCAGGGCTTCCTGATCTAAACGGCCAAGCCCGTCCCAAAAATGCAAATTAATCTAGAGATCTATAGAGATGATATAGGTATGCACATGTGCTTAGCAGCCGGAACTGACTTGGCTGGCTAAATCAAAGCAACGCCCATCGCGATTTGGCTTAGTCACATACCAGTTAAGTTGACCGCAGAGCAGAAACCGCATTTCCAGAATTCCCCGGCTCTACACTAATTATAATATGCCATATCTACAGTATATGGGCGCACAATTTATTCAGTTATTCCACTGCTGCTGTAAACAGGAATCAGAAGCTGGGAGAAGCTGAGATTCATCTGAGAATCTCTCAGATATCCACGTAAATTATTATTAATTATTCGCACTCGGCACGAGCGTCGTACTACCCATGGCGAAAATAACAAAATCGTTGTCAGTACAATCATTAGCCATTAATTCGGTTGTTGTTGCTGTCAGAGGCACCAGCTGTCACATGGATTCCCCGGTTCCCCGATTCCCAGACCCCCAGCGACAGAACAATGAGTGTCTCGTTTGATAAAACCCAGCCAATAATTGCAAAGTGCGTTTCGCGAGTGTAAGGCTACAGAGTTAATTCGAAAAAACATGGATTTCTAGAAATAGAGTCATTAATGGGATTTTAATTAATTATATTATTAAAGTTTCCGATTCAGTAAACCACGAAAAGATATATTAATTTTAATAGATTTTTCAGTAGGAATAATTCACCAAGAGAGACATTAATTTTGAGTCCCAAATGAATATTAATAGATATTTTTCAAATTAAGTATACAATAAATGCGCTTTTTATGGCTTTTCCCACACCAATTTATTATTGACAAAATTAGTCAAATTATCGTATTGAGTGTGTATTTTTAATTGATTGCATGTTTTGTCATTTTACAACAATATGAAACGCACAGTAGGCCCTTAAGCCCTTTTTTCTCGCTTCCAATGGGCAGCTGAAACGAAAGACTTAGGCAACGAACTTGATGGTTGCACACCTGTCACACCCACACATACACAACTACAGCGACACATGCATACACGTACATTGACTAACCTGCCTGGGTAACTTTTAAAATTGAATTTTATCTGGTGGCGGACCTTTGTGTAACTAACAGTAACCACCGCACAGCAGCCACACATTACAACAGCAAGAAAAAGCTGAAAGGCTAAAAAAGCAAAAGCAAATGTATGGCCCATCGCAGTCAATGTCAATCAATCAGCCGCCGCGGCAGCCAAATTGCCCAAGAGCCGCCCACAGCTGCCTCATCTGTCACCCAACCACCAGCACCACCAAAGCCACCGGCAATGCCACCGAAAAAGCTCCTCACCCACTTTGGCAGACACCCCAAAATGAATTTCAGATCGTCTTCAATTTACAAACAGCCCTTTGCTAGAAAAATATTTATATATTTTGTTAAATTTATATTAATTCTTAATTTGAGTATCTAAAGTAGATCGAACGCAACAAATTAGGCGCGCAGCACTTCAACAATAATTATATTTAGTTAAACGCAATCACTAAAATAATCCTTTTAATAATAATAACATTATTATTGAAGGCCGTTTATTAAAAATTATATTAAAGTTTTCCTTTTTATTGCCGTAAATCTAAAATTTGAGCTATAAGCAGTTCTTCTTAATACTTTTATGATCATCAATAATTTTTAAATGTATATTTAAGCTAAGAAATGCAAGGGCTTTTTAGATTTTGTACAAAAAGAAAAAGGCAATTGAAGTCTATTAATTTTTCCGAAATTGTATGTCGTCTAAACAAAAGGCATTTTAAATAATGAAACATTTTAAGCCTTATATCTAAATTATTATAATTTACTTAAGAATTTCATTTTGTTTATCATGTTTTTCCGTCATAATTTTCTAAGCAGTTTTACTTGAATATAAATGAGGTTATTTGAAAGAAGTTTGTTAGAAGGGTGTTAGCTATCGTGCTCATTTGATTTCTCATTGGTTCTCTGTGTCATTTGCCCATTTCTCTTTGCCATATCCACTCGCTACTTCCACTCGCTACTTCCACTTTGCCACCTGCCACTCCCACTTGCCACTTTGCTTTGCCACGCTCCAAAGAAGCAGTCGCAGCCACAACGAGACCCACCACATTCTGCTCCCCATTCCAACAGATGTGCGCGATGCGTCGCCCTTCGCCCGCGACCTGCAGCCGCCGCTGTTGCAGCCGGACGTGACCTTCAGCGGATCAGCTGCTGGCGGGGGGCCGAAGGCCATCGACAGCTATGGCAACCCCATCGACGCCCTGCGACCGATTGACACGCCCGATGGGCGGAAGGTGGTCAGCGCCCAGGGCGTTCAGTTCGAGATACCCACCTATGCATCGGGGATCACGGAGATCAGGCGGCCGGCCGATGATCTTCTGCCGCCGCACATTGGTGAGTTGACAACAACAAAAGAAAGAAGAACGAAGGGAACAGCGGCTGCCAGCGGTGCCAAAAGCAGAACGGAAACGGAAACGGAAACCAGGACGAAACACGTTACAAAAGAAACAAATGCCTTGACTGCACAAAAACCACACAGCACAAACAGTAGAAGTAGTAGTAATAGTAATACAAATAGCAATAGCACCACCCGCACCGCACAAGCCGCACCACCACCCCCCATTAGCACCACTAACAAGCTGGCCAAACGCGATTCGCAGGGCGGCCAGTTTCCCATTGCACCACCCAGTAACCGCCACGCCCCGCCCGCCTACTCCCTGATCAAGCTGAATCCCTTTGTGGACGCCAGCGATTCACCCATCACCCAGATCCTAGGTTCTAGTTTCCCCAATCCCCCCTCTGTCCCCCGTCGAGTGTCCCCTCCCCAACTGCGAATTGCTCGAAATACTCAACATCGAATACGAATCCTCTCCAACCAGATGCCATCGCTGTGGGCCTGGAATCCACACAGTCCAGTCAGTCATTCACCGGCACAGCATCAGCATCTTCTGCACCACCAGCACCACTTCCAGCCACATCACTAACACCGCCCCTGCATGATCCACCTTCATCCGACACCACGACCACGACCGCCGCCTCCTCGGATGTGGAGGTGGAGCAGGCGCAACTGGTGCCTCTGCAGGAGGAGCAGAAGGTCGACTCCCTGCCCGATTATATACGGGAATTGCAGCGCCAGGATGCGAATATTGGCGGACCCGTGGAATGGAAGCCGGCTGCCGATGGGGCACCACTCAGTGTGATTGCCTGGGATCTCTTGCCGCCGCATCAGAAATCAGGATGGCCATCAGCCGGAGGAGCAGCAGCAGGAACCCACCATTATCACGGAGGCCCAACAGCTGCCGGCTAAGAAAATCCAGGGCATTGTGGATCCCATTACCAACAACATTCGGCTCAGCCTGAGCAGTGGTGGAGCTGTAGGCTCAGTGGAGCCCCTCCAAACCGATGGACCAGCTGATCATGGCACAAATGCTCATGTGGGCAGCACCACGCCCAGTAATCCTGGTCGTTTTCCCAATCGCCAACGTGGCACAGCCCATTACAGCACCACCAGGAGCAGTAGCACCACCTTGAGGCCACGAAGCAGTAGCACCACCACCACCCAGGCCACAACAACTACCAGGAGAAGCACTACCACCACCACCACTACGACCAGGAGACCCACCACTACCACCTCCACCACCACCACTACTACGACTGCAGCACCACCAATACTAAGCACCACTGAAGATCCCGCCAACTTCTATCACCTGATAAATGAGGAGGCCTATGCCTACACTCTGCCCACCTATCTGCAGGAGGTCACCGATCCGGATCTGGATGTGGCGGTCACCTTCGAGGTGCCCGAGGACAATGACAAGTACAACCACACGCTGGCCAACGATTTGGAGCCACCCTACGAGCCCTTTGTGGATCTGGGCAACATTCAGTTGACGCCACCACCCACCAGCCGACCCACAACCACAACTACGAGGAGAACAACCACGACAACAACCACCACTACGGCAGCACCAACAACCACAACAACGACGCCACGAACAACCACTACAACCACCACGCGACGTCCGACCACGCAGCGAACCACCAAAGCACCCATACCACCACCAACACTAAAACCACCCACTCAGAGCACCCAAGCGCACCCAGAAGCACCGCCAGTGAAACTGACTACAACAACCACCACCACCCAAAACGCAGATAACCCAACGTCGACGACGCTGGAGGATTCGAGGAGCACCACGGCGAGTCCTTTGGATGCAGGCAACCCCTTCGATTCGGCTACGATTCCCGCCTGGCTGCGTGACTTTGACTATCCGGATGTGGGTCCCGGTGTGCCCTTCGACCCGGATAACTTTGGACCAGCAGGTGGATCAGCTGGAGGAGCACCAAGTGGCAGTAACCGTAACCCCACCAACCCGCCACGTCCTCCAACCATCCCGCCCGCCTCCTCCGCTTTTCCATCCAAAGTCACGCTTCCGCTTCCAGGCAGCAGCAGCAGTGGAATCAGTGGCATCAGCAGCAGCGGGGAACCACCGCTGGTCCTCATCCCGCCCGCTGACGCCTCTTCCTCCGACTCCAATCCCAATCCCGGACAACTGACCCATCCCACATCCTTTGCAGCCCGCTTCGAGCCGCCGGCCAGCAGTCCCAGCTCCAATCCGTCCACCATCGATCCCTTCCCGCCCAGCAAGGTGGAGTACACCAAGAGCGACGAGGGCAAGGTCATCAGCACACCCATAAACAGCAATCAGCGAAAAAGTGAGTTTTGTCTTTTAATTTGAATCATTTTTAGAATATTTTTTTTGTACTGTCAAAAAACTTTTATAAGTTGCCTGAGGTCCCAGTAGCTTTTGCCTTATACACTCTAAAAAATATTTTAATCAAATTTTAGGAATTTGCTAAAGTGTTCTATAAATTATATAAAACTTACCCTCCTAAAGTTAATTTTGTTTAAATATAAACAAATCAAATTTACTAAAAAAAAAGTCTTTTTTGAAAAAAAAAATTAATTTTAAATTTGACAAATGTGTTTTGAGCAACAGGGACTTTTTATTATTATTATATGCTTTAGATATAACTTTTTAATTACTTTTTCATGAAAACAAAACCGATAGCCAGAAAAAAGAGTTTTCAGCATTAGTATTTTTGGCAATTAATGGTTGAAATTAAATTCCAATTAAGGAGGCATGAAATAGGAAAATGCGATACAATAGTTACAATAAATATTTGCGTTTCTTAACTAGAAATTGAGTTTTCCCTAACCTATTTTTTCCCCCAGCCGAGACTGTGGCCCCGGCTGTCAACACTGGAAAGTACACGGGTGGATTTGGGGCTCCGGCGGGTCTTTTGCGTCCACAGTCCGCCAGCTCCAATCCTGGCCAAAATCCCAGTGCAAGCGCCAACTCCGACGTCTATGTGGCCGGCAATCAGCACGAGTTCAGCGCCGTTATAAAGGCGAACAAGGCGAGGCCCACCGTGAATCCGGGTCGCTACAACGGCGGCTTTGGAGCACCCACCGGTGTCCTATCGCCCCAATCGCCGGCGGAGCCGCGACCCTTCCAGCCCGTCCACCAGCAGGCGGAGCACAGGGAACACCAGGCCGGCGGAGGCAACCGGAGGACGGATAGCCGCTTCGGTGGACCACCCGGCATCCTGGTGCCCTTCGACAACGTGCAGCGAACTGGGGGGCAGTAACCGACGAGTCCAGCTGTCTCCGCAAATACTTTAAATTATTTATAGCCCATGTACATGTACCTATGCTAGAGCTAAGTAAGTGGATGACCACACGGGGTCGCCACACCACGATACTTGCGAAATAAAACGTCTCAGAACTATCAAGTCGAATCGCTCGAATTTTCGAAACCTAGTTCACTGGGACAAACAGCTCAGGGATTCTGAATACTTTGAAGGCAGTTCGACTCGGTTCGGCATTCAGTAAACACGTAAAGCCCTGCGGAACTTGTTCGGAAGTATATTGTTTTAAGTTCGATTCCAAAATGTGCAACAGTGAGAAGTATACACCGGATTGTTGCGCCGGTTTCTATCCAATATGGTGCATGGTGGTTGGTGCCTTGTTCACATTAGGAGGCATTGTAATGATAGCCCGGCAACCTCGGGCCCTCGGGCAAGCAGTTGAACCTGATTATACATTGTATGGAGTACTTGGATTGCTCTTAGGCGTTAGTTATATTTGCGGTGGATTATTGATGTTTTTCGGTCGTAGAATGGCAAGTAAAGATCGTTAATAGTTTAATCAAAAATGTTGTATTACTGTATTATAACAGAATAAGAGAGGACTTTTTAAAATTGGAAAAATCTTGAGCTATTTTTTGCCTTGTATAGGATTTGGCTCTATTTGGCCTTTAAGTAAGTCACAATCTGCGCACTGCTGTCTAAAGGAATTGATCCAGAATTGTTTTCACTCTTATGTTTTACTTCCCGTTTCTGAATTTAGTTGTCCACGTTTGCGCTGTTAAGAGACTGTGCACATATATGAATAATCGCTGGGGATAGATAACGCTGCAACTTTTTAGTTTTCCATTTGGATATTTATCTTGATGTTACCAAGAGAACCACTATAAATTTACCAGTTTAAATTTAAATACTTTAAATTCAAGTTTACAATGAATTACCGGCAAAAGGTAAGATAAATAGATCAATTTTCACATGTCTTAATATTGTTTTTTAAACAGGAAATTTCGTTTGGACTATATTCTAAGCAATGGAAAGCGGTTTATTATTGAATGATGTGTCAAATTTTTGGATTTTTAATAATCAAAATTATTATGTGTTCAATTTTAGAATTAAACTTTCTGGGAGGCCAAGTGTTCGTATTATCAAACGATAAAATGAATTGGGGTAAAATAATAATAATCTCGGAATAAATTTAAAAAGTTTGGTATTGTCGGATTGTATTAACACAAATTATATATACATATACATTCAATTAGCTGCTTTTTAGGGAGAAGAATTTGGAGTTGCCTTTGTCCTTTGTTAAAAAAAAAAATTGGGGTAAAAAACTTTTTAAAATTTATAAATTATAAATAAATTTGTTTAAATATAAATAAATATATTATAATAATAAAAATGTACAGAAGCGGGAACTTTTCGGAGAAATTCGAAGAAAAACAAATTCTTCAAGGTGGACGGATTTTGTACAATCATGGGTGTTCTTTCTACTTAGTCCCAGGCGGGATTCCACCCGGAATAGCTATTCAATGGCATCTGACGAATGAGTACAGGCTTAAGTGGACACTCTGGCTCCTCGTGCTCTTAGACTACGTGCAGCGCATTGGGAATCAGTAAAATATTTAAGGGTGGTCAAAAAAATAAAATATTCCTTTCGACATTTTATGTAGAACTTTGTAAAAAATATCGTTCTTTTATTTCAAATTTACCGACTAAAAAACAAGACTATAAATCTACGCCACTAAGATTGAAATGATCAATGGCAACAGTACGTATGAGTGATGGTTTTTTTTGCCAATCAAATCGTTCTAATTTGGAAAACCTAGTTCACCGGGAAAAAACTGTTCGGTATGGCAAGCAGTATACACACGAAAAGAGCTACGATAAATACGGAAAATTCATATGTTTTAAATTCGACTCGACAATGTGCCAATGTACTCCGGGCTGTTGGGTCCAGTTCTATTCAATATGGTGCATCGTATTGGGTATCTTTGTGTTTGTGGAGGTATCTTATCTTGTGTCTACGGAACCCACTGAAGCGCCGATTCGGATTGGCCCTATAAGGATAGATTTGTTCTTACCTATCTATGTTGTTGTATGCCTCATTTGCGTGTCTTACCTTTTCGCTGGGCTATTCATGGTGATTGGTCAATTATTGGCAAGTCAAGATTAATAACATTTTAGCCAATATATTTTATTAATTTGTTTTTAACAGGACTCAAAGGCATTGTTTAAAACTGGAAAATGCCTAAGCTACGTTTTACCTATTGCAGGATTTCTTCTCATACTTCCAGCAGGTAAGTTGCTATGTTTGGGTATGTTTATGCATTGAATTTTTTGATTCTAACCACCAATACTAATACTAAATACAAAGTGTCATTTATTAAGATTTGTCCAGATGCATTCCTAAGTAATGGATTTACTTCTTTTTCCTATTTAGTTGTCCACGCCTTCGCTATAGTAAATATGTACAAATATCAGGAACAACGTTGGCCAAAGCACTCCTAATGTCTTACTTTTTAAGTAAATCTTTCCCTTTCATGTCAGGAAAAAGAAGAAAAAATAGTATTCGGCTCACTAGTTTCGAAATCAGTGAAATCAGTCCCGTTGATAGCAAAGGTGAGTAAAATGTGTCATTCTTAAACGGTTCTAATATATTACCTTAAACAGGAAATCTTTGTTTATATCGAAGGTAATAGATCCAAAATGTAATGTGGTCGGACTGAGTGAAGTTATACTCAATACTCTGAATTTAATGAATAATAATAACATAACTCTATAAACTTTCCCCCAGAGTCAAAAAATTTAAGCGATTAAGATTTGAAAAATTCCTGGTAGAAATGTCCAACATTGAAAGGTAATGGGTACTGAAACATCCAGTCTTAGTAATCTTTGAGATCAAGGTCATCAAATTTAAAACTTTAATATTTTTGAATTAAAAAGTCTCCAAGATTATTATCTTCTAATGTGTCGGATAAATTCAATATTACCTGAAGCATGCACTCGCTTTTATGCCATATGGTGTATCACTTGGGGGCTTTTGATTGGATGCGGCTATTCGCTTCTCCTCATTTTGGATCTTTCGAGTCCTAAAGCTAAATTAGATCTGCTCGAAAGAATTCTTTCTATTGCTTATGCCTTAATGGGATTATCTTATGGCTTAGCTGGTGCTTTTATGTTCCTCGGAATGCATTACGTAAGTCATTGTTGTCAAATTGTTTTTATATATTTATGTAGTACTATTGGAAGTAGTTTTTTTATGGATACTTTATAATAGGAACTTTCGACTATAGCTTCTCTGCCACTATTTAGTTAATTATCTATTACAGGATAAGCCGACTCTGTTTAAGTGTGGAAAGTTATTAAGCTCTATATTTGCAATTGCAACGTTTCCCGTTATATTTATCTCCGGTAAGTTTAAGAACGGTAATGCATTTAAAAAAAGAGTTTCTATTTATAAAAAGTTTATAATTATAAAAAAGTATTTCCCAACCTTAGTTGTACATTGCAGCAGTATGCGTTGCATGTGTCAATATATGAAGGAACGATGGAACAAAGGCTAAGAGCACCGAGATCCTTTGCTAGTTTTTTTTTTTTATTTTGTTAAGTTATTAAAAAATTAAAATGAAAAAAAATTAAATATCTTAAGTATATTTATTAGTTGTAAACAAATAATTTGTTCAGTATAATGTGGAAATGTCCTGCACAAAAGTGTATTATCATCCCATATTTGATTCCATTTGATGTTAGGTGGCCCCATTCGCTTGGGGGCGAATCCATTTCGCATTCAACAGGTTTGGGCGCTCGGTGCCTTGCATGCGATCTGCTCCAATCTGGAAACTAAGCCATTACAATCGGAGGTCGTGTCTGTTCAATTGGAGTTGTCGTAAACGCGAGTCGGCATTAAGGTCTGGGCTCCCCTTTTCCCTCCTCCTCCGAAGCGGAGCAACTTGAGCAAATGCAAATATCATAATTTCCGACAGCCCATCTGCCAGGGAATCAAACGGAGGGGAGTAGGCCACAAATGGCGGCCCACCTCCGGTTCCACCTCCAGCTACAGATCCACCTCCTCATCCAGGCCACCGTTACGAGGGCAGGACAAATAAAATTGTTTCGTCACGCCACCGCGAAGGTTGCCAGCCGCTGTCGAAATGAGGCTGGCACACGCAAGACCAGGCCAAAACCACCAACCTCCCAAAACGGAGGAAGCACCACCCACCATTCAGCCAGCCAGCCAGGCACAAGGAACAGCAGTTCCTTCACGTGCTCCACTCTTTACGACCTGCTCAAACATCAAGCTTATTTATTTACTCTAAAAACAATACCGGAAAATTAATAGCAATTTGTTGGGGTTCATAAATTTGTCGAAATAAATGTCCTTAACTGGCGAATGTATTTTCCCATACCAATACTTTCGTTCGTGGTGCTACGAAATGGGTTTCACCTGCTCCTGCTGCAAATCGATTGTCTGACTCCGCCGTTGGCCTTCTCTTATCAGCTGGATTCGGGTGCGTGACTCCTCTGACCCGAGTTGGGGTTTAATTTTGATTGCTTCAATTAACTGCGTGTAAATGCGGTGGGCCCCCTTTCCCCAGCGATCCAGAGACCCTGCACAGAGAAAAATACAACCCATTAAAATGTAATATTGCAACGGCATTAAATAATATTTAAATTAACATTAAAATAACAATTTAAAAATTTTACACTTAAGAATTTATTTCTAAACTTTAATATTTATTATCATTAAAAAAATTTAACAAAACTGTGTAATTTTAGAAAATTCCTTTTTAATTACCAGAAAATAAAATCTCCTCTTCCCCTTTATAAATTTGAAAGTTGATCTAATTTGGTTTGATAATAAAAACAATTTTAAACAGTTTGGAACAATATGGTTATTATTATTATAGGTATTTCTCCGAGTGCCCAGAAGGGTTTGTTGAGATATTAATGAAACTTTATTGAAGTTTATTGCTGCTTGTCAGCGCATGTAAACTGGCATACAAAGTAAAGAAAAGCGAGGAGCAGGAGTAGGAGTTGGTGATGGGTCGTGGTTTGGTAAGTCTCGAACCGAGACCAAGTCGGGCCAAATGTAAATTGAAGGCGGGCAACTCAGTTGCTCAACGTCAAGCGTCGCGAACAGACGTCAATTTTTAAGACCGGAGGACAAATTCGAAGCTCCAAGAAGTGAAAAATGTGAAACTACTATTTAGTTCGGGATCTGCTTAGTTCTATATCTCCGCCACAAGACCAAGTTCAAAATGCCGCGCAAGAAACCGAAGGTTGATACTCTCGAAGAGATTGAGACCAATATAAAACTGCTATGCGATCAGTCTAATAACCACATGAAAGTACGGGCGTACGAAAAGGCTCTGTTCGGATATAATCAGGTGCGTTCAATTTCATTGTTGGTAAGAAACGAAACCGAGAACTGTCCTAGAAGACAATGTAAAACACTGAGTAAACCATACACCCAGAAAAATGATGGACAACATTTTAGGTCATGCATAGCCTATAACATTTTAAATGGACTAAAAGTTCATTTTTAGGTCATGTACTGCCTAAAAATTTTAATTTTTGGTATATTTGCCCTACTATTTAGGTCCCGTATAGCCTAATATTTTAGGTCATCGTATTCCTTAAAATTAATGCATTTTACCTAAAAAAATTTGCACGGAACTCTGATACCGTTCTAGCGACGCTATAATTCCCAACCAGTTATAGCGCGGCTTGCATGGTAACCCACTTCGATCGTTGAATAAAACAGCGATTTCACTGCTGAACAGTGAAGCCTCTTCGCTCGTTTTTGTGTGTTGGAATAATGGCGACTTCTTGAAGACTAAGCCGACATTGACCTCGAGTTAGCTATAAATTTCTCTGTATTTACTTTATAATATGAAACATTTTTCAGTACAAATTTTTAGGCCAAAGAAAGCCTAAAATTTTGGATAGGGTTTTCTCATATTTTAAGGCAGCGTATTACCTAAAATCTAGGCCAAAAATTACCCCATTTTAGGCCATTAATGGCCTAACATTTTAGGTCATACAATCCTTAATTTTAGGCCATTCAAGGACTTAGCTCCAGTTTTAGGCCAATTTTACCTAAGTTCTAGGCCATTTTTTGACATTTTAGGTCATTTTTTTTTCTGGGTGTAGATTTCAGTTAAAATAATGATACCCAAAATGAGGTAACCCTTATAAATTACAAGGCCGACAAAAACATGGGTCGGTGTCCAGGCCCCACCATTTTATTTCGATAAATGAGGCTTTCAAGCATAAGTTGCCACACGCCTAAGTCCATCAGCCTGGTATTTGCGGTACTTAAATTTAAGAAAATCACAAATTTTCTTCGGCTTTTGGGATATATCTTCAAGAGTGGTCAACACATTTTGGTAATCTTTTCGGAATTAAATAGTTACATGTCTCTTTTATACGGTCGTTTTGGAAAATTCAATCTAAGTCAACCACAAGAGGAGGTTGGCCCCTTTAAAAATTTTAAAGTCACAGCAAAGTTTAAAAATCTTCCTTTGTGAACAGCGTTTAAAAATTATATAAAATATTTTCTTCTACAATGCATTTTGATCCAAAGACACCTTATGTCCTTAATTTTTAGGACACCATCAGGTTTTTGTGAATTGTTTTGGGTTTTTAAAATTGTTTTCTTACTTCCTTCACAGTGACGATTCACAAACAGTGCCCAAAACTGTCACTATTTTACGTAACGAATAACTATTTTTGAGCACAAGTAACCTTTGCTTTAAAAATATTTATACATGGGCGTAAGTTAAAAGCTAGAGGGGATTAGACTTCAGTCATTTCAGCCCCCAAAGATTAGTAGGCTACGCTCATGTGCTTATATTCAAAGCAAAACTACTTAGATCGTTTAGAAATATGTTATTTAAAATTGTGACAGGTTTGGGCACTGTTTGTGAATCGTCATTGTGAAGGAAGTAAGAAAACAATTTTAAAAATTCCAAAACAATTCACAAAAACCTGATGAGTGTCCTAAACAGTAAGGACATAAGGTGTTTTGGATCAAAAATCATTGTTGAAAAAATATTTTTATTTAATTCTTAAACGCTGTTCACAAATGAAGATTTTTAAACTTTGCTGTGACTTTAAAATTTGAATGCGCCCACCTCCTCTTGTGGTTGACTTAGATTGAATTTTCCAAAACGACCGTATAAAATAGACATGTAACTATTTAATTCCGAAAAGATTACCAAAATTGGTTGACCACTCTTGAAGATATATCCCAAAAGCCGAAGAAAATTTGTGATTTTCTTAAATTAAAGATACCGTAAATACCAGAGCTGATGGACTATAGGCGTAGTGGCAACTTATGCTTAGAAAAGCCTAATTTATCGAAATAAAATGGTTGCAGGCCTGGACATCGACCCATGTCACATTTTGTCGGCCTGTGTTATTAAATTGGGATACATTAAATTAACTTTTATAAGAAAGTCTAGGCCATCTTGCGGCAGTGATAATTAACTGTAAGGGTTGTTCCGATCGGACATTTCATGCACTAGTCCTTTTCCATATATCGTTCCTCCATACAAAATATTCGCACCATTTAGAAAAAAAGCAAGGCTCAGCAAGACAATCAAAAGCAAAAGCTTGGACCAGCAAAGTCTTCGATTTCCCATTGTTAAATTGCTGTGTGTATTTCGAACCTAAGTCGAATATCATCAGTATCTTCCTAAGCGGCTCGTCTTTAGTTTTAAATTTTCTCTTTACTTTCTGATAAAATTATTTTTTAAAATATTTTATGGCCTACCTAAAAATATATTTGCTTTTTGTATTTCCTGGGCAAAAATACTTAACTGTTTTTTTGCCAGCTCGCTGCAAATTGCAAATTTTGCACACCAAATGCATTCCCCATCCTTAACTCCCATTATGATTGGAGGTCGCCATTTTTAAATGTTCCCTAGTTTTGCGTACTTGCGGGCAACCTCTGATATTTTTCAAAAGGTTGTATGGTATATCAAAAACATTTCATAATGATAAACAAGATTTTTGCCCGATAATCTAGATATGGCTTATTAGTAGACATTACTTCCTACATTTTTTAAAAAATCAAAATTTGGTCAGGGCTGTCCAATTTTGATTTTTGGGTAACAAATTATATTTATTCAGAGATTACTAGTTCTTATTATCATAGGCAAAAAGTTAATTTGTTTTCTTTGAACCAAAAATTTAACATAAACTTTCATTTTGTATTTATATATTTCATTCTCAAAGCATTTTCGAAACAAGTTCTTTCGATGAGAGTTTTAAGATTTAATTCTTCTTCTTTTGGCAGTGGCCATGTCTGTAGGTATATCCCTTTAGACACTGAATAGCGTCGGCAGTGTCCAATGCCACGAAAATGCAGGCAATGAAGACCAGAAGCTTCTGACAGGAAAGTCCGTTAATCAGCATTGTAAAATTGATTTTTTGTTATTTGCAATCAAAGCTTAAGTAGACAAGTTCCCACTTGCCAATATCGCTCTAGATACTGAGTCCCCAAATCGCAGTTCCCGCCTTTATAGCGATTTCTAAAATTTCACTTCTAATATTCTACCACACGAAGTGTTATATGCCAACACAAGTTGAACAAATTTATTGGCTGTGCGTTCGTGTTTTGTTTTAAATTGACAAAATTTTAGTATATTTTTATATTGAAGTGCTCTTTAGAATTTTGAGTGCTAATTTTAAATATATTATTCATGTCCATCTGTCTGTATGAGATCTCGGAAACTAAAACATAGAACGTTGGGATTAATAATGTATATTCTTTTATCGAGGTGCCACGCCCCCCTAAAGCCCACAATCGCCCTAAGAGATTTTAAAAGGTGTCTGGCGGCCACATCTTTTAAGATTTCGGAAAAGTAAAAATGCAGTGCTTTTTTTACCTGTCACAATAAACAAACACGCCATCTGTTTTTCAGTGTTTAGCTTAGCACAGTGACTGCAAAACTGGAAAGATTATTTTTGCCCACATAACACAGTTTGACATGCTCGGACTAACGGGTAATCATTAATTATCACCAAAACAACAATAACCATTAAACTTTAATTAACAAATAAGTTTTTAAGTTTTAATTCAAAATATAATCTAATGATTGATTATTATGATAGTGGACTGTAATATGCCAAAGATGATTTACCTTTGTAAACTTATTTTAGTGAAAGATTTTGAACAATTTATGATAATTATAATCTTTACGATAAGTTTTGTAATTTCGAATATAGGGAATATTTACACAAAAAAGAACGAATTTTGAAAAACCATTGTTCATAATTAAAGGTTTCAAATTTGGAACAAATATTACTCATACGCCACATAAGCCCATCATGTTTACAAGAAAAAGTGATAGAAAAAGGATCATGCCAGCTTCACCTTGGAATGGGGCAGCCTCAAGGTCGCGACCCACATGGAGGCCATTGTTCTTGGCATTCACACCGCCCAAAAAAACACGACACCTGATATCCAACACCTGGCGCCTGGCACGCATGGTTGCTTTGTTATCGATTGCTAACCCATTTGGAGGCGCCAGTTTCCTGGCAACAGCCCATCCATTGAACCAATCAATCGGCTAGTTATTTGGTCAGTAGTTGTACCTTTGCTCCTTGTTCCTTCACCAGCGATTGCGTAAGAATACCACAAGAGTATGTCGAACGTGCTGAACACCATCCTAGCGGTGGACAAGGAGCAGGAGCTGCTGCAGAGCTTCATCCGCACAGGAGCAGCGGCGGAGGAGGAGTCCCAGGACGAGGCCAATCGACGCTCCAAGGGTCGTTCCCACAAACCGCCCATCTGGGAGAGACGCGAGTCGACGGAGGGTCGTGGTGGACGAGGCGGCGGACGAGATGGCAAGCAGGCGGATGACGGAGGAGCCGGCGGAGGAGCAGGTGGCGACGGTGCCGGTGGCAAGCGAGGCAATCGCATCGAAGCCGAACTGAAGGCCGCCCGCAAGAAGATCGAGGAGCAGATCGCCAAGAAGAAGAAGCCCAAGGAGAACTTTGTGGACTTCTACACGGACAAGGATCGAGCGGCTGCTGTGAGCGCCGGGGCATTCGACATCAAACAGAGTCTGCAGATCAAGCAGAAACAGGATCGGAATGAGGCTTTGCTCATTCCCGACGAAGCGGACATCAGCTCGGTCATCGCCCTGGGCCTCAAGGAGATCAAAAACGCCAATCCCGAAAACGCCATCCACTTTTTCTGCAAGGTGCTACTGGTTTTACAATTAAAATTATAAATTTAGAGCTATAATCTTAGTACTTTCTCTATACTAAAGTTAAAATATGATTAGATCTATATGAAAGCTAAAAGACTAATCTTCCATCTTTAATGGATTTAAATGTATTAGAAACAAGGTGCTACGAGGTCTTACAATTAAGATTATACGTATTCTATATATTACTAAACAAATTAAGAGCTTCAATCCTGATCCTTCCTTTATAAAAAGGTAAAATATTATTCATCCTATTTTAGTAATTATTTTTGAATCTAATAGGTAAAAAGACTGATCTTTATCCTCTAAAGCCAATAGATCTAATCTAAAATGTATTACAGAAATTTTAAAAATAACGATAAAGTAATTAAGAAACTTTAAGAACTCTGTACACAGATTTTACAAAGTTTACAACAAATGAAGAGCTTTAATCCTAATCCATTCTCTATAAAAAAGTTAAAATATTAATACACTTATTTTAGTAATTACTTATCAATATAAAAGGTAAAAGATGATCTTTATCCTTTAAAGCCAATAGATCTAATTTTAAATCAATTACAATAATTTAAAAAAAAAAACGATAAAGTAATCAAGGAACTTTAAGAACACTATACATAGGTTTTACAAAGTTTAGAACAAGGTTTCTCGTTTTAATACAAATATTAATACGCATTAATTTATAAGAAAGTAAAAGAACGTGCTTTCTAGTTTATAAACACAACAATTATTTGACTAACTCAAATGTTTTCTATTTTTACAGGCCCTAGAGCTAAATAGCACCGACATCAACGCCTTGATTTCGCGCAGCAAATGCTACTTGCTGCTCGGCGAGGCTTCCAAGGCTCTGCAGGATGCGGAAACGGCTTTGGGGGAGGACAAGAACAACATTCGGGCCATCTACCAGAAGGCCGAGTCGCTGTACTACCTGGGTCAGTTCGAGCAGAGCCTGATGTTCTTCCACCGCGGATTGCGGGCCCGTCCAGAGCTAGCCTTATTTCGGTTGGGAGTTCAAAAGACGCAAGAGGCCATCGAGAACACGATCGGCACTAAGCCGGGACCGGTGCCAGGAGCACCTTCTGCATCCGTTCCCAAGAGTGGAAAGTCCCGGAAATCGGGAGAAGATACGCCCAAGTCTCAGGGAGCAACAGGAACCAGTGCCAGGGTTCGCCAGAAGCCCAGTCGAGCGGATCTGGAGCGTCGCAATGCCCGCAAGCTGCTGGGCGAACTGTGCGTGGACAAGGAGTATCTGGAGAAGCTGCTGCTCCATCCCGACTTGGTGCGTGCCGACACCCACACGGAGAGCATATCGGCCTACGCACGGGAGGCGGTGGAGTTTCCTCAACAAGCGGCAGGAGTTCTGGCGCCAACAGCGTCCTTGCACGGCGCTGCCCAACCACAAGAATCTGCCGCACGACGCCCTGCCCAAGTGGTTCTAGTGGTTCCAGCTATACGAGGCTTACTCAGAGTTCCAGCTTCCGGTGTTAAGTTTCTGTTTGAGTTGAGCTGAAGTTATATAAAAATGCATTAATTATTACATTAAATAAATGATTGTTAGTTGGAGCCTTTAAAGAGGGCTTTTATTTCATTAAAAGTAGAAAGATAGAACAAATGATTTCCAATTAAAACCCAATATTTTTAGCGAGTATGCCGTTGGAGTAGCGACTACTTGTTTATTGTGTTGTATGCTAATTGGTTTGTCATTCGATTCGGGATTAATTTAATCTTAGGCGTAACTTCAACGTTTGAACAGAGCAATTTGCAATTTTATCTCAATTTCATTGATATACTTTTTTAGTCAACTGAAACACAAATCTAAACGGTAGCCTCAAATTGACCGATTACAACGATAGTTTAACAATGTGGAATAATAGTTAATGTTTTGTTCAATAACAATGGATACATATTTTGTGTAAGTATATCGTTTTCATATCGCAATCCTTTAGTTCCAGTGTTTATACTTTTATTTCATAATTTGACTAGTACGGCTATAATTCATTTAAACATTACATTTATGCAGAGTAGTTTAATACTTTGTCGCTTAGATATTTCATTATTTGTTCGTCCTCGGCAAAATCCGGTGCAATTGGGTTGAGTACGTCTGGCCAGCGGTAAACAAGTACAAAAAGTGTAACAGAATGGGGGTCGTTTTGGGCTTTAGCTAGGTTAAATTTAGTTTGAAACAAACAAACAGGTAACACACTAGTAACATAGGTTCCATGCAAAGTGCAGATATTGCCAGGAGTTCTCCTCCTCCTTCTCCTCTCGGTTGGCCCAATATATTCGAGTATATATAACATTAAATACAGCGATTCGGAATGCAATCGGAGTGCAAGACAGCGAGCTAAAAAGAATAATAATAATAAATTAGAAATAAGAAATTAAATGCAGTAAAAGCTTCAACAAACCCCGTGTGCGTAGCCTTTAGTGCTCAGTTGTTGGCGGGTCGCGTGGGCAGCGGCGGAACATTGCCGCTCCTATTTGGTATGGGTGGTGGGCCCCGGCGATTCGGCAGCGGTGGCGGCGGACCCATCTGTGCTCCCATCACCGGCGGCGGCCCAGCTGGCGGCGGATGGCGTGGCGCCGGGACATCCTCCTGGATCTCCTCGTAAATGTTGCTGGCGGTCTCGTAGGCGGTGGAATCGGGTGGAATCGCCTCCTTGGGCGACGCCACTTGGCGCGTGGGCGTCGTCTGCTTGCTCTGCATTTGGCGTGGCGGTGTCGGCGGTCCGGAGAGCACAGCCGACGGAGCTGTGGGCGAAGCCTTGCCTGACGACGAGGTCGACGAACTGGCCGATGCCAGTTCCGTGGGAGATTGCGATTTCGAGGATGGCGTATTATCCATCGCTGGCGGACGAGGCGGTGCCGGTTGCGGCTGAAGCGGCGATGGAATCAGCGGCTGAGATTGTGGTTGCGGCGGCATCGGTGGCTTCGCCGGCTTGGGCACAATGCTGATCACGCCGACGTGCGGCAGGTGGCGTGGCGAGTTCTTTGGCGACATTGGCATCGGGGGGCGGGCTGGGGGGACGTGTGGGCGGCTGCTTGGGACGCTGCGGCAACTCGGGCGTGATGGCCTGCAGCAGCTGCGCATGCTCGGCAGGATTAGCGCACAGCGGTATGGTGTTGGTGGTGCACAGCTCGATCTCGCTGTCCACCAAATGCTGCCAGTCGCTTGACTTCAGCTCTAGAACAAGGTCTAATCCACAAACTTGAATGCTCTTTTTGGAGGCCGCATTTAAGGCAGATTCTCCATCCCGGAAGGTGACCCACATGGTGTCCTCCACATAGCGCACCAAGGTGACCTCGCCCATTTTCGACAGCTCGGCAATCAAAGCTGACATAACGTTTTCATCGTAGATGGTGGGTCCATCCTCATCCGTTGAAGAGGATTCGAGGACATGCACCACAATCGTGGAGTCCGGTGGACCCCAGATCCCGGATAACTTGCTCGAAAACGGCACGTCGACGCTGCTGATCGATCTCCATGATCTCAGCATCAATAATGGCGATGACCGGACGATGATCGCTCTGTTTGAGCTCCGAACGGCCGTAGTGGATGAGCTTGCCGGGATTCCAGGCTGAGGCGGCGAAATCCCCTTCGGCCAAAGCCTTCCTCCTTCGCCAGAGCACCCGATCCGTCCAGGCGGGCGCACGCTGCTTCTCCGACGTGTCGTAGTCGTCGCTAAACAAGTCGTACTTGTATGTGGGATCAAAGCCGATTTCTCCCTCGAGGAACTCGCCAAACACATTGCCCGCCTCCTGCTCCTTGCGCAATTGATCGAATTCGAGGACTGTGGGCAAATCTCCATTGCGTACGCACTCCTTCAGCTCGTCCTTTTCCATGTCGATGCGGTAGTTGAAGTCGCCGCACCAGAAAACCCAATCGTGGGATTTGAGGGTCCTGCCCATCGGGAAGGCCAGCTTCCGAGTGATCTCCGCATAGTCGGCATTCCGCTCCGCCACCTGCGACTGACCGGCTGCAAAGTGGGCGCACACAAAGCACATGGAAGTGCCGTGCAGGACAAAGCGTATGGCACAGGCACCCTTATTTCCCGTGGCTCCGCCCAATCCCGTCTTCACGCAATCAATGGCCACGTCCCGGATGTGCGGCGCATGCTCCGGCCGGATGTAGATGTACAGGCACACGCCCACCAGCTGCTGATAGGTGAGCAGCACGTAGTCATTGTCCCGCGAGATCGTCTTCTGCAGCTCCTCGGCCCACAACTTGGCATTGTCCGTGCTGGCGGCCATTATGTTGGAGGCATTTAGATCCACAATCTCCTCGAAACCAATGGCGTAGATGTCCACCGGGTGATCAACGTTCTCGGAAGGATTATTCACATCTACAAGCGCCTTGGAGCGTGCAAGAGCATGACAATCGAGCAGCCAGTCGGCCAGCGAGTCCTTGAACACAATGCTGCGAAAGTGCTTGCCTCCATTGACGTTATAGGTACCCACGGCCACGCGGGCCATTCGAGGACGCACATACTCCGTGTAGCGCTTGCACAGCTCCCGCAAGACGGTGGTGGGGGCATGCAGCATGTTGGAGGGCAGCAGGATGCGCGCTCGATCCGCCAGTTCCGAGCTGAGCGTCGAGCCCACCAAGAGCACATCAATGGCTTCCTAAAAAGGAGAAGAATATTTAGTAACAGAAAATAAATTATATATTTGGGCAATTCTCTGTTGTCGCACGCGAAAAAAACCATCTTCCAGTACTTTCTCTCTTTTGAAACTAGGCTCAAATTAAAGGTCTTGATTAGCACTAAAATATGTGCCAGTTTTTAAGATATAGAAATGACCTTGGGACATTTTTCGTTTTTAAGATATATATAAAAAAAAACAATCGCACTCGACTTCCTGCTTAACTTTCGATTGTAACGAAACGTGAAGGTATATTTTAATGCAGTTAATTTTATAGTGTTCCTTGTTTTTTTTTTTATTCTTTAAAATGTATTTGTTTTTGTTACAAAATATTGAGTGGGTATTTTTTTATTGGCATCGAAGTGACTGTCACACGCGACAGTTTTTTCCGTCATTAAAACCGTTTAAGACCCCCTTTAAAAAATACCACAAAATTACGTTTTTGTCCATATAACAGGTATTGTCCTGGAAAATTATCCAAGGATACTCAAATTACCTAGCTTAGTTGAGGTTCCCTCTAACTAGAATCAAATATCAGTGCAAAATCTTAAAGAAATATGTGTTTTTTTCAAGTTTCACCAGAGAATTGCCCATTTGTAAGCCACCTACCTGCTTGGAATTGTCCAGTAGATTGTTTTGAATTGTCCTTGCCGCAGATCTTGCTCCATCCATCAATTTGGAACCTCCCTGGATGGCCCCTGTGCCGGCGTAGATCTTGCTCACCTCGTTGCCATTGTTGATCCACATCTGGCGGAAGATCTCCTCGAAGCGCGAGATGTTCTGCTGCTTGCCGCCCATTTTCAAAGCCTCTAGCTGCAGGCCGAGCGTCTCAAGTCCCAGATATGTCTGCACGCAGTTCGTCCTGTCCAGACAGTCCAGGCAATTGGTGCGCACCACGCCGAACTGCTCGCGCAGCACCTGACCGCCGGAGGCGTGGAAGACGCCGTAGTTGGCCCCGCAGGCCACGATGCGCTCCTTGAGCTTGGCCAGCGCCGAGAAGTTGCCGCCGCGGCACTCCTGATGATAGTCGAACACCACATGCGGCACATCCTTGTGCGCGGACATCCCATGATGGCGCTGGAACTCGTTGCTCAGCATGGCCTCGCCCTCCTTGCTGCCGACCAGCGAGCTGCCCAGCAGATTGACTATCGTCTGGTAGCCATACCGCTGCCGCATCATGCTCATGTGCCGATCGAAGGCGGCGGCGGATGTCTCAAATCCCCGCGATAGCTTCACCTTGTGGGAGCCCACCTGGACGCCCGGCTGCTCCCAGAAGAGGGGCACTGAGCCGCGGGTCTGCACATAGCTCGTAACATCGCCATCCACATAGATCACCTGCTCCGTCTCCACGAAATTGGCCACGTAGCCCTCGTCGTTGGTGCCGCGCACATTGAAGCGCGTGCCGGCGCGCTCGCAGCTCAGGCGGGAAATGATGGCCGCGCGGGCCTGCTTGGCACCGATATAGACGGTGCGGACCTCCACGGAGCCGCACATGGCTTGGAGCAGCCAGGACTGGCAGTCGATGCCGAAGCGCATGAGGTGAATGTGCATCATGCGGTTCCAGAAGAACCGATTGTCCGTCTCCTCCGTTCGCTGGCGTCGCTGGGCGCAAAGCGTAATGTCGAAGCGCGACGCAGTGCCTCCTCCGGAGGCCGAAGCACTGGCATTCGTGTGGGCAAAGTAGAAGGTGCCCGAGTTGAGCAGCTTGCGCACCTCGCTGATCTTGTCCTCGTTGGGCGCCGCATTCTGCAGCGAGACGAAGGTGGTCTGGGTGATCCGGAAGATCTCGATGTCGCCGATCTTGCCCATGGACACGCAGCCGGTGACCAGGACGAGGAAGAGCACGGTGCTCTCGCCGGCGTTCAGTTGGAGGGCACCTAGACATCCATAGGCATCGCACACCTTGGTGTACTGTTTCCGGATGACATCCGTCTCCTGCTGGGTGAGCAGGGCCACCGCATGCGACTCGAACAGGATGCTGTCGCTCTTGTGACGGTGCTCCAGGAGCACGCTGTGCGGCGAGGGGGCAATCGACTTCTCCAGCACGCGGATCACCTTGGACATGGCCATCTTGCTGGGATCTCCTCTTTAGGGTTCTTCGCTTCTGGTTTATCGAGTGTTGTTGAGTGTCCTTTTTGGAGTTCTAGTTTTTTAGGGGCGATCGCACTAAGCTAAGACATCTGTGGGTGGAAATAGAAATAAAAAAACAATTAAATTGTGGGTGTATTTTAGGGATTTTTATTGGCTAAATATTTTTAAATCTAATGGGATTCTAATTGGGTATATTGGTTATATAACAAAGATGTTAATTTCTAATTATTTAGATTTTTTACTGTAAAAACAAAATTTAAAAGGTTAATTCGAAGGTTTTTTACAAAGAGATTTTATTGGGTGTATATTTTACATTATAATGGAATTAAAATTGGGTATATTTGTTAAAGTTGTTAAGTTCCAATTTGTTTTATTTTTGCTGTTGAAAAATGTTATTTATCTTTTAAAAGTGTATTTTTCTTGCACTTTTTTATATTTTCTTTAACATTTTTAAACAAATAGCAGCAATTGGATTTTATCTGCATTTCTTTGTTTCTAAATGGGGTACATGCTTTTTTTTTTCTTATCAGACTTGTTACTCATGTTCTATTTTCCAAAAATATCTTTTAATCTAAGCCTAAACATATGTAGAATATTACTTAAATTTATAGAAATAAATTAAAGCACTTAAAATAGCTTAACTTTTTAAAAAACAAGCATTAAAAATCTCACATTTTTAAACATAAATGTTTTTTACCAAATATTTGTACGTTCCCTTGAACTTTAAGTTTAAACAAATATAGGTAGAGGAAAATTTGAAAAGTTTGGCCAGCTCAACCGACACTTTGAACCGAAATGGCACTAAATTTTCGGGCGCCTGTTAAAAATCAATGGGCGACTTAAATATAAACAAACCGAAAAGCGAAGGAATTTTTTCCAATATTTCCGCCTCCCACTCAAGTTCACGCACACACATGCCGCAATTCACATGCACCGGCGACAGCTGTGCTCTCGCTCTCTTACTCTCTGCCTGTGTGTGTGCGTGTGACTGATAAACATTTTCTGCGCGTTCTATAGATTTTTCACAGGCAATTTTCACTGGTTTTTAAAGGGTTTTCCAGGCAATCGTTTGATCAGAGTAACTTGCAAACACTAATTACAGGAAACACTGGGAGTTCAAAATGCCAATTGACTCCTTAAATTACATTTATTTGGATTTTAAAATCTGATAATACCTTTGTTTGCGAGATTTGCGAAAATTCAGTGCGGAATGCGATTAATAATACCATATTGAGCTTTTGAAGAATTACAGAAATACTCGCAATGAACGCCAGAGTTAGGAGGGTGTCCTCGCTACTTAGCCGCGACACCTAACACGGTAATTATCGGGCTATCGATTTATATCAGCGCGCTGAACCTAAAATTTGAATTTTAATTGTGCTCTGACAAAAACAAAAGTGAAGTGTATTGACCACTTTTAAAGATTAGTTTTCAAGATTACGCCGGACACTTGAAGATAGCCCGAGGCTAGGAACGTTTAATCAATGCCGTCCCAATTGGCTGGAGTATCTAAAATATTATTATATTGAACCGAACAAGTGACAAATATAGCCGGTATCTTAATCGTAGAAAACTGCACACTTTTCTATTTAACCGATAAGGAAACGCCCTCATTTTTAGGCATGACTCTTAGAACTGGGGTTTCTCCGGCGCTCCCTTCGCTAGACATCATTTTTTATATCTGTTTCATTGAAAAATAGTTTTGTTTCAGTGAATAATACATTGATTCACTCAGAATAGCAAAATAAGCGTGGGAGTACATATGTCCTGGTACCAAATACCATCCTGTTATCATATCCTGTTTCTTTCACGTGCCCAACATGCTCCTCTCAAGAGGATTAGATTACCCACTTCCATTTTGAGTAATCATATACCAAATAACCTAATTGTAAATCTCAGAACATCGGGTGACTCATTCCATTGCGTCTTATCTGTAAGTCCAGCGGACGTAAATAAATATGAATTACACAGCATTCTTTTCTGAGCTTGGGAATGTAAACAATTTTATTTTTATTTTGGTCATGGTTTTTAGTTTATTCAGTAAATATCTTTAAGTTTGACTAGCTCTAAGCTTAAGCTTAAGTTTTATATTTAATTTATTTAAAAAATACATACTTAATTATACATACGTCTTGAACGTTTTCCTCTTTTAGCTTGGCAAGCGAAGCAACAATTCTAGTCGAAGGGCTTTCGCAAATGTTATCTAATCGCTTAACTGAAAATTCGAGTGGATCGCCGTGCCTTGGCTACTGATAACGATTGATTAATTTACATAATTCCCGGGCGGAGATATGGCCGCATTCGGAATTTTTAGCACACCTTCCCCGTCGCAAAAAAAAGTACGTCATTCCGTCGTTTTAATTGCATTTTCACCCATTTTAGGCCGGGCGGGTGTGCAAAGAGAAAAAAGGAATATCAGCAGTCGTTTTATAGTGTGTGCCCACCAAATATATCTAACCTCCGCCTAATTGTTATTACTTAATGCGTAAGCTAAAGGCGTTGGCCTTGGTTTTTTAGGTTCCGGACCTGCATCGAAAGGTCCAACTACATATTAAATCCCACCCTTGCCTTGATATGCCTGTTCTACTATCTCCGCTTAATTCATAAATATGTTTGTGTCGCTCTGTTGTCATGGCTTAAGTCCATTAAGATAAGGGGCTGTGTGTGTAAAGAAATCGAAAGAATTTCCATCCCATTCGATCATGTGACTGGAAGGTTCTACAAGCAGCATCTATTGTATGCTGACCCATCACCTCCCACAAACAGATCATTACTAGTCCCCATTAATAGTCGAGTCAAAAGTGCCATGATAATTACGCTGAAAGTACATATGACTCAGCCAAACATTTCCCACCTATTTGGTCAAAATCCCCGCTGACTCAGCTCGCTGATAAGCAGAAGCGATCTATGAAAAACGATATTATACTCGCAAATAAACATCAATCAGAAGCTAATGGCTTTCATTCGGACGATCGTTTCGTTTCGATTCGATTCGATTTATTCAATGGCATTCCCTTTCTTCGCTTATGTACAGAAACAGAAACAGAAACAAAACACAAACAACTCAACTAAAGGTAATCATAAGTTTAGGCTTAAGAATACAACAATATAACTAGAAAAGGTGTGCTGGGCCAAAATAAATAATTACAATTCAATAAAGCAACAACAGAAGCGGGGAGAACTAACGCAATCATAATGCTAACTAGGGCTTACGTCTGTACAGGCTGTTCGCAATATATATACACACACAAAGCATCCGATTAACCAGTTTTTGTCTCAACGAAGCCACCAAACTGCGGGTCGATCTGCTCTGATACGCCAGCTAAATCTCTAAACTAATCTAGGTTCGCCCAGGAGTTTCGCCCTTTTTTTACAGCTTTAAGTCTAGACTTACGTAGTGACTAAGGTTCAGCTAATAATACTACTACCAGACGCTACCGCCAGTCGCTTGCAGTCCGCTGAGTGGGTTGCTCACAAGTACAAAATAACAAACTTAATTAGTAGGTGCTACGAGACGAGCAGTCGCTGCTTGGCGCCCGTTGATCCCTCGCTGGAGCAGCTGTTGGTGGCCACTGGAGCCTCTAACGTGGGCGCGGGCTGTGGTTCTTCGGAGGAGGAGGCGGGGCTGCTAAGCTCGTAGGCCACTCCGCCCCAGTGAAGCTTGTAGGTGCGGGCGCGCCAGCGAATGGCGGGATTCCAGAAGGCATGCAGGAACAAATAGGGTCCGGTTAGCTCTCTAAACAGCCAGCCGACCACAAACTCAAACTTGTGGAACGGCATGGAGCCGTGCTGGACGATGGACAGTAGCAGCCAGTCGGACAGAAACCAGCAAAGCACATGCACCAGGTAGAAAACCAGAGGGATCCCAGCTAAACAACACAGAGGCTGACCAGGCGGCAATGGCGCCGAGGATCATGCACTCGGAGAGCGGCTCTAGGAGGATGGTGGTGGGCACCATGGCCACGCGCAGCTTGGCCCAGCGGATGAGGCGCGCCTGGAAGCTGCCGATGTCGCAGAGGCCGCTGTTTTGCAGCGCCGGCTGGTTGGAGATGCGCATCTTCCAGCCGAGACGCGTTACCTCGCGGGCAATGAAGAAATCCTCGGCGAGGTAGCAACCAAAAGCCTTTTAAGCCGCCCAGTTGATCAATGACCGCCTTGCGCAGCAAACAGGACATTCCCGTGTGGCAGTTGATGCCCAGCACATCCGCCGACAAGTAGATTCTGCTCTGCACGGTGCCAAAAAAGACCTTCTCGAAGGTGGCCGCAAATCCATCGCGGTCGCTGGTGAAGGGCATCTGGTGGACCAAAGCATGCTTCTCGGACATATTCTGCACCATGTCCAGCAGCGTGTCGTCCTTCATCTTGATGCCGCTGTCGGAGATCATGACAAAGTCGTATTTGGCGGCCAGATAGCCGGGATGGATGTTGTTGATCTTCGGATTGACGCCCACATCGGAGCCGCCGACAAAGAGGGTGGCGTCCACTAGGGGATACTTTGCAAGGAGTCGCTCCACCAGTTGGATGGCCGGATCCTCCTTGTCCTCCACGCAGAAGAGCAGCTCGTAGAGCGGATAGTCCATGGTGAAGAAGGTCTCCAGGTTGTGCTGCAAATTGGGATCCACGCCCATTAGAGGCTTCAAAATAGAGACTCCCGGCAGCGGCTGGGCCTCCGTGGGCAGCTTGCAGGACTTCTTGTGCAGCTTGTAGCGTCCATAGCAGATGGCTATCACGTGCACCATCCAGGTGCCCAGCCAGAAAACCATGAAGAATCCCGCGAAGCCATAAAACGGCAAAGGTAGGTGTGCCATCTCTGTGTGGGTGCGGGGGCAGGGGTGGTATATGTGTGCGTGTGTGGTGACTCCGAATCCGAACCCGAATCCAAATCCAAATCCCCGTTTCGCGTGCCTTTGTGTGAGTGTCGCTGGGTGGGTGGGCGTTTGCGTTTGCGTTTGCTATTCACATTTGCGGTTGCACCAGATACTATTGCCAGATCAGATCGAACGGATCAATCGGGTTGCAGTCACTGGTCGGCCCTGCCTCGCGCGTTAAACATTTTGCACACCTCGCGTTCGCGTCGCGTTCGTTGGCCAAATAAAATATTGCAAATAAAAAACTGCAATAGGGGCAGTGTGCCGAATGCGGAAGTGGAAAGGGCCTAAAAATAACCACAGTCTGGCGTATTTTGCAACACTGCTCCAGTGTCAGCTGTTTGCCAATTTAACGGTTTTTACGTTTATGTTATCTTCTAGTGAATTTCAAATGTATTATCTAATACACGCATTTAGATAAATTTAAATTAAAAATAACCACACAACAAATATAAACAATCGTGGTCCTCGAATTTTGGATGACTAAAATTCTAATAAGTAAAGTTTTGTAAATCTTCGGTTTAATTTCATAAAATTAGTTATCTCCTTTCAACTAACTTCCTTTCTTTAAATTCGCACAACTAATAGTGACATATGAATATGAAGTTTTTAAAAGCCGAACGTCATCATTTAAGTTTCTGATTGGGTGTCTGTAAATGGGTGACTAATATTATTTTTTTGAAAACTCATATTTTTACAAAGCAGATTGGGAACTTGTTTTTAAAGTAAACTTTCGACTGTCACATCAAACAAGGAAATAAAACATTGCTAAAAATTGTGTTGCTTATAGTTAACTTTGGGAATTTAGCAAAAGATAATGTAAATAGTTTTTTCAAAATGACTTAGCAAGGTAAGAAAACTTGGAAAATATATTACGTATCATGATACATTTAAGGGCCGTCCATATTTCATCTAATCGTCTAGCTGGGAACATGTGGATCAGATCTAAATAATTGAATAAAAAATGTTATACTTGCAGTGCCTTATAAAATGTTTCTGATAAAAGTATGGCAAATTAATACATTTTTTAAGAAACATAATGAAAAATCATAAAATATGTAAGATCAAAAATTAAGATCTTAGCCCCAAAAGAGATCGCGTATACATTCACGCATAAACCTGACAAAACCAATTCACAAACAGGCCTGCGCATAAACGCAGTATGACGCCCGTTAGCCAACACTGCACAGATTGGAGCTTTGAAAAATCAGTCAGAAAAAGAGGTAAATTGTTAGAAATGCAGCAGTAAACGCACAAAATTAACACAAAAAAGGGATACAATGGAAACCTCGTCGAAGGAGAACTCCTCGGAGGCCGAGCAGCCGGAGGATGGGCGCCCAGCCAAGTCGGATTCGGACACGGAGCCCAACAAAATCTCGCGTTTGCTGCGAACGGAATTCGATGCCAAATACCAGATTGTAAACCTCCCGACGCCGCTCAAATGCCTTCATGTCGGGTCACTACAAGCTGAGCTTCGCCTTCCACACCCTCCGGAGTCGCCTGCCCGTGATCCTGACCAACGTGATAGACACCCTGACGCGGGACAAGACGGAGCTAGTGGCTCAGTTCGGTAGGGTGATCCCCGCAAGCATTTCTTAAAACCACCTAACTCACTACTTGACTTCCAGCCTCCAATGAATTCGCACAGGCAGCGCGGGAGGAGCTCAAGATCATCATTGGACTGATCTCCAGGCTGAAGTACGAGCTGCAGACGGACAAACCGTTTCACAATTTCACGGGAGAAGGTTGGTTACTAGGTTTTAACAGCAAATCTGTTCATAATATCCCTCCTTTTCCACAGAACCCGATCGAGAACTCTGGAACAACTTCATCAGCCTCCTGCCCGATGGCGAGCGCTCCTTCTACCGGGCCAGCTCCCTCCATGCCGAGTGCTATTTGCATCGCAAACTCCAATCCTTTCTGGAGAACAGCATCTTCCTAAAGTCCTACGATTACTTTGGCAAAATCAAAGAACAATCGCTGACCGACAACATGGAAGATGTTCTGGCCCTGACCAAATACACTCGGCGATCGGAGAATAATCTCGAAGTCTTCGACGAGCTGCTCAGGATCAACATGTGGAGCAACAGCAACGATGTGGCCTGCGATGGGGAAATAGTCAAGCAAACAAACCGCCAGGTGCTGGAGAATCTATCGACCACCGATGAGCATGTACTCGTTAACCAGGCGACGGAAATCTGGAGGTGCCTGGACAATCCAAAGCCAAAGAAACAGAAGCAGGTGGACTTTATACTGGACAATGCGGGCTACGAGCTGTTTAGCGACTTTATCCTAGCGGAGTTCATGATCGAGAAGGGACTGGCCACCAAGGTGCGCTTCCATGTGAAGGCTCATCCCTGGTTTGTCACCGACGTCACGGAGCGGGATTTCAAGTGGACACTGGAGTATCTGAGTCAGCATGCGGACTACATTATAAGTCTGATAGGCAAGAAGTTTCTGCAGTTCCTCGACGAGGGAAAGTTCGAGCTGGCACCAATCTCACATTTCTGGACATCGCCACATGCTTTTTACAGGTGGGAATTATAGATAACGCTGGATATTCAATGCTAAGGCTTATATGGAATTTAATTTACAGCATGGCTCAGACGGATCCAGATTTATACAGCTCCCTGCAGTCGTCCAGGCTTGTGGTTTTCAAGGGAGAGCTCAACTATCGCAAGCTGCTGCAGGACGTTTGCTGGAACACCACCCAGGAATTGAGCACCTGCCTGCGTGGCTTCCTGCCCAGCAATATTTGTGTGCTGCGCAGGATCAAGAGCGAAGTCATCTCTGGTCTGCCCGAGGGCGTTGGTCAGGCGCTGAGCAGGAAGGATCCACGCTGGATGGTCTCGGGCAGCTATGGGGTCATCCAGTTTGTGGACGGAACGCGTGAATTTGGATACTAACATTGTAAAGGCTGGACAGTTTAAATTATTGGTAATAAATAGTCGTTACATACCATAGAAACCAAAGAGAGTTTGAACTAACCTGAATTAAATTTGGTAAATTTTGTTTAAATTCATAAAATTCTAACATAGCAATTATTGTAACATTATTAGATAGTTTTCTCATTAAAAAATAAAGACTTCGAAACTTATTTTATTTAACTTTTTACACTTTTTACAAGGTTAAATTAAATTTAAATTTAGTACATTATGTTTAAATTAACCATTTTTCTATTAAAAACTAATTAAATTCTAACAAAGCAATTATTGTAACATTATTAGATAGTTTTCTCATTAAAAAATAAAGACTTTGAAAATTATTTTATTTAATTTTAAAATTTTTTCTATAAGGTTGGCATTTTAAAATTTAAATTTAAATGAACTATCGCCTGGGAAAGTATCGCTAGCATTTCTCATCGCCCCCAAAGCGGCCACACTACGCGCCACATTATTATCAAGTTATAAACTTTCCGCAACAGTTCGGTTTTCCATTCCAAAAACATATTCGACTGGAGCAATAACAGAACCCGTAGAGATGGCTGCCGATCCGGATTTTGACACAAAGAATGGAATCGTGGACGGACAAACCCCTCGGCACTCCGAACTGGCGGCCCTCTATAAGCAGTTGAGTAGGGCTAAATATAGCGCCTAGTATAGATGTTGTCTATAAGGCCCGCTCAAGCATATGTAACAAATGCGCGGACTTATCTTCACCCACACTCGAGAGTCTGGGAATTGGTTTATTATCATTTTAAATTTGGTTTATTACAGGAGCTTTGCCTACTACACTTTTCGTGTTCGCCTGCCCTCGACCTTGGCCACTATTGCGGATTCCCTGGTCAAGGACAAGGACGTCCTGTTGGCCACATACGGTGCAGTGAGTAGTTGGGCGCACATTTCCACTTGACCTTGGGCTAAAACCTTTGATTTGATTCCCCCCCTCGCAGGAAGCAGGCGGTGACATTGAACAAACTACAAAGGATGTTAGGGAGCTGAGGGAGGACATCCTGAGGAATGGTCCCTTGATTGCCCTTCGAGGGGCAGGGTGAGTATTTAAGGGTCCAGATTTATACCCTATTTCGTGGTCTGACATTAATTAGGGTTTTCTATTTAATTTTTATAACTGAAAGATCAAAAACCGTATTTATCCGTATTTAAAATTACCATTACATTATTACTTATTTAAAATTCAATTTTTAGCAATGACAATAGAGCCATTTTTTCCGACTTAGGCTATATTTTTTGGCCCTAAAATTATCATCACAAAATATTACTTATTTAAAATTAAATTTCTTAGCAATGACAATAGAACCATGTTCGCCGACTCAAGCTACATATCTGCTGTGGTTTTCCGAAAGTTAATGTACGGATAGTAAATTCTATTTGCGGTTTACTTTCAAAAGTATATAAAATACCATTTTTATCATCACTTCTTTTAAAAATTTATAGCTACCCACTTACTCAAGATGTTTTATTTTTCTAAAAACTAATTATTAAAATAATATGATATATATTAAATATGGAAATAAAATAGAGTAGAGGAATGATATTTATTTAAAACACCATTTTACTAATATTTAATATTTCTATAAACATACCCTTTTCTTATCAAAACAAGAGAGAACGCTATAGTCGGGTTGGTGTCCCGACTATCTAATACCCGTCACTCAGCTAAAGGGAGTGCGAACGCTGTGTCAGATTGGTGTCCCGACTAATAATCGTAACTCAGCTAAAGGGAGTGCGAGGGAGATAGATATATGTTGACAATTTATAAAGCGTATAACTTTTTAATGAATGGTCCGATTTGAAAAATGTCTTCTACATTTCGATAGGTATAAATATACACAACAAAATTGCATTTATACTTCTCGAAATATTTAAAGATGTGGGCGCAGGACCCATTTTAAAATCGTTAGTGGGCGATTGTGGGCGTTAGAGGGGGCGTGGCGCTCGGCTAAAATAAACTTGCGCTGCGTAGGAAGCCAAAGAATATGTGTGGGAAATCTCAACCTTCTAGCTTTTGTAGTTTCTGAGATCTCAGCGTTCATACAGACGGACAGACGGACAGACAGACAGACGGACAGACGGACATGGCGAGATCGACTCGGCTAGTGACCCTGATCAAGAATATATATACTTTATGGGGTCGGAAACGCTTCCTTCTAGCTGTTACATACTTTTGCACGAATCTAGTATACCCTTTTACTCTACGAGTAACGGGTATAAATATACCTAGTGATAATGAAAATGAATCCCTTTCTTCAAGATCCCGACACTCAACTGTGGAATGCATTCCTGGAGAGACTGCCCAAGGAGAAGAGGACCTACTTCTCCGCCTGCTGGCTCTACGCCGAGTGTTACATGTACCGCAAAATCTCGTCCATTTTCCGGGCCACTCACCACTTGTCCGCCCACGACTACTTTAGCCAGCAGAAGCAAACGGCGGCCAAGCTGAGCGTAGATGCCATGCTGGCGGTGGCCAAGGCGACCCGGAACAATGAGCGAAACTCGGAGACCTTCCGGCAGCTGATCAAGCTGAATCTGTGGGGCAACCGCTGCGACCTGTCCATCACCTCCGGCAAACAGGTGAAGCCCACGGGCAATGCCTTCGACCAGGTCACGGATCTGGAGGAGAAGCTGCTGATCGACGGCACGGCTGAGGTGTGGAAAGCCCTAGAAGGAGCCTCCGGCGAGGGCATTGTGGACATCATCTTCGACAACGCCGGCTATGAACTGTACACGGATCTCATCCTGGCCGAGTACATCATCGACAAGGGACTGGCGGCCAAGGTGCGCTTGAATCCCAAGGCCATTCCCTGGTTCATTTCGGACGTCATGGAGCACGACTACCACTGGACGCTGAAATTCCTGGCCGAGCATCCGGATCCGGCGCTAAAAGAGGTCGGCAAAAAGTGGCAGCGTTTCACGGCGGAAAGAAAGTTCGAGCTGGCGCCGCTGGAACACTTTTGGACGAGTCCCTACGAGTTCTATCGCATGCCGGAGGTTAATCCTTCGCTCTACAATCGCCTGAAGGAGGCGCAGCTGGTGATCTTCAAGGGCGACCTCAACTACCGCAAGTTGCTGGGCGACTTTTCGTGGGACAGCACGGAGTCCTTCGAAACCTGCTTGAGAGGTTAGTTTATCTTGTCTGGAGTTCTGTAATTATATTTATATATATTATCCCTTTTCCAGGCTTTCGTCCTTCTAATCTCTGCACTTTGCGCACGGTTAAAGCGGATCTGATCTGTGGACTGGGTGATGGTGTGGCTGAGCAACTGTTTGCCAAGGACAAGGAGTGGATGTTGACCGGGGAATACGGAGTTATACAGTTCGCCAGCAAGTAGAGGGAAGAAAAACAGGACCAGGACACGCTAATAGTTGAATTGTTGTAGTTTTAATTACTAAATAGCTTAATTGTTGATATGTAGAGTGGGTTATCCGAGGGGCGGAAAGTAATGGTATGTTGTTCACTCTTGAAAATTATATGTTGGCGGTATTTCATCTATTTTAAAATGTAATTTTTGAATCAAATTATGCCAGTATAATTTTCGCTTTTGAACTAAAAAATTATATTTTTATATTATGACTGCCATAACTAATTATACAATTAGATTTATACAAAAATTTATTTAAGCCTTATAACTGGCTTTAAAATTAAATTACTTAAATTCAAAGTATGATTTGCAATAACTGCCCTTGAATATCCTATAACATATTTAATATTTTTGGTGAAGATCTTGGTTTTTTTACATAAAAAAGAGAATCAAAATTGTAAAACTACACTATATCTTTCCGTTCTTAAGAACCCACTCTTTATAAAGCCTTTTGCATTGTTATAAAAGCACACAAACTCACACATATGAACGTCAGTTGCCCAGCGGGTGACTGAAAATTATAAAAATCTCAATTTGGAATAGTAAATTTCTACTGACAGAGGCAGAGGGTTTCGAAATTCCCAGTTTCCCGCAGGATGCAAAGTGGGGCCAGTAGTCACACCGAGGTGACGGATACCACGCTTGTGGACCGTCAGGCGGCCATGGAGCAGATGAAGGAACTGCGATTCAACGAGAAGAATCTAATAATTTACACTCCACCCGGAACGAATGAAGAGCTATCCGCCAGATTTCTGCACAGCTTCGCCTTTGCCACGTTTAAGCGAAGATCGCCCGGACTTATACGCGATCTGATCACTTTTCTGCGGGATCGAGAGCCGGAAATTATGAAGGAGTGCGGGGATTATGCCCACTTTGAGTTGAAGCGCACCATTCTGAGTCTGGAACTGCTCCGCGGTGAGATTATCAACAACGACGGGTTCGAGATATTCCGGGTAAAGGCTCCCGACACCGAGAGTTGGAATCAGTTTCTAAAAAACCTCAGTGAGGACCGAAGGCAGTGGTTCTCCGCCGTTTGGCTGCACGCCGAGTGCTACATGTATCGCCGCATTTGGTCTATATTTCAGCGCTCGGAAACCCTCGCCAACTATGACTACTTTGGTGATCAGAAGATGTCGGCCGCCAGGAATGTGACGCCTCAGATGAAGGATATCCTGGTGGCCACCAGAGGACTGCCGCGCAGCAAGGAAAACTTTCAGCATCTGCTTAAACTATCCACCTGGAGCAATCGCTATGACCTGTCCAACACAGATGCCTGTCCGGATGCCAGGATATTTAAAAGAATTACCAGATACGACAAGGATCTGCTGGCCGATCAATCGTCTGATATATGGACGGATCTCACGGAGGCCTGTGATCCCGTCTACGTGGACATTGTGTGTGATAATGCGGGTTTTGAGCTCTTTGCGGATCTTGTGCTGGCCGAGTACATCATTGAATCGGGTTTGGCTAGACGGGTGCGCTTCCATTTGAAGGCTATTCCCTGGTTTATATCGGACGTAACCCACAAGGACTACCTTTGGCTTTTAAGCTACTTTTGCAAGCATACATATCCCGAATTTAAGGCTTTTGGTCGCAGGATACGCGGTTATATACGCGATCGTTCGTTTATCCTGTGCGAGAAGAGCTATTTCTGGACTAGCGGCCATGACTATAGCCAGATGAAGCGGTTTCTGCCCTGTCTGTATGTCTACATCAGCGAGGCTGCCCTGGTGATCTTCAAAGGTGACCTCAACTACCGGAAACTACTGGGTGACATTAACTACGAACCAACGGCTGAGTTTTCCGACTGCCTGCGCGGCTTTCAGCCAACCAGCGTCTGTGCCTTGCGAGTCATTAAATCGGATATCTACTGTGGCCTGCCCGTCTGCACGGTGGACTGGCTAAGCGAGGACAATCCCGAGTGGATGACCACAGGCCAAAAGGCCGTCATTCAAGTGGCCATTAAGCATCGTCTGTCCAGTGACTTTCTAGTTTGATTTACAAAAAAATCTTATTCTTGGATAACTCAATCGCTATTGTCGTTTTATTTAATTGTATCTCCTAAATGGTAGGCGGTGTAAGTCGTTAAAATAAGTATTGCAATCCGTATTATAGACTACAACTAAGCATTATCAAGTAAGTATGAATGGTAGAAAAATATGTATGCCATTTAATAGCTATTTATATATTTATATGTACGATCGCTGCGATGCTTCGAATTGTTTCAAGTCTTATCAATTGCCGTTACAAGAAAATCAGGGCAAATATTAAATAAAAGGAGGAAAAAAAAAAGAATTTCTATTATAATTTCATGCAATTTCTCTTTAGCTTTCTTCGTACCAATCATCTTCCGCCTTTCTTGCGTTTTTTTCGTATTAATAATTAAATAAAATCCAGTAAACTAAATGGATATTCTGCGTTTCGTTTGGAGGGATTGCTGGCCGCTGGAACTCACAACACGCAGTTGGGATTGAGCTGCTGATATGGCGTCAGATCTTTGGTGATCGAGAAGAGCGCTCCGTCGCGCACCATTTTGCAGATGAGGGCGCCCAGGTTCTTGGCATCATCGATTCCGGAGTGAGCTCTTCCCTCGAACGCCAGGCCCACGTGCGACAGGGCGTCGGTGAAGTTGCACGGCTTGTACTTGTACCACGACCTATACACCGCCCTCACATCGATCCACTGATTGAAGTAGGCTCCCTTGCGCATCCGCTTGCGGGTGCACTCCTTCGCCAGGCAGATCCCAAAGTCCCAGTCCGTCCAGGTGGCAAAGGCGCAGTTCCCCAATATATTGGACTTGTTCATCTTCGGCAAGGTGAGGTTGCGGGCACGCAGCTCCTTGCGCAGCCACTCGTGGAACATCATTAGCGCCGTCTGCAGCGGCACTCCGCTGTCCACCGTCTTCTGCTGGATGCCCGTCAGCTCTGTACAGTAGGCACTCAGGCGGGGCGACTCGATGGGCAGGATGTACTTGTGGAATTCGGCCTCAATCTTGCCGGTTTTTACATTGACCAGGACAGCTGGGAATTCTAAAGGCAATAGATAAATTTAGTTACTATTTTGTAAGTAAGAAAATAGATTTAATTTCCTCACCAATAATCTCCGCCTCTCGCCATTGAGGTGGCGCCTGTTTCTCCCAGCAGGTGGCCTCAAAATCCACCGCAATTACATAGGTATAGGGCTGCATGGCCAGCTGCTTGGACTTGCGCTTCTTGATCTTAATGGGAACTGTGTTGGCTGCTGTGATTTCGGCTTCGTTGAGCGACTCCTCGGGTTCGTTGACTGGATCTGGCCGAGCTCCGTCCACATATATGGTATCAATTAGGCCCAGTTGTCTGGAAAACCAATAGGAAATATAAGATTTATTTTTATAGGGTTTTTTTTAAAGATTTTTGTTGGAAATTTTGTAGAAAATGGGTTAGTTATTTTCATAGCTATTTTGCCAGCTGACCTGAGTATACAAACACACGAGAATGAAGTTTACTACAGCTACTGCTACGAAATACTTTTATAAATTGAGAAGAATCCTAACCTCCTCCCTGGTATTTTCAGTGATTCTATTGCTGTTTGCCATAGCAAACGATCATGGGTTTGTTGTGCCACAAAAGACCATTGGTTTCGTTGAGGGCTTGAGCTATAATTTCAGGTTCCTCCAGTCTGAGGAAGGTGACGAATGCCTGGCCCTTCATGCGACCCTGCTGCATGACCTTGATTTCCAAATTATCTGGTGTTGTGTATTTAGAGTAGAGTTCCCTCAGCTGAGCTTCAGCCACGCTCTTGTCCAGGTTCTTAATGTAGAGCTTATTGCTGGGTTCCCCTATTTTGTAGTTCTTATAAACGGGCAGAGATTGGAGTTCGCTGGTGGTTAAACGCCCTTCTGGCTTTGAGGTGGATGGTTTTAGGGTTTCCGGCAGTTTCAGTTCGATTTTGGGTGGCTTAACAGTGGGTTTTTGGATTGGATCTTGTTTAAGCTGGGAGTGACTGGCTTGTTGGGCAGCCTGCTGCAACATTTGGCGGGTTCTCTTGAGGATCTTTTCGCTGGAAGCTGCTGGGAGCAATCTCTGTCGCTTAACCTTCGCTTCCTCCTCATCCTCGCTCTCCAATTCGCTTTCCGGTTCACTGGCTACTTCCTCCGTTTGGGTGGCTACATTTTGGTGATACTTCTGGACCAACAAGCCAGTGGAGCGCTTCTCAAAGGGAGCCTCCAGATTCATGCGATTCATCAGGTGCAAAACTTGTGTATAGAAGCGCGGATTAGTCTGCAGATTCTGGCCAATCCTGGCCAGAATATCCCCATTGATGGGTGGGTAGCTATAGCTGAGATATGGCGGCGGCGGCTGTGTGAAATCAGACTGACTATTGCAGGCATAAAGCCTGCGAACGTACTTTTCGATTTCCGGTTCCTGTTTCTGGGCTGCTGAAGCCGCCGTTGTCTGTGTGGATTTGCTGGCATCGGTGGCTCCATCGGCTCTTTGTTTCGGTCCAAACATACTGATGTACAGCGGTTTGTCCAGAATTTCACTGAGTCCTTGAAGTTGCCTGAGGGCTCTTTCCGCCTCATCGGGATCCTTGTACTCGATGAGCACCCTCTTCCGGCCGTAAGTGTTCAGCGATCGCGGCAGGATGAACTTGCACTCCTGGATCAGCTGCGCCAGCTCGTCCAGGGTGCAGGGCATCCTTCGCATCAACAGTTTGCAGCTGGAAACGCTCATCTTCGTCAGAATTTTCAAGGATTTTCGCGAATTTTAATAGCGCATGCGGGAGGTTTGTATTTTAAATTGGTGATGTTAAATAACATCGATACTTATCGATGATTTCTCCATGTGTTTGCAGACCGCGTTGCCACCTAGCCGAAATTTGGTGATAAGGCTGGCGGGATTTTTAAATTTAGTTTGCCACAAACTCTTGTTTGGTCGATAAACTCAGGTTGCATAAAGCAAATGCCGACGACTTTTACTTTCACTAATTGCACCGGTTATCTCTCAATCAGATGGCTATGACTCTATTTTTGTCTGTTGACGAAAATTAAAAAAAAATACAATCAACATTTAAAAAAAAAACATGATAGTTATAAGTTATAACTATAAGTTTTAAATAACACTTTTCGAAATTTTAGAATATTAAAATAAGTTACGAAATAAAATGTTCGTGTAATATAAACGAAATTTTTAACATAATCTTACATAACAAATATAATCCCACATAAAATTTTAGAAGTTTTAAAAATCCCAGAAAAAATTAGATAATTGTTAAGTTTATAACAATTATGCTGAATTACGAAATGTATTTATTTAAAAAGTAATATATAAAAATGTATCAAAGAAAGTTTCAGTTACAGAAATTCAACTGTGCATCAAAAATGATATCAGTCTGCAATGGGGACTAAGTAGCAAAGGACAAATAACCGAATCGCGTGCCATCGCCGGATAATCGTACGACCACCGGCACTATACTATAAATTTTAAATGCATTAACTCCCCGTTGGGGGTTTTCTCGGCTGATTAGATCATTTTAGCGGACCTACTCTCAATTCGATTAGACTAATTTTTCTATTTTCCAAATGCCAAATGGACAACAGCAGCCTCCGGAGTCAATGCACTTTTGGCGCACGCTCGGCGCATTTAATAAAATTGAATTACATATGAAAAATGCCTGACATGATCTGCTTTTTGATATATGGCACACACAAAGTGGTTATAAAAAGATCAGCGGCAGATTGCATAAAATTTGCAATGATTAAATGGACAAACGACCAGAAAGGGGGGCGAAATGCAGGCGGACATCGTCGCACTTTCGCTTTTTACTGGCTTTTTGGGGGCGGCGGTGGTGGTGAACCATATGCGGAAGTCCACTTTCGCACAAACAATACGAAATTGGATGAATGAACTCTGTGTCTCGGGCAGCCTGCACGGCGCAAAAAATAAAAAAGGAAAAGCTCTTTTAAATTTACTTTTACTTGCGCCAATTGAAACGAGTCCGCGCCGTCGGCTTTGCATTCTAAGTGACTTTAATGGGTTAAGCTATATTTAGAAAATTGCAACAAATTGCCAAGTAGGCGGAATGCCAGTGGAGCACAGAAAATTGCATGCGGAAAAGAGGTTAACTGGGGGAAGGATCAATTGGAAATGGAAATCGACCAAAACAGGATTGAACAACAAGGATTGCTTTGGTGTTTCATAATGGACAGAGTGTAAGGACCTTGGAAGTTTGTATGTGAATTTAAGGAACTGTTTATTTTACAGAGAATAATTACACATACTGTTTTCCCTTCACGAATTGTTCATTATTTTCTTGTAGTTACAGTGAAAAAAATTTTTAAATTAGTTTTAAATGTTTTTATACATCTTAAAAGTGCTAATTTTACTAAATATTGGTTTTCACTAGTTTCGATTTATATTTTTACTACTAACTCACAAAAGCTGAGCCATTTAAATTATATCTGGCTTTAAAATTGTTTGCGTTCTTAAACTTATTAGAATAATAGCCCTTTGGGTATTCTAGTTTATAGTTTGCCATTTCCCCCATTTAAATTTCCACACCCACTTGGTGTTTCACTTGAAAGAATCCTGAGTCAGCAACAGGTTTTCCAATTGGTCACCACCTCACCGAATTGTTCGCCAAGTGATGACAAGCCCCTTTTTACACATTCCATTAATTGGCCAACGAAAATGGCAGTAAAGTGCAATGTTCTTTTGTCGCCAAACAATGTAGCAATGTAGCTGTAGTAATTACAAATCACACTACTGAATAGCACTATTAATTAGCTATATATTACCCAAAGGCCCGAACGACAACTGACCGATTTTTGTAGGCGGTATAATGAGTTGGCCAAATGAGAAGCGTGCCTTAGCTCAATGGAGCTAACAAAATAAAATACCCAATAATTGCCTATAAATAGACCGGGGGTTTATTGCCAACTTTATGAAAGGAAAACAAAATATGGAAAATTGGAAAACAAAAAAAATAAAAATAAAATTTGCTAGAGCGAATTTTAAATGCAATTTAATACAAAGGCATTTTGAAAGAATTATCTTTTAAGAATCATTTTACGGTCCTCAAAAACCTATTTTAGACTATGCATATTTTCCCCAAAGATTTTTACTGCATTTTAGGGTAAACTGAAGGTCCAACACATTGGTAAATATTAAAATGATCTGTTTAGATTTTGTAGTATTACCCCAAAAAAAGTTTTTCATTGCCCTTATTTATTCCTTGGCTTTTTAGTTTTCTCTTAAATTGTTTTTAATTTTTTCCAATTTGTTTAAACACTCAAAATAAAACCTTTCAGCCTAGAATATCATGAAAATGTTATACCATTTATAAATAACGATGATAATGGTCTCTAGAAGAATCAAGGGGCACCCCTTGCATTTAAAACATTATCGTGCATGGCAATTGACTTCCCCTTGGGCTCGCTAATTGCCACTTGCAGAGGTATTTATTTATGTGGGGTATTTATTTACGGATGATTACCGTCAAGGTCCTGGAGATGAGACGACTGACATGACTTGAGGCCGGGCTTATTGCAATTGATAGAAATTAGCAAGTAAATATAGTGGAGGGAGGGGATCATCGCCGGGGCATTTTAGCTGGGGCAAATGATATATATTTATTGCGCATACGCCCCGAGTGCCGCGTTCGAAACGGAGGCGCGTGCATAAAAATTCTATAGAGCCCTGAGTCGGGCCAAAAATGAATGACGACCTTCTTTGGCTCTATTCAATGGAGGGAACTTTTCCCCTATTCCCCCCATTTTCCAGTTCGTTTTGAATATAATATTGAATATTCAGCTGCAGTATACCCTTGATTTGTTTTCGGTTCTCGACCAGAATCACAGTCGTAGTGGTGGCGACGTGGAATGCAGTTGTATCGGTAGTTCATTCGGTATATGGGTATCTGTATCCGTGAGTTTCGTGTGCGCCATGCTCTTGACTTTGGATAAGTTTGGTGAAAACTGCTTTCAGCCGGATTTCCCGCACTCTGTAGCCATCAGAAAACCAGACCCCGATTGCCAGCCAATGTCTGGGCATCGAATTGCGCTAAACGTTCATTGGTCAACTCTCCCCCGAGTTGGCAATCTTCTCGAGAAATACTCTAAGATCGGTCAAAAGATAGATCAAATCGCACCGTTTATTTCTAAGGAAATCACACTGTATTTGTCCACAGTGTATAAAGTCTTCGATGTGGTTTTTTATTTCTCCAACCAATTGCTCTATTTGATCTTTAATTTGTGCGCAGCAAATTTAGCGGTATGTGTATGCGTTTGATTCAATTGTTCGAAATTATAATCTATAAAGTGAGCAATAATAATAAATTTATTTGATTTCTGCTCCACGCAAACGGGTTTCTACTGTTTCGGCATGCCATCAATTGAGAAAGTTCTCACAGCTTTATTTACGACTATTATAAAATTGACTGTAGATGTGGATCCGTGTTTAGCCATTATAATGTTGAAACTAAAAGTAATTTTCCTACTTAATAACAGACTGTCATTGTCAACGATTTGGAATCGTGATATACGAGTATTTAATTGGGGAGGGGTTTTGTAAGGGGAATTATAAATGAATTCTTTTTTTTAGCGGTTATTTTTGAAGCCACCTATATCACTATGGACGGCAGTCCATGTAGTGACGAAGCGCACCAGGAGAGTGTGCGAAGGCGACTACTATATATACACGAAGAAATGAAAATCTAGTGTGATGGTCCGATCATAATGAATGATACACCAATCGAAAGGTATTGCAATAACTTAAAGGATTGCATACCAAGACTTTAAGAAAACAATTGGCTTGGGAGAGAGCGTGAAAGTGAAAAAAGAAAATTTCGAAATTTGGAGCTGTTGGGGCCGGTGGGGAGAAATGCCCCTTCGCAATGTTTTAGTTGTATTCCTATTGAAAATACCCGTCGAATAAGGGGTCATTTGTCAAAATCCGACGCTCCGTTCAAAAGTTATAGCCAAAATAAGATTTCCCTTCTTCCCAAAATAAAATTTAATTCTGTTTGTCAGTTTGTCAGTTTGTCAGTTTGTCAGTTTGTCAGTTTGTCCAAAACATGTTTCTTAAGTTTTGAAAATTTAATATGACGTTCATCCCATCGATATAAAAAACTTTTGTTCTACCACTTTTGGAAAAACTCGCAGTTTAGGGAAAACAGCTATAAATAGCTAAAATTCGGAAAGCCGTAACTTCTATACTACTAAAGCTACAGACTTGTGCTGCATCTTGTTTGAAAGGTATTTTTAAATGCTATAAACGCCTTCTATATGCAATTTGTGTAAATGTAATAATTAAAAAGATATGAACAAAAGACAATTTTTAAAACTTTTTTAGCTTTTTTTTTTCAAAAACGGCTCTAACGATTTTCTTGAAAACTTTAAACTGTATAGCCCTTGACATTCCTTAAATTTTGGTATATAACACATTACTGTAAAAGTCACGTTTAAAAGTTATTTTTATACGAAAATAGCCACTTTTGCCAGCTCGAACAATTAACGCTCCCTGAGTATTGAATTTTGTGGGAGGGTATCCGAACTGCATTTTAGGGTCATGGAATCAGTAAATTTGCACTTAAGAGTTCCATATAGGAATCTTTGTTCTACGACTTTTGGAAAAAGCCGCTACTTTAGCGGGAAAAAGCTAAAAATAGCTAAATTTCGTTAGTTCGTAAGTTCTATACTACTAAAGGTACAGACATGGCTATACCTTGTTTAAAAGGTATTTTGAAATACTTCAACGCCTTTTAACTTAATTTGTTAAAAATACAATAGTTTAAAAATTATGATTGACCAATTTAAATTTAAATGTATATATTAGCTCCTATGAGAGCAAATGTAAACAAACAAAAACTTCGATATCAAATAAAAACACCTTAACGAGGTAAAACGGACGACCGCACCTTCAACATACAAAGTTCTGATATCAACATTTGTGACGAAAAAATACACTCGTCATTAAATAGACTTCTAATCTTTTCCATTCGTCACGCTGCAATAGAAAATGCCTGTAAAGGAAAAAGGCTGGAATAGTTTGCTAGGGCGGGCCGAATGAGAAAATATTAGAAAGTCTATTTAATGACGAGTGTAATAATTTTTCGTCACAAATGTTGATATCAGAACTTTTGTATGTTGAAGGTGCGGTCGTCACTAGTTTTTTACCTCGTTAAGAGGTGTTTTTATTTGATTTTTATGATAAAGAAATCTTGATTTTCTGTATTATGTCCATTTATAAGTGCTAGTACTGCATTTTAAGGTATTCTAAAACATTACAATGTAAGCAACTGGGGAAAAGAGGGTTGGGCGTATTTGTTTGTTGGCTTTCCAAACAGGTTTGTGTGGGAATGAAAACTAGAATACGGCGCCAAGTGTGACAAGTTATGAAATTGCGCAATTTTGCACTCGCTTATTATGGGGATTACTAAGTTTACTCACGAGTGGATGGCCAGGACCTCCCATTGATCGATCAGGTGCATTTTGGCCAAGACAAAGGACGCGCTTTCCTATCAATCGACGATCATTTCTCAAGACAATATACGACTTTTCTAAAGTGGAATGACAATTCGAACTGACACCGATGGGAGACTATTTGGATTTATGGTTAGCAAAAGTATAAAGCACAGATCTTGATTGGAAGCTTTTATTTCATCGCCGTTACTGTTGTTGTTGTTGTTGGTTCAAAGTTTCCATTTATAGAATACTACGCATTTCAATTAATAAAATAGTCATAATTAAATTAAAGAGTCGCCAGCACGAGTCGTATAACAATAAGATTACCCACATACGACGGGCATAGTGAGAAAATACGATCCATATTTGCAGGGTGCTGGTATTTACATAGTAACTCGAGACCATGTCGTCATATAGATTACACGCTTTATCAATGCAGCCTCCCGTTTTACTTTTATTACATTTTCATTGTGGCCCACAAAAGTTTCCATTGCACATCTATATAGTATATGGTATATGGTATACATATATGTTTCGTATGTGAGATGTGCAAATTGAACTAGCAGGTCAGGCGAGGACATATTGGGGCCATCGGGTTGAGATACAGTCACATTCTTTGTGGATACAATCTGCTGTACTGCTGCACTTCTACAGCTTCCACTTGGGGACTGTCATCCGTCATCCGGCTAGAGAAATCTTGGGAGTGGAGAAGCCCCCTTTTCCGTTCCAATTACACTCAATTACTGGAGTACCATCCTAGGAACTGCGATCTCTCAATTGCTCAAAGGCTGGGAGTTATTTTTGGACCCTTAATTGGAATTGCCAGGGGATGAGTCAGGCTGCAGCCATGGAAAATTCATTAGAAATCAGGTACAAATAGAGAATCTCAACTGCAGAATAAACCGCCCTGAACCAGCTCCAAACCAATTCGCAATGGAATGACTCGAGCATTTGTGTTTGCTATTAATCCATGCTGTAATCTAAATTGCATGCGGCATTGCTATATAGCATGTAGGATAGTCCCGATTTCCGATTTTCGCATTACTGATTCCTGAACACGCGGCCAATCGCCAATCAGTCAGCGGGCCATCAATCAACTGATCGCATATTTAACGCCTCTGCGCCGCTTGATTAATTTAATAATGTGTGATTTGCGATTGTTTACTTTGCAAGCGTAAACAAAGTAAACAGCATAAAAATATACACCCAATCGAAGTCAATGATGAATGGGTAATTACGACGACGTTGGAAATTCAATGCCCAGATATCTAGTGCTTATTGTTTCAGTCGTTGTAAATGTTTGAAAAGGCAACAAACGAAATTGAGACGGTAAATAAATGCAATAGGGGGTTGTCTTTATATCAGAATTAATTGAGTAGGATTATCGTAAGATTTTTTACTCCTAGTTTATTATTATGCAGTTCAGTTGCATTTTAGATTATCATTATCTTCAGTTTTGTGCTGGTTCTTCTTTATGGTTAGCTATTTCTTGATTGAACTGCTTATTCTTTGGGTGAGAGACCCTACTTATAATTAGTTTTTACCAGTTACAAAACTGGTATTTCAAATGTTCCTTGAATATCTGCCAAATAAATGTGGAATTCAGAACAAGGATGTTTATTTTTGTGTTCTTATAAATATATTTAAAATCGTTAATGATTTATGCATTAACCAATCTGTAAATCGTTTTAAGATTTTTATAAAATTAATATAAAGATACATATATTCATAATTTATTTTTATTTTTCTACTAAAAAACTTGATCTACCACCCTATAGCTATTAATATAGTCACTGATTTCTAGAGTGTCTGAGTACTTTTTGCGATATCTGAAGTGCGTTTCAGGGGCGTTAAAGTGCATTGACCAACATCAATATCAACAACTCGGCGCTGGGGAAATAAATATTTGCCTTAAAGTTATTACACGGCCTCAAGCGTTTTGCTGTTGACCAAGTGGGAAAAAACAGAAAGGCCAGGGCCGGATTTTCCAGAATTCAGCATTTTCTTTTCGGCGGAAAAGGAAAACGAAAAATGGGGTCAGTTCAGGTCAGCCTGTCAGGCTGATGAGGGCCAAGAAAAATCAATTTTCGGGGGAAAACCCCCTTTTTTAGGGCGAAACTCCGCCCCTGGTTGGCTAAATTGCGGTTTGTTAAGTGGTAAAGCAAAGAAAGAAAAGGGGACCAAACGGAAAAATTCCTATATTTAGATGGGTAGGTACTATTATCAAAGACTCACCTTGCCAGTCTTATCAAGGCCATTTTTGTTGCTCGACTTGATTTGATTCCTTCGATTGCGATATAATTGACTTTTCTTTTGGCAGGACTCTTTATTTATGATATTCGAAAATTCGACAGTTTATTTATTTACTTTCCTCCCTTTCCGCTTTTTGTTTTTGTTGCTTTTTTGGCAGTGCAATGCAAGTAACGGTAACTAGGCGAAATCTCTTTTGTTGTCTGCTCACACACACACGCGAGTACAAAACGCAACACACACACAACGCACACAAGGACAGTTTTTCAGCCGGCACAACAACAACGCTGCTCTTTTTCGATATTTTAATGGTTTATTTCTATTTATTCAACTCGTTTGTTTACATTTTCCCACACGCACAGCAGCTATCTTCTCTTGATTCTTTTGTACAACTTTTCAGCCCAGAGCATTTGGTGTATTGCAGGTATTGCAGCTGGAAATTGCAATATTATCGCAATTTAACCGGTCAATAAAAAGTGAACTTTTGTTATTTGCATTATGTGCGCCCTGGCAGCTCTGCTTGTCGAGTAGTTTACTGTAGTTTTCGATCGCGGTCCGCATTTATTATTCGGTTTTAACTCGCTCGGAGCCCGTTCACAAGTGCAGCGGCATCAAATCGGAAATATATATGCTATAGCTTGATTTGAGTTTGTGGTCAGGCGGCCAGCTGTTCTAGCCGAGACGGGAACCCGCAGAGGAGCTGCCATCATATGTAAATCCGAGAAACTGACCAGCACAGTTCCCTTTTCGGCCGCACTGGCGCTTAAAAATCAGAAATATTAAGGGGATTCACCCATGTCTTGGTTTTTTCGAAAAATTGTTTTTCAAATCGTGGTCACCAGTTGAAAAAATGTGGTTTTAGAAAAAATCGTTTCAGTTACAATCGTTACAGAAGCAATTTATGCAATAAAAAGATTAAACATTTTTTTTATTGAATTTTTATTATTTTCTCTCTCGCTTTATTAATTCATATATTTGTAAAATAACTATATTATTATTCATTTTTAAAATCAAAGAAGTGTTATAGGTATATGAAAACTTTAAGCCCTAGCAAACTCCTAGACTCTACCGAACTCTGCAGAAAACTGGTTACTGGAATATTATTCTTAATCATAGAAGGTTTACTTTCGGCCCTACTTGAAATCCACATTGGCTTAAGATTCAAAGTCATCGTTCAAGTCAAAACAAAATATAGAGCGATTTTATAGGACTCTGTTCTTATTGTTATTCATTGCGGAGTTGGCCACCATTGCAGAAATGCACTTTAAAAACATAATAAATCAAAGTTGTTTTTGAAGGGGTGATAGATAAACACCCGAACCCAGCGAAAAAAATGGAAATTAATTAACGTATATCTGAAGAATATCCTAATCAAGTTGGCTGCTCCTCTGCTCTTTTCAAGTCCCCTCTTTTAGTAAATGCGCTCGTAGAAGAGCAGATAGGCCTGGGCCTTCAGCGCCGTGTCCTCGCTGACTTCCTGGACGCGCGAATCGGACACGTAGTACCATTTGCCGGGCGGCGCCTGCACATGAGCGGCCTCCTCCTGCGGCGACGACGGCTGCTCCTCCAGCGGCGTGGGCGGGGCATCCACCTCGTCGGAGGTGGACGAGTTGCTGCTGGAGTTGGTAAAGTCATCGCTGTCGTCCATCGCCCGCAAGTGCAAATCTCGCGCCTTCTCCTTCGCCAGCAGCTCCTCCAGTTTCTTCAGTTGGTCGTCGTCCTGATCGAGCTCCGCCTTGCTGCCGTGCGGCAGGAACTGCCACCTCTTGTCCTCCGGCGTCACCTTGGGCCGCACCTTCACGTACGCCGTGTAGTGGCCGCCGTACATTCCGCCGGAGTGCTCCACCACGCCATAGAGAGCGTACAGCAGCTTCTTCTGCTTGCGATCGATGTTCGGGCAAATTCTTGACCTTGGATCCGCAAAAGGCGGCAATGTCCAGCAAATTCGGATAGCTGACGGGGCGTGTCAGCTTGCGGAAGATGCAGCGCGGTCCCAGCTGGAAGCGCTTCAGGTGCAGGATGAGCACCGCCGGCGGGCTGGAGACCAGCAGCTGCTTGGTGGCATTGGTGTTCACCGACTTGGCCTTCGGATCGCTGCCGTTGATGCGGAACGTGCAGCTGTCGCAACCCACCTTGTTCTGGCCCGTCATCAGCTCGACGCCGGTGAAGTTGTTCATGCAGGACTGCACGGAGCACTCGCCATCTTCGCACTGGTAGCGCGGTGCGATTGTGGTGCTCCAATCCGAGTAGCTCTGCGTGCGCACACGCTTCGCGCGGGCTTGGGCTTGGGCTTGAGCCAAGGCTTGGGCCTGAACCTCGGCTTGGGTTTGGATTTTCGAAGGCTCTCCTTCCTCTGCTGCTGCTGCTGCTCCATTGGTTCCATTGGCCTGCTCGGCGCCCACAGAGATCTGGCGGATCAGCGAGGCGCCCTTCTCCGGAGAGGCCTGCACTCACCAGGCTCGCTGGGGCAGAGGTTTCTTCTGGAGCAGCCGAAGATCCAGACGATCCGGTTCCCGGATCCCGTATTGTTGTTGGCTATCATATTGGTTGCAGTGGGTGCGGGACTGTTGGCAATGCCGGAGTCTGGAAAAAGAAATATGGGTTGTGCATTTTAACTAGTAGAAAATAGAGCCTTGCGTGAATCATTCAATTTTTGTTTTATCATAGTATGCGATCAAATTTCTGGTTTGTTTAATTCAATTCTATGTGAAATAAATTGAATGTTGAATGTTGAATTGAATTGAATTTATTTCGAATTGAATGCATAAATGAATAATTTTTATAAATTTTTTGAATTTGCCAGATTTTGTTTTGTTTCTTCTTTTGGAAACAAAAAGTGGCAAATTTTTAACAAATCAATGTAAACTGCTTAGTAAATAAAATTCAGGCAGATTTAACACAATGGCCCATTCTTCTTTAAAAGAAATTTTCGTTTGAATTATTTCGGAATTCATGCCATTCATTCATTCAATATTATTAAACAAAAAAAAAATTCAAAATAATTCATTCAATCTCTTTATATTAAACTCAAAATTCAAATTAATTCAATTCATATAAAACTGAAAAAAATTCCAAATAATTCATTGATATCAAACAATTATGCAAGGCTTATTCTACTAGAAAACATTCATATTATAACAACTCACCATTCTCCTCCTCCTCGAGCGAATCCTTGTCCATGTGCTCCGGCGTGTCGTCGCGCTTTTCACCCAACGGCTGGGCATTGCCGTTGCTGTCGGTGAAGAACTTGGGCTGAGCTGTCGACTCCTTGGTCGCCTTCCCGCTGGCTGTGTCCTCCACCAGATTGTCCTCTACATCGGCATCGGACTGCTCCGAGGTAGTCACGCTGGACGAGGTGGTGTCCTCGGCTTGGTCCTTGGGCTGTTCGGACCCCTCATTGGGCTGGCCATCGCCGGCTCCCTGGGCTCCACTGGCCGACAAAGCGTTTGGCTCTCCGTTGTCAGCCAAACCATTTCCGCTCTCATTCCCGTTCAGCTTTAAGTTCAACTTCTGGGCCTGCTTGTGGCGCTGGTGTTTGGCCGCCCGCTTGGCCTTGCGCTCGCGCTCCTTCTCCTTCTTCACCTGCGACTTGGAGGGGCCCAGCGATCCCTCCTGATCGGCGTGCAGGAAGAAGGAGGACGAGGGTGCGGCAGTAAAGTTGACGCTACCATCCGAAAACTTGGTGTTAATCGCCGGCTGACTGGTGGTCGAGCTGCTAGCTGCCACGAGAGAAAGCTCCGGGCTCGGTTTTCGGCGCTGAGGCGGCTGGGGCTTCTCCACCGCCACGGGCAGCGACATGTCCAGGAAGTACTCGTGCCGCGAGGAGACGCTGTGGCAGTCCTGACACGTCAGCGTGGACACGAGGAAGCCGCGGAAGACCTGCTCCGGGCGCAAGATGCGGTCGCCGGCCTGATTGCCGTAGATCTTGCACTTCTGCCGCATCTCCTCGGACACGCTGTTGATGTCCTGGTCCTTGTAGCCCAGGCTCTGCAGGATCACGCGCTGGTAGCGCTTTAGATCCTCGTTCCGCACGCTCTCCAGCAGCTGGCGCAGAAGCTCGTGCGCATCGTGCTGATCGCCGCCCGTGAACTGCGGACACTTCAGGCACAACTTGTCGAAGAGTCGGCTGGGCGTAAAGACGCTGCCGCCCGCCTGAAGCTCCTCGAGGGCATTGGCCAAAGGGCGGCAGTGAGTCCGCCCCAAGAGGAGAGGCTGCCCTTGATCATGGGCAGCTCAATGTCGCCTTTGTCTTTTAGTTTAAAGGTGCCGCCGGGTAGAACGAATCTGCAGGAGGGAGATCCAGTTAGATATATATAATTATTCGGGGCTTGGAATTTAACACACATGTTAAAAACATGTAAAATTGTATTTTACAGTGTGAGCAAAGTTTTTGACATGTGTTGAAATGTGAAAAATAATTGTTAGCACACACAGCTCACTCGTGTTTTTTACACAATGTGTTTCTAACACAAATGAAAATTACATTATATGGACATAAAACGAATCGAAAGGAAAATTAAGAATAATATATCTTAATTGTTATTTTAAACCGTTTCAAAGTATATATTTCTGGCGTTTTAATGTCAAAAGCTCATTGTGTTAAAAACACGTTCTGTAAAAAACACATCGTCTAAATAACACAAATAAACTGTGTGTGTTATTTATGTTTCTAACATATGTAAGCTACAATTTTTTACACACATGTCAATAACTTTTTTTGAACTTAACACTTTGACATTTAAAATGTTAATAACGAAAGTTTTTTACAGAGCGTGTTATTTTCCGAACCCTGAACCCAACTTACTCTTCTCCTGGCTCCGACAGCTCCCTCAGCACACTGAGTAGGAATGGCGTCTGGGCGAGGCACTGCATCACCGCGTTGAAGAAGCAAGTGTTGCCCAGGTTGGTCAATCCCCGCACCCTGGGCAGTCGCTCCAGTTCGTTGCGCGGCATCTCGAGGGTCAGCAGTCGCCGCTCCACCGGCTGGTTGGTAATCCTCTTGGCCATTCCCGGCACACCTGAGTTTTGCGGCGGTGGTGGTGGCATCGGAATGGCCACCTGCCGACCTCCGCCGCCTCCCCCGTCGCTTATAGATCCCCCTGTTATGGGCACCATGGGCGTGAGGTGCTCCAGCGTAGACTTGATCTTCTGTTCGATGTTGCTGATGGTGGGCGGCATCTGGGCCAGTCGCTTGACCAGCTCCACGCACTCCAGCAGGTTCTTGCGCAGATTGGAGCCGATCTTGGTGTCGCAGGCGTAGCACCAGATGTCGAAGGTGCGCGTGTTCATGGCCAGAGCATGCGAATCCGAGTGGGGCGTCTGGTAGTGCTCCAAAGCGTGCTTGTGATGAGCCCGACCGCACAGCTGGCTGCCGCACTTGAGGCACAGCCACAGCGTGCTGTCGAACTCAAAGTCGCCGGGCTCGCCGCCAGATCCATCGGTGGATCCGCCCTTCTTGCCCAGCTTTTGGCACTGCGAGCACTCGTAGACGAGGCCCGTGGACTTCAGGAGACGCCTCAACCGCGTGGCGTCCACCGCCTTCTTGATGTGCTGGCAGCTGGCGGCGCTGGGCGTGGCTCCTCCGTCCGCCTCTCCGGCGGCGACGAGCGGGTTGCTCCGCTGGTGCAGATGCTCCTCATCCCCCGAGTCCGTGGAGCTCGCGTGGTCGTGGTTGTCCGTCTGACGCTTCTTCACCATTGCGAACAGTTGCTGGGCCTTGGCCGACTTGAGGGCGCGCTCGGGTAGTCACTCGCTGCGAAATGCGTTGCACGTGAATTTATATATTCTATTGTATCCGTTTTTTCCGTCGTATAGGTTATAAATATGCGTAAAATATGCGATTCGAGTTTGTGGTCAGACGGCCAGCTGTTCTAGCAGAGTCCCGAACCCAGGGCTGAATTGGCCACCGAAGACGCCAACCACCAGAGTTCCCTAGACGATTTTCGGTTTTTCTAAGCGAAATTTTGGGATTCAAAGTTTTTCAGAAACTAAAAAATAACTACGGTGTTCCTTAAACTGTTGAATTGCTGAATTTTATTTCTATTCAAAATCATTTGTCAAAGGTTTCTACAATTCAACCACTTTGTGGATGTTTGACCGTTCAAAACCAGAGTTGTCACCTCATTGCACTGTTAAGCTATGGAAGTTCTGCCAAATTCTTGTATAACGGTACTTTAATGACGAGTTTAGGACTAATATTATGTAATTTGGAAAGAAATGTGCGCTTTTAAAGTCTATAATTTATACCATTTATGCCATAATTTAATTTGCACTTAGTTGTGAACCTATATTACTCAAAAAAAAAACCGGAAAAAACCTACTCATTTATTTTAGTTGCCCAAACCAAAATATATCTGACATTTAACACGTATTGTATTTTATTTACATATATCCCAAAGTAAATAATTCTTTTAGTTAAAATGTGGGAGCAGCTGGCAAGATATCGCAATCACTTCTTGCAACACGAGATCAAGGATGTGCTGAAGCCGACCACCATAAACAGCCAGCAGAATAAGGGTAAACATGGAATGTGGGTAAATCTGATCATCAGATATTAACCAATTATATATTTTAGAGTGGACAGAGGCCATGGAGAAGCGATATATGTGTAAATGCCTCCCGTATTGCTGCACATCGACCTCCACTCATTTGGAGGACAGGGCTCAATTGGCCTACGGTTGGTTTGCACTGCCTAAATTGTTGAAGGAACTGGACAGTGATGTTCGCCTGACCCACTGGAAAGCAGTCGTCTCGTTATCCGAGTTCCTCTTGAACCCTCTAAATGCCCAGAGGGCCATTACTGAAATGGATATTGTGAGAAAGTGGGTTAGGATCTCCTTGGTTTTTTACCGATCTATCAAGTTTCCCTTTTCTTTAATAGGTTAAAAAATGCCTTTATGCGGATGAGATTAAAGCTTCACAAAGAGGAACATCGGGAGGGAGAGATGTATCTAAAAATTTATAGTGATTTGAGGATTATATGAAGGTTGTTACTTTGTTTTAAACATTACTATTTTTTATCATAGATATACTATCGCGCAATTTTGATGGAGCAGAAAATATTGCCAACCGCAAATGCTTGAGGATCGAGTTTTATAAAATAATTAAAAATCAGGAGAGCAATAAAGATGATCTGGCTTCAGAGATTCTGCGGAATTTGACGGGGAAACCGAAGGGTGAGTTAGCTTGATATATTTTAAATATATCTTATTTACATTTCCTTTAAGTTCTGGGAATATTCTTGGAGGATCCTGAGAACTTTTCAGCCCTGGCCGACATTTTCAAGCAGGATCCCTGCCGTCCACATTATCCCATTCACTTGTGGCACCATCTTTGTCATCTGCTCGAAGTGGCGCCCGAGCAGGGAATCGAATTGGGTTTTTTCGAGCTGCTACACTCGAGGATCCTGAATCGTTTGGCCAACTTTTGGGACATGGCCACCAAGGCATTCGCCTTGCTACTTTGCTGTGCGGAGGGTCAACGTCGATTCGATGCGGTGGATGGTGTGAAACTGCTGTACGATGTCTTCTGCCAGCCTTATGAAAACCCAAGGAAATTGCTGCCCCGCCAGAAGGTGGAAAACTGGGAATATACGGTTTTGGCCCTACTAAATGGCCTACACAGCAAACGGGCCTTGTGGCGCAGCCGGGAGTTCACCCAATTGCCCTGTTACGTGGGTCGTCTGATGGAGTCGACGGTTGACAATCCCCGCCTGCAACTCTACTGCCTCAAAGTGTTCCGAGAACTGGGAGTGATGCCCTGCATTAAACGCTATATTATCGGCAATTGGTTGGAGGACATTTGCAAGTTGTTCTGCCTGGATGCGGAGGCGGAATGCGCCAGGGATTCCTTGGTCGATTGGCTGCGTCGGGATATAGCCGATAGCAGCTAAATACCTTGATAGTATTTACTTTCATTTCAATCTGTTTGCTTGCTACCCACAAAAACGTCGCATTTCTCCGCTTTCGAACCGCTTAGATAAATCCAAACCGTTTCAAAAAGCCACCCCTTATGTCCCAAAAAAGAGAGAGCGGTTATTAGGGGTTAAGGGGTAAATTTGGTTGAAAGAGCGAACAATATTACAGAGAGAGCTTTCTCTTCGGCTGTCAGCTGTTTTTGGTCCAGTTGCAAAATAACGCAAATTGTGGTAAATATTTAACACCTCTTAAATCCTCTTATCTGTGTTACTCCAAAAATTCCGTTTATAGCTGACAAAAGGCTAAAAATAAATTCCTGTTTCTGTGGTTACGAGTTCGCACGTGCCTTTGATTTATAAATACAGAAGATTTATTGAGAATATCGCATATTTATGGTTAGGTAAATGCAAAGTGCGAAGTGTCAAGGAGAAGGCAGGAAACTTTTCCAATTTCCGATGGACAATAATGAGCAGTGACACTTCGCAAGGATGCAGGGGGATGCCAGGATATAAGGATGCAGTGCTGGCAGGACAACCACCGCAGAAATAACAACAAAAGTGCAAGAGTAACAAGCACTGACCAGAGTAGCCACAGTAACCGCAGTTTGCGGTGCCTGCCAAGCCTTCAGTGCGCTGTTTTTTACCCATCTACATATTTTAATATCTATCCTATATATATATGTAGACTATATATATAAAATAACATTTTTTCCGTATTATTTTTCTGCGGTGACAAACTTGGCAACGAGTTGCAGTTCCTTTTTAATTTATTTGAATTGTCGATGGGTTGGAGTCGGGATAGGGCCACATTTCGCATTCAATCGGCAAGTTTTGTGCCTTGTCATCGGCGGGATTCTTCTGGGTAGCAATTTTCCAAAGTCCCTGCTGCCCGAGACTCTTTTGTGAACTTTTTAATTACCGCTGCGAGTTTGCCTTGTTTTCTTTTTGGACTTTTCTTTTTTGCCTTTATTTTGGTTCATTTTTTTCCTTTTTTCTCTTAGCTTTTTCCCATTTTTCCAAGTTGTTTATGAAATATTTTATGGAAATTATGCAAAACTTGTTTACCCGACTTCATATCCAGCACTCGCCATTCTCCATCAGCCATTTGGCCATTTGGCGCCTTCAAACAAAGTTCCTCACTTTTTGCCACTCAAATTAATTGCATAACAAATTGTGTTGATGAAGTGCAAGAATGCCGGAGTACATCCAGCTAAAATCTTCTTGGCCATGGGGGCCATTGCCATTGAGTAGGGTTTTGTATCCCGGTTAATATCCGTAGTTGGTTGCCATGGCCTTCCTCAACAAGTTTGTAGTGCTGCTGCACTTTCGGGAAGTATTCATTAACGAAAAAAAGATAAAAACGAATATGAAAAGCACTGGACTCGATTTGAATGGCTGTTGAAAGCAAATAAGCATGGGAATTTTAAGGTACAATTTGGTCTTATTTCCTTTTATGATTCCAAATTGATATACTTACATTTTAATAATCTTTATTTAAGTTAAGGTTTGTTACTTACCATTTTTATTTTAAATTAAAATTAAAATGGCATTTAATCATTTTGTTTAAAAATTATAATTATAAGGTTTATAATATTATTATATAATTATATAAAAGAGGATGCTTTAGATATTTAATTTTGTCAAGATCTTCGAAAAGACAGAAAATGTTTAATAGGTCTTGTAGCAAAATAGAGAGCTCAAAGAAATGAAAACAAAATTAATGTTAAATGAAGATATTTATTACTAACAATTTCTAATTATTGTTATCATTTTAGTTTGATTGAAATGAGGCCCTGTATTAAATTAAATATTACTTTTATTCGTTAACCAATTTGTTTTAAAATATTAAGTATATTTTAAAGTTCTTCAGACTTCCTTTCTAGAGATTTTTTTTAATCAACAGAAACTGATTCCTTTTTATTTTAAATATAAAATAGGAGACTGCATAGGTAACTCGAGAACTGGTTCTATATTTTTTTCCCCATCACAGACCATTCCTAATTGGCGAACATCAGAGGGGCATTATTCCGAGCATTACCAACCTAACGATGGCCATTATTCCGGGGAAACAGAGGGATACTTTCGGGGACGGGGACCATCCGGTCAAGGGATCCATTTCATTTCATCGATGGCCCCGTGGCGTTCGCTTCGCCTGAGCAACCGTTACATCAGCCAGCACGTGCTCCTCCTGCTGCGTTTCTACCTGGCGCAGTTCCATTACCTGGGATTGATGCGCATCCGCTACGAGGAGACCCGCAACGAGATGCGTTTGACCTACTACAGTGTCACCGTTTCGAGGATGATTGGCCTTTGGTGCGCCTTCTTCTTCACTTTGGCCCTTCTGGACCCGTATCCCCTGATGCTTCACATCCAACTGCTGGGATTCATCTGCTGCCTGTTGGTCCAGCCAAGAAGTGTGATTGAGGAGCGAACGAGGCTGGTGAATCAAATCCTGCGACTTTCACCGCAACTCTACCGGGTGACTAGACGAAAGATGCGATTGTCCTGGTCGCTGGTCCTCCAGTTGCTGGTCAAGTTGCTTACCTTTCGGTTGTTCTACGAGGGTCTCCTGGGTCCCAGGGACACCAGCTGGAAGTTGCTCTTCATTGTGTTCTTCGTGGTGCCCGTTTCATTGGCCATCTGGGTAATGGATGTCTCCTCGCATCTGATTGGCATTGTACTCTCAATTCTGCTCAAATCCTTTGAGATGGTGAACATCGAAATGGCAGCCATTGATGAGAAGCTCTGCCTGGAGATCCTGCGATCGGATTTTGGAGCAATACGAAGGTTGAAGAAGCGCCATCTTTTCCTACAGCGACTCCATCGATCCTATGTTCAGGTGACCCAGGAAATGATCGACTGCCTGAGTCCCCAGTTGATTTTGATCGTTCTCTACAACCTGAGCACCATCTACACCTTTTCAAGTGGCGAGTGGCGAAGGATCCTGCAGATCGGGGTGATCGTTAATAATCTGCGATCCCTCCTGCACACCCTGGATGAACTGGTGGTCAACTCTGGTGCTCCGCAGAACACCTCCTGGATGCACTTGGCCCAGTTACTTCAGTTTGAGGAGATCCTGGCCACTCATGGCTGGTTGGAACGGAAGGACTTCCGATGGAGGGTCCAGGATACGGACACTTTTGGTCAGGATGTGAGGCGATGTTGCTTTCAAAAGAGTCTATTGGTCCTTGGATTGGTTACCCCCAATAGAAGACTCCTCTTTCGCATTGCCTTCGCCTTCTGCAGCCTTTTGCATCTTCATTACATGCTGATGAAATCAGCTTTGGTGGTAGAGAAGGAAATCTTTATCGGCTCCGAATTCAGATTAAAACCTAATCATATTAGCTATTAATTTTAGACTTGATTAAAAACCCAAAATAAATATCATTCTTGAGAGGATGATTGTACACAAATTTTATTTCAAATTGATAGGAGAACTCTTAAAGTAAATGTTGAATAATCACAATGAAGGAAATTCCTAGGCAGACAAAAGGGTTTAGGAAAAGTAGCTATTATAAGTTATCCAGTAACTCATTTAGTTTTCGAGTAGGGGAAAATATTTCCTTCCATGATTAATGAACACCGAAGCCCTTTGTTTATTAAATGCCAACCAAAGTTGCTCCTCGCGAAGACACTTAAACCTTTGAACTGTGCAGTTCCTCCGTTAAGAGAAGGCCATTTCTCACACGCTTTGATTAACTTTCTGCAGGAACTCTTCGGTCGCCTTTAAGACATTTATCATCTATTTATTGCACTCCAAATATTATTTGTTCAATGTAACACGCACTTTACAAGGTTCAGCTTGCTCCACGGGAGCTGAAGAGTCTTCTGGCTGCTGGCGGGTAATTTTAAATAATTTATGCATTCGCCCCTGCTGTAGCATGCACAAAAATAACAAGGGATGCTTCCTTATTTTCCGGGCCACCCCGCAGCGAGTTGTTCCCTGATATATGTAATTGCATGGCTGGCCGAGCACTTGAGGTGCCAGGTCCTGGGTTCTGGGTTCTGGGTCCTTTAGCTCCTCGCACTCTCCTCCGATCCTCACACATGCCCCATCCTTCCTTCCTTCCGCTCTGTTTTCGCCATTCTGCCTCTCGAGATGTGGGGATGCGGATCCATAAATCATTTTTAAAACATTACCTCAACGAATGCGACTACGTAGAAGTATTTTATGTATACAATTTTGCACCTTGCAAAGCGGCACAAGATTTATAGGAAAGTGGCTCTAGGGACCCACTTCCAAATATTATGCTCTCCAGGATTGTCACACCAAGGTTGATTAAATTTTCCAACTGACTCTGGCACAGTTTTGCCACTTCAATTTATGGCCACAGCTCGCCTTCGTTTTTCGCCATCTAATGCTGTTTATTTCTTTTTCTTTCATTGCCGAATAAACATTGAAAATCAATTAAACTTTTATGCACACAACGACAGAAGAGGAGCATAAAAAAGAGAATATTATAGCCATTTTAATTGAATTTAGTGGGGTGATAAAATAAAACATTTTATTGAAGCTTTGACTTTGATTTAAGTTTCGAGTTTTGATTGTTTAGGGAAAACTTTAACTTCTTATCCGACATCTTTTATCTGCTTTGACTTCCTTGGGGTTTTCATTCACAGCAAAAGACAATAGAGTGTGACAAGTGGCGGGAAAAGGGGGAAAAGTTCTTCCTTCGCACTTGTTGTTATTCAAAGAATTTACACTCTGCTGTAAAAGCCAATAATTTTCCTTCGTCCAGCTTTGAACATAACGTAAGTTATGCCAACCACGAAATTAGGCCGCTGGCAAGGAGGAAAGCGGAAAAATATATGTATACAATATAGGGGGAATATCTGGTTGAGCTGAAAATAAGGGAGCAAAGCCATGGGCAAACGGCTTTTGTATAAATCTCTTTAATTTATTAGATTTCATTAGACATTTTGGCGTTGAGTCTGGCCGCGGGTGGTGCCAGAATTCGGTGGTTCCACCGCAATTTTTATATTAACAAGCTGGAAACATGACTTTCCCTTGTGCCGTCATAAAAAGCAATAATGTGGCCGTAAAATCGTTAGCCAAGGGGCAAGAAAAGGGCGATGATAAAAAGGACAGCGTAATGAAGGTGGAAGGCGAACGAAAGTGTAGCATACTTTTCTGTGTTTGCCTTTTTGCTCCTTTGTGCCTTTATCAAATCAAAGTTATTTTTTAGGACGTCGAAAAAGCTCTAAAAAAAACAATTTATCAAGTTTTATTAAAATAATATAAAATAAATATATAAATAATTTATAAAATTAATATAATACACGAAATATAATATATTAAATGTACTTTATAAATAAATATTAACTGTTTAAAGATCCTAAATTTATGGTAGCATTTTTCGGAATTTATTAAACATTTAATAAAACATTTCAGATTTCCCCGTAATAACAAAATCGGGGATGGTTCAAAAAATCAACCCTAAATTTAAATACAATTTAACGATATTCCTGGCCATATCTTTGGCAGTTACGCCACGCACATGCATGTATAATTTAGGATCACTCCAAATAAATTACACACTCAACGATGTCATGCCACGGAGAAAGGCAACAACGTTGTAATCAACAAAATTACACTAAAATACAAAGCAAAAAAAAAGAAGGCAGGAGAAATAAATTTGACACGAATGCGTCGACGAGGATGACACAAAAGCGGCAGCGGCACCTACCCAAGAACCCCTTCCAATCTGCCCCCGAACCCCAGTTACCCCACCAACTCTTAGCCCCTTTCACCCTTTTTATTTTACCAAACCCCCTTTTCTCCATGAAATGAAAGCCAAAGTAAAAATGGCACAACGCTCGAAGCCAAACAATGTAAAAGTTGCTGCCAGGACATGACGAGGCGAGCAAGTGGCATGCTCCTGTAGGTGTGCAACTGAGCCAGTGCACTGAGAACAAAAATATAGCAAGTCTGTAGAGCGATTGCTTCATAAAATATTTTATTATTTTTGAGTAAAATATAATGTTTTTCACTGGGTGATAATTAATAAAGCCTAATTAAAAATAATATATATTTTTTTACTTTTATAATATTTAATTAACTTATGTAAAACATTAGTTTAAATAAGCAATTCCGAATTAAAAATATTTAAAGCCTATTCATTTATTTGCTTAAATAAAGATATATTTATTACTTAAATAACATGTATATATTATATATTTAAATAAATATATAGGAATATTTATTATTTAAATAAAAATACATCCGTGATACATTTTTTTAGGGGATTTTTTGTTGAGAAGCAAACAAGGTCCTGTGTGTGTGGCCGAGAGTGTTTGCGTGTGCGGGTGTGAGTGAGTGTGTGTCATGTGCGACACTTTGTAACATATTTTTTCTCATTTGTTTTCACGCGCGTCTGTCTGCGTGTGAGTGTTTGCCTCTTTTTCGGCGTCACTCGTCATGGTCTCCCACTCTCTTTCCCCTCTTTTCTTCTCCTCTTCTCACCCCCTTAATGTCACTTCACCTGCGTGTTTGTGTAGGTGTGTGTTGCGTGACAAAAACAACTTGGCACACATACGACCTACCACCCACCACCCCCGCGTATCAATCAGTTAAAAATATTTTACGCTGCCAGAGGTTGCCAAAAAAAAGATAAACCCCCGAGGGGGGTGACCCCACCTTTGTTGTTGTAATTTTTATGGCTACATTTATAACATTTATTTTGTATTTTTACGAGCTGAATTGTCTTTTGTTGCTTTATTATTATGTCTCACTTCGGCTTTTTATGAGAGTTTTCCTGTTCCCAAACAACAAAAGTAAGAGACAAAAAGGAAAACCTTTCCCAACTGTAAGCGAAAACCAAATTGCCACGAAGGGTAATGACATTTTAAGTGTGCCCCTGAGGGGAAAAGGGGTTTGGAACACCCTTCATAAAGTCAAAACCATAATTTGGTAATAACTTTCTTCACCTGCCTAAGGGAAATTTAATAGAAAGTTTTTAATGGAAAATCTATAATTCTAAAAACATTTTTCTTAAATTTCTTATTGCTTAAAATGTATTTGAAGGTATTTAAATTTATATTTTAACGATGCAGTTGTACAGTATCTAATTTCTTGCTATAACAGCATTATTCAAGCTCGCTTAGGCAATAGTTGTCCAGCACTTGGAGTTCCTCACTCATCCAGCTTTTCTTTTTCACACTCCCTCCCGGGGCACTTTAGAAAATGAAGCTAGACCAGAAAAAATCCCTAACAAAGCGAGGCATTTTTAATAACTTTTAACAATGGAATGCTTTGTTTTCACTTTGATTAAAATATTTTTTCATTGCTCCTATATAGTATGCACAATATATATGGCATAGATAAAATGGGGCGAGGGCTGTGATGGGGGAAACCGAATCTAGTTATAAAACAAATTATGCATTATTAAAAACACAAGAGACCCGGAAGGGAAAGGGGAGGGAGTGGAAGGGATGGGAATAGAATGGACGAGGAACGTAATGCAATGGCAGTTGGAAGAAATGGAGAAGAAGCACGAGACATGGAAGAACTGACAATGAAGCCGCAAAAACTTGGCACAGCCGGCTGAAAAAAAAAGAATATATAAAAAAAATATAGACAAAATAAAAAAGAAACCATGGAACCAGGAACGGAATGTTAAATTTTATAAATAGAGCATAGAACAACAGAGAGTGAGGGGCGAAAGGAGGCACCAGAGATTGAAGTGCCAGCAAATTTATGGAATACGAACATTTCCTATTTTTCCCATTTTCCTCTCCATTTTTTTTGTTGATTTACTTTTGCTCTGCGCAAATTGAATCAAATGCAATGGAAAAGGGGGCGATGAAGGGAAGGGATGAGGGGCTGGCGAAAGCCTGTCAAGGATTTGGTTGCCGAGTTGAAAGGCAAACGAAGTTTTGTTCCTGCGACAATTTGTCGTCTAGTTCCTGCAGTCAAAGCTAAAGCTGAATCTGATTCTGAGTCTGGGTCCTGAACCTGACAAGATGCGAAATATTTTATTATATATAGGTGAGGCACAGCCCGACTGACAATGAACAAAGCTAACACAAACAGAGCAGACAATCCGAATCAGAATCAGTGAATGTCAAGCATACTTTAATAAGTTTAGTTAACAGAAAGTCAACTAAAAAAGGACAACTAAGAAAAACGCAGAGAATGGAAACAGGAAACGGATGAAGGAATTGCTAAAGTGAATAGATGGGTAACTAAGTCAACTTAAAAGGAGGGAAAAACTTACAATACCGTGAATAAGCACAAAAATGGTTAGAATTTAGACAGAAAATTATTTTGAGGAAAAACATTTCCTGGAATATTATGTTTATGTAGAATCTGCATCTCAGCGTTCATACGGACAGACAGACGGAAATGCTAGA